ATCAAGATTTTTAAAAGTTAGTTGCTTGCTGCTTACTTGATTGTACAATAGGGCTAACACTTACTTCACCTCCACTCTTTCCAGTCATGGTCTACACTTTAAAGCTCTGTTTCTGGGCACCTCCCCCCCCCCTTGCTCCAGAGCTTTCCCTGCAAAAAGCCCTTTCTTTAAAGCGCGGTTGGAGCAAACAGCAATCTGCTTAGACTTGACACTTGCTCCAAGCACTAAAGAACAGGTTTTCACGGGGAAAGCTCTGCAGCTAAAAAAGGAACATGCTGGGATACAAAGCTTTTAAGTGTGACCATGCAACTGGAAAGAGCAAGGCAAAAGGTAAGTGTGGATAAGCCCATAGCTTGTATTTGGAAGACCTTTTTAAGCAGAATATCTTTCAACTATTTGGAGGGCAGCTCCAATGGAGCCAGTTGGATTTATTTCTATGAAATAGCCTTTATATATCTTGTGATACAGCATAGTATTATCTGCATCAAAGAGACCTTTCATGTGGGAGGGAATCATATATTGTAGGAGTTCTGTAGCATTGAATGTGCTTTTCTAGCACAGCAGATGGACATTATGAAAGCGGGTCAGGAATGTGAGCCAATTTGATTCAAGTTGGGGAATGAGGATTTGGTTTGCATGTCAGTTCCAGAGAAAGACCACTGAGTGTTCCTAAATTCAGACCTGAAGTGTGTGCCCCACAGCCCTGCCTCTCTGAGGTCAGTTGATGAAACTGGAGTTGGTGAAGGTCAGACTCCTAGTATTTTATATACAGCCTTGGTCAGTCCAGAGGCTTCATACTATGTGCTAATTACAGGGTCTGGTGTTGCATAGCCGTGTTCCCTGTTGTGCATGGCTAGGACTCTTAAGGCTGGAACACACACAACCCTAAATAGCTTTCTAGACTGAATCCTAGCCCCAGCTTCTGATGACCATGTGTATCCAGTCAAAATTCAGTGCTTGGTGATGTGTGTGTATCTGAATGAGAGATTGCTTCACCTTGAATCACTCACTTTTGGCTCATTTACAGAAGTAAAGTCTATGTAACTTTGAAATGCTGGCTAGATGCATGCTGACGTATTAATGCAAGACAAATGGATCATTCTAGAGCGATCCATTCAACCCACATTTTGAACATATCAATTTAGTTGTCTGAATTGGCTCCTGTTGCTGGTACACTGGTTGCTGGTTTTAGGAAGACTTCCATATTTATTGCATCTTAACAATGTGTAATAGCTTACTGTGATGTGTAGGGAACAATTAAAATGATCAGGTGTAATGCCTAGTTGTGAAGATAATTTTACCGTCCTTTCTGCTTCAAATCATATAATTAGGGGCTGACTTGGGGCAAAATTCTCATTACTTAGTAGGATTGTACAGATTACCAACTGAGGTCACATGCACATTTATAGTGAGTTACCACTTGTTATATAGTGTAGGGTATAATCTGGAGCCTGTTGCTCACCCATAAGTCCTGCTGAAATGAGTAGAATGTATTTGGTAGCCTCCCCCCCCCAATCAATAAAATAAAATAAACCCAGCATAATAGGTTCAAAATGAATTGGAGACATTTCTTTGGTGAGCAACTTTCCTTTGTTTCCAAGATAAAATTAATAACACAAGCTTTTGTACCAAGTTGTGAACATTTTTGGTATAATAATCTGTGTGCGTTTTAAGTAGCTACAGTCATGGAATCACTGCATATATAAAAGCAAACACAGAACAGAAATCCCCAGGAATATAAAAAAAAATATTTTCATTGTTTTTATCTTGGCTGTTGTTTCAAAGAGTTCTGGGGAATTTTTGTGTAGACTGAGCAGCAGGGTCAGCTCTGTTAGCCTTGGGTGTACTTTCAAGAACTCAGTGAGTTGGCTACAACCAAAGAGAATGTTGTTCTTGTAGTGTCTGGGGTGGTGGGATGGGGGGGTTGTTGAAAAATGTATGTAAGTAAGCATGGATTTTTCTAACAGAAAATGCACTAGTGTTGGAAGTTGGTTTATTTTGAAAGTATCCCTTATAACTGTATAGCCAAGGATTCATATTGGTTGGGTCAGTCAACATGCTTTGCATTTTTCTTTGATGTGTGAAACAGGAAATGCTTGCCAATTTGAGATATACAGACTTCTCAGGATAAAAACTATGATTAAAGATTATCTGCAAAACCAGTTGAATGAGCTAGGCATTGAGAAAGCTTCACAAGGACAGGCTCACAAGCTGCTGTGGCATGTGTATATCATGAGCTGGGCCAAACCACTGCACTGGAGAAATGAGGTGGGTCAGAAGTACTGTGCCAGACACAGAAAGCATTCTCAAATGCAGTGCATGACATAAAGCAGAAGTGGGGAGTCTGTGGCCCTTCAGATGCCTTTGGACTAAGCAGCAAAACCAGTTGTCAATGATAGTGGGAGTTGTAGTCAAGCAGCAGGGAGAGGACTACAGGTACCCCCACCCCAGCGTAGAATCAACAAAGACATGCATCCTAACCCAATCCAGAAATAATACAGACTTGATGTTTTGTTTCCTGGGCATCCTCTGGACTGAATCAGAGTTGGGAACAAGACATTTCCCTGGCCCTGGGCAATGACATCAGCTGCTGCCATGCTCTAGGGCAGGAGTAGGTTGCAGGTTGCCAAAGAGATACAGCTTTCAGCCTAAGTCCAAACCCCTGTGCAAGCAGTCTGTTCAGACCTCAGGAAAGTGCAATCTGTCCCCACTGGGCGGGGAAGAAATGAGAGAGATTGGGGAGGGGGGAGGCATGGCAGGAAGAAAAGGGCTGACCTACTGACCTGGGTCCCACCTCCAGCCAGCATGCAACTCCTGGCAGATTCCCATGAGAAAATGTGGCCCTTCAGGACCTTGCTAATGGTCTTCACTCCACAAAAAAGGCTCCCCTCTGTTTTGAGTAGAGTATTGTTTCATATCCCTTGCAGCCTGATCCTGTACATGATCAAAATAAGTACTGTGCAATTCAGTGCAATTTGTAGGTTTACAACTTAATTCGTTCTGGAGGTCAGTTTTTAACCTGAAACTGTTCTTAACCTGAGGTACCACTTTAGCTAATGGGGCCTCCCGCTGCTGACGCGCGATTTCTGTTCTCATCCTGAAGCAAAGTTCTTAACCCGGGGTACTATTTCTGGGTTAGCCGAGTCTGTAACCTGAAGCGTCTGTAACCCAAGGCACCACTGTACTAGATTAGCCAAACTGTTACAGTAGATTTAGTCAGGCTAACTGCTTTTAGATGGTTCTCCAGAACGTTCTGATTGTTCAACGTAGCTACAGAAAATAATAACTCTGGAGATGAAAAAAAAACGTTTGATTCAGCAGATTTTCCTTACCAAAACACATGCTAATGAATGCACTGTCTTTTACATTGTTCTCAATAGACAAATGACCATAATACAGAAAATGTTTTTGGTCATTTGTATTGAATTACTTTGGCTGAAGTTGGAGGCAGAAATTAGGAAGTATCCTGGGGAGGCAGGAATGAATTGCCAGGCCTCAACACAAGTATGCTCCAAACCGTTCAGGTTTCGTGACTTGGAGAGAGAAACTGACCATCAGTCTGATTGGACAGAAGCAGGTGGGTGGTCCAAAACAGGCACAGGGATTGCCCTCTAGAGCATCAGTCTGGAGAAGGAAGCAGGAATTTAAGAGGATTGCACTGTCTTGCCCACACAGCCCACCAGATGCACTCATGTACAGCTCCCCTACACAAAGGTTGCTTTTTCACATGGAGGACCTGTACAGAGAGCCCCTTCACATGACTGTCAAATCCATGGTTGGCAGTGCGATGAGAAGGAGCAAAGCACACTCAGCCGTGAGGGGACTCCATGCAGCATGACCTCGGGATGCCCTCACACACTCTTTCCCTACAGAGCAGGATTTGCTGCCCTTTGGTCAGGCAGTCTTCACCCAAGAAGCAAGTTCTTCAGTCTGAGGATCAAACTCAAGAGTTAGGCTGTCGCACAAACATACCAGGACTAAACCATCTCCAACTGCAGGGTGCAGGATTCTTTTTTCATCGATCCATAGAATTGTAGAGCTGGAAGGGACCCTGAGGACCTAATCCAACCCCCTGCAATGCAAGAATATTAAGGTGTCCCGTGTAGGGATCAAACCTGAATCCTTGGCATTATCAGCAGCATGCTCTAACCAACTGAGCTATCCTGCTCCCTCTCAGTTAAAAAAGCATCTCTGCAAGTAGGAAACTAGCTCAGCAGGGAGGGCTGGGTTAGGATGTTTGCCTTTCCTGGTGTTCTAGCTTTCTACTTTCAAGGAGGGTTTTTTTAAATGCATGGAAATGTTAAAAACTGACAGCCTGAAATTTCAGCTGTAGCCAGAAATTATATTGTTTGTCCGTGTGTGTGGTATGTATGTGTCTTAAGATGTCATTGTGTCTTACACTGTGGCTTCTGCCTATACCACCAATCCTCTGTTTCCCTTGCAAGTTTGGCAGATTGGCCTGTAGTTAACTGCTGTTCCAACTGTGTTTTGATCATAGAGTTTTAGAGTTGGAAGGTGCATTAAAGGCCAATCTCTATCCCAACTCTCCTGCCGTGCCAATTACAGCATCCCTGAAAGGGGGTCTTCCAGCCTCTACCCACTAACAGATGAGAGTTGGGGGCCCTCCAGATGACCTGTTTGCAGAGTATTCATCCTGATTTGCAGTATTTATTGAACATCCATCCTGAGCTGCTTGTGGGGTGTTTCTACATATTTTCATTAGTCGTCTATTCACCCCACACTTTTCAATGCATTTTCCCATCAGTTTTCAAACTGCAAAAAAAGTCCAAACAGAGCCCTTGGATTCACTTCAACTGCCCAAACCTAAAGTTCCAGTATGCCTTTAATCACTCCCCAAGATACTATCAGTCAATACAGCCTCACAATACAGCTGCAGGACTATTACTAACATGACCCTCCATTGTATCACAGCTCCTCTGACATCATTCAAAGGTGGTGTTACCAGGAAGGTCTTCCCAGCTGATCTCAAAATCCAGGCAGGACAAGATGAAGGAGCACCTCCTGCCAGTAATTGGGTCCTAGGTCCCAGGAAACTCATAAATGAGATCCCAGCTTGAAGCCATGGGGAGCGCTAGGCGGTTGGTTTTGAGAGATGCCATTTATATTTACAGCAAATTGTCCCTGATGTAGCCATGTACATTTACATCCCACTTTTAATCCAGTGAGGTCAACATGACTGTTCCCATGTTATCCTCGTAACAACCCAATGAGTGGTAAGTTAGGTGAAGATCAATGAACTTCATGGCTGAGTAGGAATTTGAACCTGGGTCTCTGTGGTCTCCGTGCTATCCTTTTACCCATCAACAGCTACTGTTTAAAGGGCAGGGAGAGTTTGGGTCCTGGCAACTGCTCTAGAATGCCACAATCTGACACTAGGCCCACTAAGGACCCCAGAGTCTTGACAACTATTGACTTCATATTTGGTTTCCCACAGAGAAACCCCCCAGTGTCAAATATGACAAGCTACATGCCAGTCCTAGGCTAACTGCTGCATATTAGCGCCTTCTATTTGGGGCATATGAAATGGTCACTTTCTTTGGATGATAGAAGAAAAATCCTGGAGACATAGGCTCAGAATGCATCCACGCTGTCTTTCATGATCATTTATTAATTTCATCTATAGCCTGCCTTTTCCTGCAAGGAGCAGTGAAAACAGAATTCATCCTCTTAAGACGATGAGTTTTTTCCGCCCTCCTCCTTTCAATGACTGCTGGTTATGCACACATATGTCTTTCCACCCCAACACCTGATTTTGTTGGGCAATAGAAAACAAACAAGGAACAGACTTAGGAATGTTGGCATGGGGTTAAGATGTGCAAGTTTTGTGTTGGTGTTTTTTTTTAAAGGACAATTGCACTTCCCCTTGAAGGAAGCAATAAGGTGTCTCCTGGGGGAAATTGCTGAATAGGTGGGCATGTGCAAAATCAGGTTGATCTATTTCTGTTTTTAAACAGAGCGGCAAAAAACATCATAGTCCCCCGACTGAACAGTAGGCAGGAAGAGGAGATTCAGAATAGTCTCCAGGGGTGGTTGGTGCCCATTGAGACTAGACAGAAGACAGAGAGGCCACAGGCACAGCCAACTAATTCTAGTTTTGTCCCCATCCTCCTCTCTGCCAAGTGCTACAAAGGCAACACGGAAACTAAGGAGCAGGAAACTGACAGCCAGAACCACCTCATGGACTGGATATTAGTAAGTAGGCAGGCATGTGGAGTCTAGTTCAAGTTAGGGCATTCACCCTAATGGACAAGCAAATCTTGCACAAGATGCAGAGAACAATCTAACAATCACTACTGAATCTGGTGTGATGTAAGAAGCCACATCTGTTTATTCATCTGCCTGTCCCATTTACGCATAAAGCAATAATGTTTCCAATGAAAAAAGTGCATGCAGATAAAGGGAACTGAATTCTTCTCTCTGTCCTGCCTCCTGCACTGTGCTCAGTTTCTTCCAGCAGCCTGATACCAAAAGGAGCCACCATGCCATCTTACAAATTGCTTATGAATATGAGTGAATGTTACAGCATGTTGCAAGGTGGTCTTTCTCTGTGAGAGATACACATGCTATAAAGAGATGTACCTAATTGGCATTGCAAGGCTGTAGGCTGAAAATGAAGTCTTTCTTTGTTTCTTAGGGCCTCCTCAGTATGTTTTTAGGGTACCTATGGTGTTTTGAGCATACATTTAAAAGTCTAAATTATAGATTCCACTTAGGCATACCAGCATTATTGCACAATTCCCCAGATACCCCCTGTACTTTGAAGCAATGCAATATACAATCCTAAATTCTTAATATGAAAGGTTTCACCAAAGGCATTTGGTTATGCCAGTCTCAAGAACTAGAGTGCAAATGGGAATCTGCGGCCTTTTCAGATGTTGTTGGACATCAGCCCCAGCCAGCGTGGCCAGGGACCAGGAATGACGACAGGAGCTGTAGTCCAGTAACATCTGGAGAGCCACAGGTTTCCCATCCCTGGATCAGTAGAGATAAACCAGAGACGTAGCTATGGGTGGGGAGGGGCTAGCGAGGCTTTTTGCCCAAGGTGAAGCCTCCAGAGGGCCCCATTGAGGGACCATCCTCTGTGTCTGTGTGTGCACACGCATGCACACACACACACACACACACACACAAATAAATGTGTGTGGATGTGGGTGTGTGCCAAACTGGGTCTTTGACCCAGGTGAAATGAATCCTAGTTTTGCCCCTGAATCTTTGTGTGTGTGGTTAATCCTTTTTTTCCAGGTGGTGGCAGTAGGTCCAGAAGGGCCAAAACGTGGTTGGCCTGATTCCACTTCAAGCAACTTTGTCAGAGTTAAAGCAAATAAGCAGAATTCAAACTTCTCGCCAGGGGAGCCATCTCCCTCCACCAACTGAGACACAAGAATTTTCTGATTTTTCTGTTTATCATTTGATAAATAATAGTAACCCATTTGATATAAAAGCAATAATTTTATCCTCTGGACCAGTCAGTCTCTTGAATACAGAGAGCTCTCAAACAGGTATGGGGAATCTGAGACCACCCAGATGTTGTTGTTGGACGTTCTCTCCCATCAGCCTCTGCCAACTTGGCCAATGCAGCCCCATCATATCTGGAGGTCCACAGGGTTCTTATCCTTGGTCTACACAGGGTTCTCTGCTCATTTCCATGCAGCATCACACATGTACAGGAATGCATGCATACCTCCCCCCCCCATCATAGAAGTGAATGGGAAAGCCCACATTTACAGGATCTCCACACAGGCCTCAGAATATAGACTGCTGCACCGGAGTGCAATCCAGAAAAAGATAGACATAATTGGGGCCTGGTCTGAGCATGCAGCAGAATATGGCAGAAGAATCCTGCAGTGGTACGACCACTTTATATTGCAGGTGGGGACTGCATGTGAATGTTCTTTCACATACAAAACACTGTGGCAGGGGAGAACCCTATCGTGCCAGGGAGAAATGCTCTATGTTTTGACTTCCTGCTGTGCTAAATTTCTACTCTTGGGGAAGTTGAAAGGAAAGAAGCAAACTTAGGAGAGCTTAGGAGTGGCCTTGGTAGGCAGCCATGTTGGAGGAGCCCAATGAAGTGGCCTTGTCCATTTACCACTTCAGTCGACTGTGCGTGTATGGAGATGAGGCCCAAGTCCCTACTGCTCTCTAGCTTGCTTTCTGCTAGGAAATTAATGGGTTTAACATTATATGTGACATAATTTACCTATTGGTTTCGTGGTGGTGGTCAGCTGAGGTAGAGAATGCAAAGAAAAGGCCAGAGAAGAGGAGGGCTCCTCCTGAACCCCCCTTCAGGAGGAATGCAGTGAAGCATTGCAATAGGAAGGGAGAGGGGACCTTATGTGACCCCTCCCCCAATGCTTGTAGGTCCCAACTTGTATATAATGCAAATTAGTGGTGTCCTTCCACAGATGCTCCTGTGGTCTTGGCCCCTTGCTTGTAGGTCGGCGTGTTGTGCTGTAGTATAAACACAAGTATTTGCTGACACAATCTGTTCCTTTTCTTTTTGAGTCTTCCTACATATCTACAAACGTGTTTCCACACACACTAAAACTGCATGCAGTGATACAGCTTTTCGTTTGCACAGAAAAATGCAGGGCAAGCGGAATTATTCCATTTGTCCCCATTCTACTAATAGGTTACATATGCACTGAGGTGTCAATAATTATTATGTGCTTTCACAATCTCAAGTTATTCAGTGGAGAAAGTAGCAGTTTCAAAGTGGAGTTGGCACTCAGCACAGATAAAATTACTCTTATGTATAATTCTTAGCCCACCTGTTTGCTATGTGAAAAGAGGGTCTCCTGCCTTTTTTAGTGATGTGATGGTAGCCTGTGCACTGAGTATTGCTGTTCCAATAGGATGAATGCAATTTTCATGAGCATTTAAATGTTCTTGATAACTGAACATCCTGCATGGATAGGTGGAAACATTTCTGTCCTTATTTTTTAAAAAATTAAGGAGCATAGATTTATATTCAGGTTTGTATCTTACATACTTTATATTATATTAAGATCCCCCAGTCTGTGGTAGCTGGCTGCCATTTGAATAGAAATTAGTTGTTGGTTGCTGCTGAGCTGATTACTGTCAGCAGTTTAAAAGGCTCGTATTTCTAAGCATAAAATATGATTGCTAGTTTTGCATACTTATGAATATATGAAAAGCCGAACAATAACATAGCACTTCAGTTGTGTGTATAATGCATTAGGTGTAACTGGGTATATCTTTGTAACTTTTGTAGCATTTATCATTAGTGTTATTGCTGAACTGGTTTGCTGAACTGGTTTCCTTCTTTGCATATAGGGGAAGTTTTTGATTTGCATGCAGTGGCCTGGGAAATTATCCACATATTTATTTTATTTATTTTTCATTGAGAATGTAGGTTGTGTACCAAGGAAGCAATCCTTATACTGGGAGGTTATGTAAATCTGTTATTTAAATCTGATCATATTTTATTTCTTTAAGCATAGTACTCCAAATGAGCCATCTGCTTTTGTGCTTTCCTGTACCAAAGCCTAAAATTGGAACAATTTAAATATTTTGAACACAATCTGTCTAGAAGTTATCTGGCACGAGCACCACTGAAAGGAATAAGCAAGAGCTTATTTCAGTGGTCATTGCATAGGATTTCTGCTGGATTGTGCCCTTTAGCATTGTGTCAACCTCTGAGCTGGTCATTTATTATATTGTTGCTGCAGTCATTCTTATATACTAAACAATGAACGTATAGGCACAGAGCTGGCATACTTCTCTAAGGTGTGTACTGAATATACACTTTAAAAAATCTAAGTAGTAATGGCTCAGGTTTTGTGGTACATTTGTGTGTGCATGTGTGTTTATACAAGACACCAAAGGGTTATCCCATTCCAACTTCATAACTATTTCTTATGCTCTCTAGTGTTTCAATAAAAGTGGGAAAATAAAAGAAACAATAGTGTTTTCAGACCAATTATTTTCTTATGCTTGCTGAAATTAATTCTAATAAAAGTAAAGCATTTGTAGGAGGAAACATTCCTTAGGATAATTTTAACTGTGTTGGAAGACTCTAGGATTTTGGGTAGGGGAGGTGAGGGTTGTACATATCAGAAGTCAGAAGATGATAGCCATCCATTTTAAGTATCCTTCAACCCATTCCGCAGTTCTTCATCATCACTTGCGAATTTGTGTTAGTATGCTATTAAAAAAAAAAGTTGAAGGCTCTTTACAATGTACAAATGCACAATGTCTGCCATCCCCTTCTGCAGCTGTTATGCGATTTAGGAGTGGAGAGAATAGTAGGGCATTGAGGAGAGTTCTTTGCTACCCTCTAACTCTTCTATGCAACAGCCTGGACAGCAACAGAGAAAAGGGTTAAGTTTTCCATGCTCCTCCCCCTGCATTGCCCATTGGTGCCATCCCATAACCATCTATACTTGTGTGCTGCAGTGCTGAACTATTGAGAAAATTAAGAATTTACCCCCCACCCCATTTGTGTCCCTGGTATGCAGATTCCTGACCCTTGTAATGACTTTCCATTCACTTCAATGGAAGGGGCAGAGCCAGGAACGTTCTGTAAGCAAGCATGATGGGGAGCTTTCTGTTTTGTGCCTCTGTGCTTCGGAATACAAATGGGCTTTTCAACGTGGGTTTTGATGTATCAAAGGACAGAAAAATGTATGTTTTGCACAACACAAGCGGAAAGCAAGTGAGAACGGTTAAAACATATTTATTGAAAGGATGGTTTGTGATGGATGTCAGCGATTTGTCTGTTCTATAAATTGTAGTTTTGTAGTGATTTTCTCTGAAGTAATATTGGCTCTTTATAGTATTTTGTAATCCACATCAGTTGTAAATTATGTTTTTTATTCAATTGCGGGAGGTGGGGTGAGCAAATTATTAAAAATAAGATGTAAACTCCATTGGTAAGTTCTCCCGCAGAAGCTTAATGGAAATTAATGGGAGCTGTACTGGAACAATACTGTGCGTTCTTGCACAGATCTCATTCTTTTGCGTGGGACTTGGACAGGAGAACCTCACCATGGATTGTGGCCAATTTTTTGTTTCACTTTTTGAGTGTGCACATATATCAGTAAAGTGAAGGACTTCTTTGGCCCTAGCTTGCACTGACACAATAACTGTCCTAGGAAGACAACATAAATAGTTTTTTAATGGCAGTTGCATCTATTTTGAAAATCTAGTCACAGAGCAATATAAAGAGATACTGGCACATGAGCATGGCCCAACAAGGTTGAGTTTCATGAGCAAAGTATTATTATTATTATTATTATTATTAGTTGTTGTTGTTGTTGTTGTAGTAGTAGTAGTATACCACCATTCAAAGATCTCAGGGTGGTTCACAACAAAGTTAGAATTATGTTGCTAATAATTGTTGCTTTTAGTGCTTCCCAAAGCTATTCAAGTGAATCTTGAGCACGCTTACTAGGGGATAAGTCCCACTGAGCTCAGTGGGTCTTACATCTGACATGCTTAGGATTGTATTATGCATGGTTTCACTTTCCATTTCCATTCCACAAAATTGAATTCCCTGTCACACTATGCGTGATGGCCATTAGCATACATGGTTTTAAAAGTGGATTAGACAGATTTGTGGAGGATAAGTCCATCAAGATGACCCATGATCTGAATGCATGTACAGAGCATCTGGCTGGCTAATGCTCAGAATGGAATTTTAGACTAGATGGACCTTGATCTTATACAGCAGATCAGTTCTTATGTTCTCAAAATAGAAAGCAGGTTTTGCTGGATTGTTTCCACCAGTACTGAAAAATACTGGATGCCTGAAAGCTATTTCATATTTTCCAGGGATGGGGAACCTGAAGAACTCAAGCTGTTATTGGACAACAACTTCCATTGTCCCTGACCATTGGCAATGCTGGTTGGGACTTACAGTAGTTGGCATCCAATAATACTTGGAGGGCCACGCTCCTCTTCCCTGATCTATTTTGTGCTGGAGCTCCATTGAGGCAGAGGTATTTAAAGGCACATGTATGGAGAAGAATTCTCAGACATAACACTCCTCTTGCAAGCTCCCCTCCTTCGAAATTCTTCTTGGCACTTTGAGGTGAGTGCTCAAAAGGCCTCAAGGGCGCACTGAGGTCCCTGGAGCCCCGCCCCCTCAAGGAGAGCCCTCTCACAGATGCAGCGGGCTCTGAGTTGCACCAGGTTTCTAAATATAGGGTGGAATTCCTCTCAAAATTCAGTCCTAACAGGGTGGAGAGGATAAGCACTTTGGAAATATATACTCTTGCTTTTGTGGCCAGACAAACCCACCAGGCCTGCACATCAAGCCAACACATGTTTTTGCAGTCCCAGGCAGCCAGCCAAAACAAACACATTTTATAAAGCCCCTGGTGGGACATGTTCGCCTTCATGGATTACAAGTTGTACAGGCCTAGTTTTATGAATGCACTTCTTAACCTCTTTGTTACATTGTAAAAATAGTTAAATGAAAATGCTACATTTAAAAGCTATTTAAATGGTGAATACTTGTGCCCTGATATGGTTTGGACCTTGCTTTGAGGCTTCCAGAAGCACAGCAATAAATACGACTGATGTAAGCATCTCTGAAACCAAGCAACTCTTATTATGTTAGCTTTTTACAGATCAATGGATGACTCGGTGTTGGTTTCATGCTATCAGGAATATTGTAGATGAAATAAAGTGTAAACATGACAGTGCACTTAGAATGTAAGATAGTTAGTTAACTGTTAACTTATTAACAGCTGGGACTTCCTAGCTGAAGTAAATCAGAGGTTTGTAATAATAAACATTTTATTCATTATACCCTTTCCTTTAAAAAAAGTTTTGAAATGTTCCACTGTTAGAGGCACACATAAATATTTAATATTTTTTAAAAATAAGTTGAAATAATTTTGTCATACTTAGACTAGTATTTATGAGTTCTGGGGCTTCTTTTGTATGTTTCTTTTTAAAGTTTGTTGTAGAGTGTTTCTAGTCTGCGTTGCTGTACATCCACTTGCTTGTGAAATTAAAAAGAAAAAAACCTAAGAAATGAGAGCATGCATTTTTCTGTTTGCTGACAACATTAAGTCAAAAGTTTGTACCTGTGTTTTAAAAAGTCTTATAACTTTAAACAATGACAGCATTACTGTATCTGAACATACAAAAGAAATATGAATTGCTTTCAGTGTCCTGTCATTTGCGTTTTGTGATGTATCTGAATACAATAATACAGCATTTGTGAATATAAATATTTTTCTCTGCTTTACAATTTAACAGTGCAGGCAAACAAAATGGTTCAACTTCATATTCCATAATGAGATGCTTAAGAAGTAATATTGTATGTAATATTTCAGAAAATTATAAAGCAGGAGAATATTTTTTTTTAGTTTCCTTCTGAGAAAATAACATGACCCAAACTTTGAATTGAGCAAAGGCTGGAGTCCCCAAAAGCATTGACTCTGTGCCCATTGACTTACACCTACATAAGCTCAACTAAGCACTCGGTGCTTTAACTGAGTTATGGATGTATTTGTTTGTTTATTTGGATCCACAGCCACTAGATATTTTATCTTGTCCCTGCCCAACAACCACCACTTTGAATAAACCACGTTTTACTGCTTTGGAAAATTCCAAATCCACAATTTGCTTTTCCTATTTCCTGCAGGGGAATCAATATCTCATGATAGAATTATGTTAAAATGTCTGCTGCTGTTGACACTGGGGAGAAGGTGCTTTGCCTGCGTCTTAGCTTGTGCAAGAGAAACTAACTGAGTGATCCCATCTGGAGCCAGGGGACAACAAAATGGTGGCGCAAATCCACCCTGCGACTTGTACTGGTCCAGGGCCAAAGGGGGTGGCGGCTCTCTTACTTTTTTCACCAGGACTTATATCTGAGTAAACCTGCATAGGATTACACTGTTAGGTTGCGTAAGAAATTCCTTAAAACCAGGGCTACAGGAGCCAAATAAGGGCCTCAGTTGCCTATTCCTAATTTAGATATTTGCAGACTTAACAACCTTCTGAAATTCCTGCAGAATACAAGAAGGGTAACGCTCTCTAATAATCGAGTTTCTGGCATACTAGGTGGCACAAAATGAACTACTGTTCTATCTTAAAATCAGTCTGACCTGCCTCCCATTCTGATACTGCCTAATTCACTCCCAAATCTCTTCCCAGGAGCTTATTGGGTACCATACCCTCCAACATTTATCCAATGAAAATAGGGTTGTCCTAAGAAAAAGCGGGGCATTCTGGGATCAGATCGGAAACCAGCACTGTCCCTGGAAAATAGGGACTCTTGGAGCGGCTGTGTTACTGGCCGGGAGCACTTTTGAGCATTAATACTTTGCACAAGCAGAAGATACTCCAGAAAGAATTCACAAGCATCTTTCATGCTCCAAATCCTTTACTTCATCCTAGGGAAATATTTGGACACTTTCAAGATGGAGTCTGCACAAGACACAACACCTCTGTGGTCCAAGGAACTAGTTATTTAGAACGAAGGGGAAGATGTACAGTATCTGCACAGCCTTTATGTACCCTCCATTCTTCTCCTTAGTTTTGTTTTGTTACAATGGATTATATTTAAGAAAATGTGATATCATTTTTAAAAATAAGTATGTACCACAAACCTACAAGGCAACTTGTAATTATTACTTCTTATTGGAGAGGTTTATTAGGTTTTTATTCTCCCCTCCCGCCAAGTAAATTAGGGAAGCACACAGAGTTTCCCCTTCCTATACGCCATTCCATTCCAGAGTCAGGAAAGAGGGCACCTTCTTCTTCTGCATTGTTCTTGGAACTCAGCTCTTTCAGGGGCAATTCATTTAATTGATTTGGTCTCCCATATAAATATTTTCAACTGCTGCCATTTATTATTTCATTGTTATATTTATTGCTTTCAGTCTGTTTTAAGCCACCTTGAGCACCCATTGTAGAAAGATGGGACAGAATAAACTTCTGTAATAAATAAACAAATACACAGGATTAAAAAACAACTATTAAGGAGGTTAGGCTGGGAGAGAATTACTAGCCCAGGGTTACCCAATAAGCTATGCGGCTGAGAAGAAATTTGTATTGGCAGGAGCCAGGCCCCAAATGTATCCTATAAATATGGCATGAAGGAAATGTTCCTAACAAACCACTGGGGAAACTATGAATACATTTCCTTTTGGCTACTGCTAAAGCAACTGGCAGTCATTCCTTTCAGAAGGTTAAGCCTTCAGTCCCACTTCCCTTCCAGCTGCTAAAAGAGAGACAAAGTTAGCATTCAGAGGAAAAAGGAAGAACATCCTTCTGATATAGAAGCCAAATCTATAAAGGAGAGCAAAGTATGCATATGTATGTATCTATATCAATGCAACAGTCCTTAACAAAGCAAATGAAGTTAGCCCATCATACTGCTTTCCTAAAAGGTGATTTCTTGTGATATTGAAGGTAAATCAGCATCTTAGAACATTAATTGAAACCTGCTAATAATAAATGTGCTTAGGAATACACAACCTCAAAGAAAACTACTGACACCACTGACAGACATTTTGCAGGAGGACTTTATTAGACAGAGAATCTGGCTTCAGAATGATCTCACCTTTTTAAAAAGCTATTCTCTGACCATAAAGAAGGCTGATCGCCGAAGAATTGATGCTTTTGAATTATGGTGCTGGAGGAGACTCTTGAGAGTCCCATGGACTGCAAGAAGATCAAACGTATCCATTCTTAAGGAAATCAGCCCTGAGTGCTCACTGGAAGGACAGATCCTGAAGCTGAGGCTCCAATACTTTGGCCACCTCATGAGAAGAGAAGACTGCCTGGAAAAGACCCTGATGCTGGCAAAGATGGAGGGCACAAGGAGAAGGGGACGACAGAGGACGAGATGGTTGGATAGTGTTCTCGAAGCTACAAACATGAGTCTGACCAAACTGCGGGAGGCAGTGGAAGACAGGAGTACCTGGCGTGCTCTAGTCCAGGGGGTCACAAAGAGTCGGACACGACTGAATGACTAAACAACAACAAATTCTCTTGTTCTTGTACTTTCTTGCCCTGTCAGTTCTGTGCCACAGGGTTCTGTGCCTGTTCAACATCTTTATAAACTACTTGGATGAAATAAATTAAAAAATTTAAAAAATGTCCAGTTGCACCTTAGAGACCAGCTAAGTTTGTTCTGGGTATAAGCTGTCGTGTACATGCACACTTCTTCAGATCCCTGAAGAAAAGCTTATACCGAGAACAAACAGTTGGTCTCTAAGGTGCTACTGGACAATTTTTATTTTTTTTAATTTATTTTGACTGCATCAGACCAACACGGCTACCTACCTGAATCTAGATACTTGGATGAAGTCATTGAAGGGATGCTCATCAAATCTGCAGATGACACCAAACTGGGAGGGGTAGCTAATGCTGCAGAAGACAGAATCAGAATACAAAATGACCTTAACAAATTGGATAACTGGGTCTAGGCTAACAAAATGAATTTCAATAGAGACAAATGTCAGGTTCTATATTTATGCAGGAAGAACCAGCTGCAAAAATATAAGATGGGGAACACCTGGCTTGTCAGTAGTACATGTGTAAAGGATCTAGGGATCTTAGTAGACCACAAACTTCATATGAGTTAACAATGTGATGCAGCACCAAAATAAGCTAACCCTCTTCTCGGCTGCATCAAAAGCAGTATAGAGATCTGGAAGTACTAGTCCCACTCTATTCCGCCTTGGTCAGACTACACCTAGAATATTGTGTCTGGTCCTGGGAGCCACAATTTAAGGATATTGACCAGCTGCAATGTGTGCAGAGGAGGGCAACCAAGGTGATCAAGAGTCAGGAAACCAAGCCTGATGAGGAATGGTTGAGAGAGTTGAATATGTTTAGGCTGGATAAGTGTAGACTGAGAGGAGATATAATAGCCATCTTCAGATAGCTCAGGGGCTGTCAATAATCTAACTTGAATGTGGTTGGTATAATAATAATAATAATAATAATAATAATAATAATAATAATAAATTATTTATACCCAGCCACTCTGGGCGGCTTCCAACAAAATATAAAAAAATACAATAAAACATCAAACATTAAAAACTTCACTAAACAGGGCTGACTTCAGATGTCTTCTAAATGTCAGATAGTTATTTCCTAGGCATCTGATGGGAGGGTGTTCCACAGGGCAGGCGCCACCACCAAGAAGGCCCTCTGCCTAGTACCATACCTGGTGCTTGCTGAGTTTTCTAGCCACATCTTAGGCATACAGTAGACCCACAACTTACTTGGGGCTTATGTTCCAGGGACTGCACCTAAAGCCAAAATCGCATATAGTCAAAACCCACTGGGTTTAGTGGCAGGTGGGATTACCAAAGCCATTTTCCCCTGAACCCTGCCTCTTTTCTGCCTCTTCTTCTTCTTCTTCTTCTTTTTCCATGCACTTAAATATAATTGCACACAAGTTGTGGACTTACTGAGAAAGGTCTCTACTGGGTTTAGTGGGACTTACTGTACGGGCTTTAAAAAATGTGTGTCACAAGTTGATAAAAGCTTCACAATTATTGTGTTGTCAATAATTACGGTTAGCAGCTTTTAATAAATGTAAATCTTAAAGGGGAACACAAGTACATACATAAAACAAATCCATATTCTGAGCCTGATTTAACTTAAAGCCGGGCATATGCAGAGGTGCCAAGTAGAGCTAAGAGGCAGCGTAATGAACATCCCAATCCTTCATGCCTTTTCTTCTTTCTGCAGTGTTTTCCAGAACTTGGACGGTAGTCACGCAGCCCTGCAAAACTTCCCTCGCTTGGTGGAGGCGCCTTCTCTGCTCCAGCTCCGGGGCTTCTCGCCTCTCCCCCTTGCACGCTGCATAGTTTCCGCCGTCCTGGGAAGGGAGCGGGGAGTCAATTGCAAAGAAAGAAAGAAAGAAGGCAGGCAGGCAGGCAGGCTGGTTCTTTAAAGGGAGCCCAAGGGAAGGAGCGGCGGGCTTCGCACTGATTCCCCAGCCCTGCGCCGCGGAACAACACAAAGCACTTTCGCCAGGGGCGCGCAGCGAGCACTTCGGTCCGCGTAGAGCTAGAACTTCTGGCGAAGGAAAAGCCCTCTGGGCATGCTCAGAGGCACGCCTGGCGAGGTCGCGCGGCTCAAGCTGACCGCCCAACCCAGGTAAAGCGGCGGCCTCCCCGCCCTCGCCCAACTCTGCCCCAGATGCCAGGGAGGGGAAAGCGCTCCGGGCGTCCTCAGAGGCACACTTTTCTGGCGTCGTGCGGAGCGCAGGGTTTTGGGCGCCGCGGCCCCCCTCGCCTGCCCGCGCCGCCCCCCATTCCTGAAGCGCCGGCCTGGCCGCCTCTCTCTCCCTCCCTCCCTCGCTGGCTCCCGCCTGTTGCTGCCGGCCTCGTCCAGGAGCCACTTCCTCTTCCTCTCGGACGCGGCCGCCCCCCGCCCGGAGTCGGCTCGCCTGGCGCGCCTGGTTGGGGAGCCGCTCGCCCCGAGAGACGGGCGGGGGCCCGGCGAGACCAAGCCCGCCCGAGAGGTAAGGCGCCCAGCCGCGTCGGGGGAGGAGGAGGCGGCTGCTCCGGGAGCGAAGTGTCGCCCCCCCCCCCCGCGAGAGCACTTTGGGAAGGGGGGTCGCTCTGGTGGCGGGGACGTTTTGCCTTCGGGGAAAGAAAGGGGTCGCATCCTGCAGTGCGCTGGCTCCCGAGGCATTTCTTTTCAGGGGAGGGGCTGTGCTCCGAGTGCCGCCCGGACTTCACCTGGAATCTCGTACCTGCCTTTCGGGTCCCGGGGTGGGGGGGGCAAGCAGGGGGGTTCTTGCGCTCGGCCAGCCTCCCAGTTGCGCCTCCGCCGCTTTCCCTTCAGACAGCCAAAACTTCACAAGCCCGGCCTCCGTCCGGTGTAGATGATGGAGCAGGAGGGCCAGCTTGGCCCTGGCACCAACATTTGTGGGAATCCGACCCCTTCCTGGGGAATTTGGTGGGTGCTGGCACCCCAGGGAGTTGGCACCCATGTTATGGAACACGGGGCGCTTCCAGACAGAAGTTCGGAGCTGCTCCTTCTTGCAGGCAAGTTTTTTGCAGCTTCCACAGCTTGTCATCAAAACGCCTGCAATGCTTAACATTTAATCTGGAAATATTACTGTGGAAAACCTGAAAAGTAACGAATACTGTAAGCTGTTCCACATCTGCCCACTGCTCCTGAGCACATTTTTCTTGGTGGGCAGTTTGTCACTTGTAAAGAGTTTCAGTGAGTGGCCTCCAAAGCCACACTATTGCTTCCATTCCTAGCGATTTTGCTTATAGAGCAGCACAGTTGATAAGGAAGGTGCCCATTTCCACCAACAGCTAAAGACACTCTTGAGCTTAAGCAATCTAATCAAGAGGAGCTGTTTCCTCAAGATCTCCAGTAGAGCCAGTGTGGTGTAGTGAGTTGAGTGTGGACTAGATGTTCGGAGACCAGGGTTCAAATCTCCACTTACTATGGAGCTCAATGGGTGACTATGGGCCTCTGTAGCTGTTCCTTAGAGGAAAAGGAAAAGTATGTAAATAAGTGAGTGAGTAAGTGAAAGAAATTACCTGGGAAACTGAAACTGGGCTTTAAATAAAACAAAGAATTAATTCAAAGGTCTTATGTAAGATCTTTTTATTCCTCTTGTGCAAGTCTTTGTCAGGTAAACACCACACTTGCACAATACTTTAGTATTAAGAATTAAAAACAAACAAGCAAACAGAATAGTTATTGTCCCCTCCCTAAAGCAGAAGACTTCATTTTCCCCATTGTGAAACATGATGATGAAGACTGAAGACCAAGTCGCTGGCCAGCAGTGGCAGGGCTTGATGGCACAACCACCGCCCCATCTTCAGCCCCTCCACTTGTGTGAACAAGGGAAGAAGGGTGGTAGTGGTGAAATGACCTCTTTGCTCCCAGGCTGGTGCAGCAAAGAGACTTGGATCAGGCCCATTGCCATCACATGATGGCAGAAGCAGGGCCAGCTTGGGATCCAGCAAATCCTGTGCTGATACAGTGCTGCCTCCAAAATACCCCATTTCAGGCAGGGATAATTCTGGTGGTATTTTCCAGCAGATTTAGTGGGCATGTTGGGACATTCTTTGCTAGTGTGGCTTCCTTGCCAACGGCAGAGCTGGGCATGGCTGGGTGGAGGGACAACTCCATCCCATCCTAATCTCATCCAGCACAGTGGATCAGGATTTGAATTGCTCTTCCCAGCTGCTAACTTGTTCCTGCACACTTCCTGGATCTTTTTTTAAAGGTGTGCATGCGCAGGTAAAGAAATATTTGTATGTATGCATTAGAATCAATGTTAAATATTTGAACTAGCTGTAATAATAAATGCAAATTTCACATTTGTTTGTAATTGTGATTTAAGGATGTATTGAAGGTGGAAAAAAGCAGGGGGGAGTGTTGTGGTAGTCCTTTTCGGAAAAATCAGCATAGAAAGAGCTAGGTAAAGGTAAAGGGACCCCTGACCGTTAGGTCCAGTCGTGACCGACTCTGGCGTTGCAGTGCTCATCTCGCTTTACTGGCCGAGGGAGCCGGCGTACAGCTTCCGGGTCATGTGGCCAGCATGACTAAGCCGCTTCTGCCGAACCAGAGCAGCGCACGGAAACGCTGTTTACCTTCCCGCCAGAGCTACTTGCACTTTGACGTGCTTTCGAACTGCTAGGTTGGCAGGAGGAGGGACTGAGCAATGGGAGCTCACCCCGTCGCAGGGATTCGAACCGCCGACCTTCTGATCGGCAAGTCCTAGGCTCTGTGGTTTAACCCACAGCACCACCCGCATCCCCTATAGAAAGAGCTAAAGAAGCCTAAAAATGAATTTTTGTTCTGTCAACATAAAAATGCTTATTTGCTGATATTAGACTTTGGACCAAACATTTTCTGCAGGATTTTTGATCAAGGCCTTGGAAGTCGAACGGACTTCCGGAATGGATTCCGTTCGACTTCCAAGGTACATCTGTATGAGTAATAACTTTATTAGTGTTTATCTGACATGGGGGCAAAATGCAATAAAACAATTATTGAAGGTACTCAGATTACATGGTACAGAATGTGCATAACATAGCAAAGTTTCTGTTTTGCTTCTGTCTTACCAATGGGTTTTATCATTTATTACCATATTTATTTGGAAGGCCCCATGTGTGGCTGCTACTCAAAATCCATCTCTATATGGGACATCTGTGTGATAAGCAGCAATGTTTAATGTTTCTCCAGTGGTCTTTTGAAGTGCCATGCAGACCTTGGGACAGTTGAAAGTGGCATGTGAACATTGCACATGGTAAGACCATGACATGTGTTGTTTCCTCATCGGGAGGAGTGGAGAGAGAGGAAGACGAGAATCACATACCACCACTATCCTATTGGCATACCTAGTGCAACCTTCCTGAACCTGGTACTCCCTAGGTGTTTCAGATGACAGCTCTCAGCTATCTAGGCTGTACTAGATGGAACTGGTGGACATTACATTTCAAAACATTTGAGGAAGGCTCATCTAGTGAAAAATTGAAACGATGCAGCTCTGCTAACTCCCAGTGCAGCATTTTAATAGGGTTTTCACCACAGAGTCCCATAAGAGAATTTTTCTGGGTGACAATGGCTCTCAGTGTTTACCAGAAAGCCAGGCTGTTTCACTCTTCTTTTTCTGTTGCTTTTCTTGTAAATCTATTCTTGACCTGTGTATTTCCACAATGTCAAATTGGTAAATGAAAATTTGAACTGCTCTAGTTTTTTAGAGCAGTCGCATTAACATGGTGATTGTTGTTGTTGTTCTCCATCTGCCTTGAGAGACAATGGCGTGACCTCCCTGGGGCACAAGCCTGGGCAGTATGTAAATGGAAGTCCTGGGCTGCCCAGACAACAAGACATCCCCCTCGGCCGTGCTAGTGTGGTCCAAAGTGAAGCAGAGCAATATGTTTGGCTGCAGGAGTTGTTGGAAAGAGGCGCCATCCAACTGTTTTAGGGACTCCACTCTGGATTTGTGTAGAGTTTATTCCTTAGCCTTTTCTTTTCCTGAAGAAATCCCACAAGGCAGTGGCGGGTTAGGATCAGAGTTTTCCTACTCCTAGATGGGCTATCTTGCCATGTTGACAAGCCCCACCTGCTCCTCATTTCCCTCTATAGCGTATGCAGAAGCCACTCAATCCACCGGAGCCTGTCATTGCATGCAGGGGAAGTCCCTAACTCACTGAGGGTTTGAGACCCATTGGTTACCCTCACCTGGTTTAGCTGGTCAGTCAAATCCATTTCCTGGAATGCTGATAGCTTCTAGGAGCCACAGGTGAGAGCTGAGTGCAGCGTGAGAACTAAAGGTGGACAGACTGTACTACCGCTCCCCTAATACTCCATGGATTCTCTTCAAATGTATGAGAGTCAAACAGTTTAAAATACGGTTTTGAAACCTAAGAATAACTTGATTGTATTGACACAACCTTTCTGCAGTTTTCCATGGCATAGTGACACAATGTGAGAGGCTGCTATAACAAAATAATATGAAGTGGTGGCAGGCTTACCCTCTGTAGACAGGGAAATATTGAGAACTCATACAAAAGCATGAGACAGCCATAAGACATGTCCCCCCCCACCACAGAAAATGACTCAGTCATTTTCATGAATCTGAGGCTCCTCGTATGAATATGTTATCAAGCTTTCCAATCTTTTGGAACATTTCCCACAATAATTTACCTGCAAAGGAATCTTTGTGCAGTTGCCATTGCAGGGGATTGTGGCATGCACATGATTCATAAGTATCAACGTACTCCATAGAACAGGCATGTGCAAGATCCGTTTCAGGGGCCTAATCCGGCCTGCCAGTTGGTTTAATCCAGCCCCTGTGGCAGTTTATTTCCTGGGGTAAAATCCTAAAAAAACCCTCGACAACTTCAGTCCTAAAAAAACCTCAACAACTTCAATCCTAAAGAGAGCTCAACAACTTTGGTCGGCCCTCACGGCCCTTCACTTCATCAAATCTGGCCCTCTTTGAAAAAAGTTTGGACACCACTGCCATAGAACATCTTCAGCATTTCTCTGCTGATGCACTTTGCAAGGGAGGTTACAGGCAATCTGTCTTTCTTCTCCTTTACAGATCCATTATAGAGTTAGTTATTGAGGAACACTTGGAAAACTTTTCAAGAACTCAATACCCCCCCCCCCAAAGCAGAGTTAGAAAGGCGCTTATTTTAGAGTATTGACTGGTTCATGTGTTTTCTACCTTAGAAAAGTATGGTTCTGCTAGTGAACTTATTGAATTACTGGTTGCATTCACTCAGTCAGAACTAAAAATCTGAAAACATTCAGTTAAACACCAACTCTGCAATTCTGTGATTTTTAGGTTAAAAGTAGGAAAACCACACTTAGTCTGCTCACTGCTAGTAATTTCCTGTCTCTTGCTACACTCCAGTTTTGTCTGATCTGTCCAGAAAGAGAGGCTGTTTCTTGAATGGGCAGTAAAATATTCCCAGTTCACAGAAGACAGCATAAACTTTCTAGACAGCTGTAGGTTTTTGCTTTTCTTTTATAGCCCTGTTACTGACCCAAATTCCAAACAATGGTCCGAAAATTTTGGATGGGCTGGCTCTCTTCCAAGAACTTTGTGATCCTTTTAAGATTTGGAGAGCGCACAAGCACCACTGTTCTGTAACTGGTTAAGCTTTCAGCAAAGGACAAGTGTACCAGTTTGGACTTTGTCACAGATTATGTGAGAGAGAGAAAATATGCAGCGGGTCCACTGAGTAGCAGTTTGTTCATAAGCTACATCAAGTTTTGGAAAAGAGCAGAAAGCAATCCAGTCTTGAGCAAGTGTCTTTTCATTGCAGAAAATTACTAAACCCATCAGGAATTCTTACATAGTATGTGAAAGTAAATTTATTTGCTTTGCTCATAGAAAGGAACACCACTGACTTCATGCAAACTTGTGTGTGTGTGAGTGTCAGAAGTCTTGATGAGCTGAGCTATACACAACATGTTAGTGATGACTGGAATTCAGACTTGTTAAAGTCAGTTTCCAAGGTTCTTTCACACTAGTATCATTTCCAAAGTTTAACATGATATAGAACATGTTAACTGTATATGAAACATATATATATATATATATATATATATATATATATATATATATATATACTATATATGAAAATGAAAAATGAATCATTGGTTGTAATTTTTACAGAATTACTCTGCAGTAATTAGAAGCACTGGTAAGGATGTTGCAGTCAAAGCAATCAACATTGGCCCACAAGTTTGTATTCCCTCCACCCCACCCCACCAGTGATCTTGATTGCTGACACTGCCTTATTTGATATTTACAGACTGTTATTCAAATAGCGTGCAGAGAGGCTTCGACAGTTTTACCCCAACGTAAATTGAGGGCTTACTATATGTCAAATATATTTGCATGATGGAGTGATCAGATTGTAAGGGCCTCCTTTCCCCCTGTCCTGCTTTGCTCCCAGTTAAGTGACATAGTCCAGCTTTTCCCATTGGCCATGTGCTGGAATGGCTGGTGTCTCTGAAGAAGAACCCTCACAGGGAAACACAAATATCCAATAATCGAGACTGCCATTGGGTCCTGTGGTGGAAGGAGAGTCTTTCATGTGGCCTGGCTTGATGCCCATAACCTTTCAAAAATGGACTGAATTTTGGAGTGCCTGTATTCAGTGCAACATGTGAAACCACTTTCCTTTTACTCTTCCAAAACTGACACTGAATGGTAGTCAGCTATGTTTTACAGAGTAGACCCATTGAAGTTAATCAGCATGGCTAAGTTAGGTCTATTAATTTTATTAAGTTTTAGTAGGTCTACTCTCAGTTAAATGAATGCCACTCAATGAATTTCTTAGGTTGCTCTGCAGAACTTTTCAAAGCCAGAAGTGTTTCTGCAACATCCAAAGCCCAGTGCGCTATTGTGCATTCCTCTTCTTCCAGTTGTGGAAGGTAAGCTGTGGTTTCTTACATTGTGCTTCTGTGGTGTGGTTTCAAAGCGCAGTATGGTATGAGAAGGCCCCACCTCTCTCAAGTTCTGAGGCATGTGCAGAGGGTTTGGGAAGGGGGATGAGTGATTATTATGCTAAGCCATAATTTGTGAACCTCTGGATAAATACCAATCCTGTGTGAAATACAGTACTTTCAAAACAGTGAAATCTCAAATACCAGTAGTACTAATGTTCCCTCTTCCTCATCTTTTACTTTAGAGCAGATTCCTAGAGAGTGAAAGTTGATCCTCTGGTATTTCTGTTGATAACATTTTATCTTTCATGACTTCTGCTATCCCCAGGTTCAGCACCTTTGCACTCTGCCTTGAAGTTTTCTCACCTACTTTTTCCTGGTTTGCTAAACTCCTGCTTAGGTCTACTCTGTTAATGAATAACACTTGCCATGTTAGATAAGGGGCAAAGTTTCAGAGAGCCAAATAATTGCACTAGGGCAGATCTCAAAATGCAATCCAAGCCTTGTTAGGGCTGCTTTTGAGAGTAATGTACAATCTTAAAATGACTGTAGTTGAATGTGCATCTTGGTAGTGATATATATATATATATTGATATATATATATACACATACATATATATATATATATATATATATATATATATATATATATATAAAAGCAATTGTTAAATTACATTTTTAGAAATATTTAGAACTGGAAGAAGAGGTTAGGAATCTGTAAGCAATAAAATTGGAGTAAAGTTTAAAGTCACACCGGTTTGCAGACTACACTACTGTATTAGCAATCTGAATAGTTTGTAAGATCCTCTCCTGAGTTGGAGGTGGTTAGGCTTGTCTATAAAAGGTACTCACAGGTGGCTTTCTCCATGGTGATCTCATGATTGAGGGCCCCTCACTTATTTTTGTTTGTACAATGAGCAGACTTTCAATTTCTTTGTTCACATTGCTGAACTATTTAAAGGGGAGATCCTGTAACTATTTGTATACACAGCTCACTGAAGTCAAACTGAATAAAAGCAATATCTGGAAATCCACATAGAATTTCTAACTGCGATGATCAGACAACTGATGTTTTATGAGCTTGTTTTCATCTTGGTTGCTCTTTGTTGTTGGACACTGGGATGGGGAAGGGGCTGGAACTCTCCATACTTCCACCCCATTAAATTTGAGCCAATTTGCCATTTTTGTTGTTGTTTAGTCGCTTATTCGTGTCCGACTCTTCGTGACCCCATGGACCAGAGCACGCCAGGCAATTAAAAATTTGCCTTTTTAATTGACTTTAATCAGTGCCTGAAATAGGCAAAACAGGAAGTAGGGTGGTCCCAAAACTGGAGAAAAGTGAAAGTGGGATGGTTAGGCCAGAGTCGGTTTTGGCTTCCTCTATGTTGAACAAGCATCCTGAATTGCTTAGACAAATCTTATTTGGAGGTTATATTATATCTAGTCTTGATGAGCATTTGTCCTGATTTGTTCATGGGGTGGTTAATATGACAATGAATATTTGTCTTGCATTTATCCTAATTTGCTTATGGGGTGTTTATACATCTTCCTGCTAATCAATTATTCATCCTACTTTTCAAAGCATTTCCCTGTTACTTTCCAAGCCACAAAAGTCCATTTTTTATAAAGTGGCTTTGTTGTGCTAGGATGATAAGAGCACTTTAATTCCTCCTGCAAAATAGTGACAACGTGGAGGCACCCTTTGACTACTTGAAAAGAAGCAGTAAAAGATATCTTCAAGTGGAAAAACATCCCACCCCACTTCAAGCACTCACTTTAATTCATTTCTATTACTGTGTTTTTACTTTATATCTGTTTTGATAAAAAATTAACTTTTATGCTTTGTTATAATCTATAGATTTAAACAAATACTATCTTCCTACCTGTCAGGTTAGAAACACTTGCCTTTTATAATCCACATACAGCTTTATTGATGTCCTTAGACCCAAAATGCACAGTAAAGGTAAAGGACCCCTGACAGTTAAGTCCAGTCATGAACGACTCTGGGGTTGCGGCCGTCATCTCGCTTTACTGGCCAAGGGAGCCAACATTTGTCTGCAGACAGTTTTTCCAGGTCATGTGGCCAGCATGACTAAGCCGTTTCTGGCGAAATCAGAGCAGCACATGGAAATGCCGTTTACCTTCCTGCTGGAGCAGTACCTATTTATCTACTTGTACTGGTGTGCTTTTGAACTGCTAGGTTAGCAGGAGCAGGGACCGAGCAATGAGAGCTCACCCTGTCATGGGGATTCGAATTGCCGACCTTCTGATTGGCAAGCCCAAGGCTCAGTGGTTTACAGCACAGTACAACAATAGTAAATATCATCAGTTTTTAAGGTGTAAGATCAGCCTTACTAGCCAACAGAGGAGCTTTAGCCTGTAAATACTGATTTCTGATTCTCACTGCCTCCAAAAGGAATTTTGCTGCAGCCAATGTAATAGTATTAAACTTATCCTCAAGGAGAACCGTGACATAAAATAAGTCATCAGTTTTAGGTTGTTTAATTAGTATTGGATTGATTAGATGTTTTCTAACCTGTTTATACAGATTACAATGCAATAAAATATCTTGGGAGAACGGGCACAGCCTGTCTTGGTATGTGACACCAGCGAATCTTCTCAGCACTTCAGAATGGAAAACATTTAATCTGGCTTTAGGAAACAGACAACAGTAGTTAGATACAGTCAAATTCTTAAGGTAGGGAGATAACAAAAAACCCTGTAGGTATTAGATTCCTGACACAGATGGGCCACAGGTCACATGCGAGCGATACTGTAAATCACTAAAGGCAATATCCCATAACCTCTGTTTCACAGTTTTGAGGGCAGAATCATACCCCAGGTGGGTAAGAAAAGATGGTGAAAGGCCTATTGAAGAGGCCTTAAGTACCATGGTTTTTGACCAGGAGCTGATGTACTCCATTTATCAAATGAAGGAGTAAACGTACAGATAAACCCATGAAAACATCAAATTTGTGCTCTGTTTCTCTGTGTTGTACTTTGCCTGTAGCGAGTCTGTACGTCCTGTTCTCTTTCACCCTGTAAGAATGAACAGAATCTCTTTCTGACGGTTTACGGAAGTTGGGACCCCCCCTCCCTCCTCCTCCCTCCTCCAGATCCCGTACTTTGTTTGCAGTTACAGCTGGACTAACAATGCAACATTTGAATTAAGAGATCTGTCAAGTCCTGGCACCATAGACAGTTCCTGTATTTTGGCTCCTGAATGTCAATGTAATCCTGTGTGTCACTGTATCAGTGGACTCCATGAACTAGGCTCTCAGCCGACTGTGGAAAAGGAAATAATGTCAAAAGAAAGGAAGTTTGCCAAGGCCTAGATAAAGATGTGCTATTTTTAACAACCCTCAAATTTGGGGGCTAGATATAAAATATAAAAATTTTAATAGACCAGTACATTTATATTGGAAGGAAGTTTTTTGCTCTACCAGGAAAGTGTTCAGAACCATAAATCAGCATGGGAAATACTGGCACATGTAGAAGCAGCAACCTAATTATTAAGATTAGGAAAAAGGCGCTCTTGGTATAAATGCCAACCTGCCTTTTAAGAAGCAGTTCTGGATCTTGGAGGTATTCGAATCTCCGAGGTATTCTGGATCTCCGAACGGTACTATAGCCACTCCTTAACAGCATTACCATCTTGTTTAATTTCAGTTTTAACCATTTTAAAATACAACTCCCACTACTGCATTTTGAAGTACATATCCCAACCATCTAGATTCCATAAAATGATAGTAATTTGTAAATTGCAAATTCAGTAAAAATATATTAGGGTGTAATTGTGGAAGCTGCATCATGGGAATATTATTTCGAAAGTAAACAAGTAATCAATTTGTGGGGTATAAATACTAAAACTATCATTATGGAATGGGACATCCCTATTTTCATCGGAGAAATGTTGGAGGGTATGGATTTGTTTGTGTTTATTGTTTGTGTTTTGTGCATTTTGTGTTTAAAATGAATATAACTTTTTTTTAAAAAAAATCTCACTAGAATTGCCAAACTATGTTACCTATAACTATGAAAGTTACATCCAGGTGTGGATCACGTATAGCTTGTAGTGATCATTGCCAGACATTGGCATACAGATGAAGAAGTAGAGCAACTCAGTGGTTATAAATGTAAAGAGTTTTATTTAGGTAAATGCACAAATACACAATGTGCAACACCTTGCTTGACAACAGCAGTACATGTTGAAAAGGGTTTTAGTAGACAACCAATGCAGCCCGTTTCAGCAGTGTAATGTGGCAGCTAAACAAACTTCTCAGTTCTGTCAACAGAAGTATCCAGATCATGAAAAGTAATGATAATCATAATGTCAGGGGTTCAGGAGCAGAGGCAAGGGCAAGGGAGGAAACAGAGAGCGAGGGGGAGGAGGCAGAAGAAAAGATGAGTGATGACGACGACCCGAGATCTCCGAGTCTTTCCAGTGAATCAGAAGATTCACAGAAAGGAGCACCAGTGGCCAGGGCAAGGGGGAGCCTAGGGGACGCCCCAGGAAGATAGAGCCAGAGGGGACTCAGAGGGGAGCAGTTGGAAATCGGGACCAGCGTCACCGCCAGAGAGCAGGGAAGAGGAAGGGAGCCAGGGATCAAGCGCTGGCAGCTCACAACAGGGGGGAGGGCACGAGTCAGGAGTGGCCACACCTCCATCGGGGAGCGAAGAAACGGTCAGACGGAAGGTGGAAGGTTGGGCGCGCGCGCAAGTTCAAATGCACAGGAAGGTGGCACAGTAGGCAGCCCGGAAAGGGAGCCAGGTCCTAAAGCCCGCCGAAAGGAGGGAGAAGAGTCAGGGGGGGGAACGTCAGCGTCAGAAGAATCCCGGAAAGAAGAGACCCCAGGGGGCAGAGGGACCCAGAGAAGAACAGTCAGGCGGAAAAGGTGGAGCAGGGCTAGGATATTAAGTTGGTGTACAAGGGGCGGAGACTCAGACGGAGCTTCGCCGATCTAACCCCTAGACGTAGAGCTGGGCGCTGCGGCTTGAAAATGGAAACTGTACTTCAATAAAGACTTTTGTACATTACTGCCGGCTAGCGTTGGTCCTCTGTGAGCTGGGACCTGGAGCCAGCTCTGACAGTAAGCTCCGTCTCATAAAGTTTTGCACCAAAAACCTCGTAACGTGAGTGGACGCAGCGAGGGAAGAAGATTGGTGCTTCGCGAGCTCACAAAAGTCAGGCAAGATGACTACAGAACAGCAACTAGCAGCCCTGCAAAATGCAGTGACACAACTCAACGCGGAGGTACTCGCATCCAGGAAAAGGGAAGAGGAAGCGGCTGCCGCCTGCAGGGATCTCCAAGCCAGGTTGGAAGTGCTTGCTAAGCAGGGGCAACCGGGACCCAAATCAGAGGGGATTGGGCTGGGGAAAAGAGGAGGCAGCCTGGTATCTCATTTCGATGGGAATTTGCAGCAGTACCCTAACTTCCGAGCAGACGTGCTGTTTGCGCTGGAACTGCTGGATAAAGACTTTAGAGATGAGCAAGAGAAGGTGGGGTTTATCTTGTCCCATTTGCATGGGGAAGCTAAAGCGTGGCTGCGCAATCTGTGGAGAGATAAGGATCCGGCGCTCCAAAATGCGGATGCATTCATTAAAGCGATGGATTCGTGTTTTTATCAAATATAGACATTGATATCGCCAGAAAAGACATACATGGGCTCAAACAAGGCAGAGCCAGTGTAAGGCAGTACCATTCCCGCTTTTTGCATTAGTCCATGCGCTGGGATGGGAGAAGGATTCTGCCCCAGCCAGAGACCTTTTTGGGAAGGCTTGAATGCAAATGTGAAAGATGAGATTGCAAGGGGGGAGAGACCAAAGAGCACTCAGGAGGTTGTCCGGCGGGCGCTGCAAATTGGGGTGCGTCTGGAAGAACGTCCATGGAACAGAGAAGAAGGACGTTGGGGACGTACGCCAGTGAGAGCACCTCCCCTCTTTCCCAAGGATGCAGCGCGTGTGCAATCCCCACCTCCGCAAGGAGGGGAGAGCAACCGATGGAGATTGGAGGCGCCAGGGCTCAGTCAGCAACCAGAGCCCTAACACCGGGAGCAGTCAAAGCGAAGCCTCCTAGAGGGAACAGGAAGTGCTACATCTGCGACAGTGCTCAGCACATGGCGAAAGAGTGTCCCCAGAGGCTCCACAAGCACACTGCAGCCTCAGCAACAGTAACAGACGCAACTCAGCAGAGAGAACCACAGCAGGGAAACGACAGAGTCTGGTTGGAGGAAGAGGCACTGGGGCCCAGCCAGACAAGTCAATGAAGCCGTCCCCAGAGATTTTGCAGCCCACAGACCCCTCCCGCCCAAACCAGTGGTGCAGCTCACAGCATCGCTCCAACTACCCAATGGACTCACTATGGAAGTGCCGATTACCATTGACTCTGGTAGTAACGCAGACTTCATAGGACTGGATTTCATTCAAGAGCACAACATAGCACTCCTGCCAGCCACGCTGCCTCTGAAAGTTGTCACGGTGGATGGCAGGGAATTGCTGGGGGGGCAGGTGGTGCAGCAAACGCCTCCGATGGTAATGCAAATTGGGAATCACCGAGAAGTCATCAGCTTCAATGTCACCCAACTGTCGGACACGCCTATAGTATTAGGCATGAGTTGGCTGCACAGGCACAGCCCAGCATTGGCGTGGTACCAGCGACAACTGACCTTCGGCTCCTCATACTGTGCGGAACATTGCATTCTGCCTAGCCCGGAAGGGGAAGAGGATGACCCGCAGCTACAATTAGGCACGCTGCAAGCAGTGCCACTCAAGTACGCAGCGTTTTTGGAGGTTTTCTGCGAGAAGGAAGCGGACAAGCTACCTCCCCACAGGTCCTATGACTGCAAGATTGACCTCCTGCCAGGGGCGACGCTGCCAACCGGGAAACTGTATTCCATGTCTGAAGACGAGCTGCAGGAACTCAGGGAGTTCATAGACCTCAACTTGAAGCGCGGTTTCATCCAGGAGTCGAAGGCAGTGGGGAGCAGTCCTGTATTCTTTGTGAAGAAGAAGGACACGCCCCAAAAAGGCTTGTGGTGGACTATAGAATTTTGAACTCGAAAACCAAGCCCACAGCCTTTCCCATGCCCAAGATAGATGACCTGCTCGCAACGGTGAGGAAAGGACGCGTTTTCACAAAGTTGGATCTGCGAGGGCGTACAACCTGATTCGCATACGGGAGGGCGACGAATGGAAGACTGCCATGTTCACGCCCCTGGGCACCTATGAATACAGAGTTATGCCCTTTGGATTACAAAATGGCTCCCACTGTTTTCAAGCCTTCATGCATCACGTATTGGCGGGTCTCCTCTACAAGAAATGCGTCTGCTTCCTGGACGACATCCTGATATTTTCAGAATCAGAGGAGACCCACGAGGGAGACGTCAAGGAAGTTCTGCAGAGACTGCAGGAGCACAGGCTGTACGCCAAGCTGGAGAAGTGCCAGTTCGACATGAAGGAGGTAGATTTCCTGGGCTACAAGTTGTCGGACAAGGGGCTCGCCATGGACAGCGCCAAGGTTCGCTCAGTGTTGGACTGGAAGAGCCCGCGCAATCGGAAGGAGGTCCAGCGGTTTGTCGGTTTCGCCAACTTTTACCGCAAGTTCATCAAGGGGTTCGCGATGCAGACGGCGGCCATTACCGACACGCTCAGCTCCAAGAAGAAGAAGTTCATCTGGACGGAGCAAGCGGAGCAGTCCTTTCAGAAACTCAAGCGTCTCTTCTCGTCCGAAGAGCAGCTACTGCATGTGAATCCCAGCAGACCGATGAGGGTTGAAACGGACGCCTCAGACAGAGCCGTGGGAGCAGTACTGTTGCAGCAAGACCCGCATGGGGACTGGAGACCGTGTGCCTTCTACTCCAGGAAGCTCAGCAAGTCAGAGCAGAACTACACCATCTGGGACAGGGAGTTGCTGGCCATTCATGCAGCATTCAAGGCGTGGCGGCACTTCCTCATTGGAGCCAAACACACAGTGCAGGTCCGCACGGACCATAAAAACCTGGAGTACTGGCGCACGGCAAGGTTCCTGAACCAGAGGCACATACGATGGGCGGAGTTCTTTGCGGATTTCGACTTCAGGATAGAGTACATCCCAGGCGACAACAACATCATGGCGGATGCACTGTCCAGAAAGCCGCAATACCTCGAGGAGGCGGCACCAGCAGCGGCCAAGCACATTTTCGCACCGAAAGCGTGGGCGTGCGCTTCAGCAACCGTGGACCTGGATGCTGTACGTCGAGCACTGCAGGAGGACCCCTTCGCGCAAGCAAAGATGGCAGAGGTGCAAAGGGGCACGGCGGAGGACGACGAGTTCCAGATACGCGACGGATTGCTCATCCGCAGAGGGGCCCTCTACGTACCGGGAGACGACCTCCGCGCGAAAGTACTGCAGCAGTTGCACGACGCACCCACCGCCGGGCACTTTGGCAAAGAGAAGACGGTAGAATTAGTAGCCAGAGATTTTGGTGGCCCAAGATGCGGGGGAAGTCGCGGATTACGTCTCGAGGTGCGACACCTGCCAAAGGGCCAAGTCAGTGCACAAACCGCCGGCGGGACTGCTCGAACCGCTGCAGACACCGCTCGAACCGTGGGAGAGGGTGGCCCTGGACTTTGTCACGGATCTACCCAGCTCGAGGGGCAAGACGGCAGTGCTAGTGGTGGTGGACATGTTCACCAAAATGGCCCACTTCATTCCGTGCGCGAAGGTGGCCACGGCGGAACAGACCGCCAAACTGTTCATAGACCACGTGTTCAGGGTTCACGGTCTGCCACGGTCTATCCTGTCCGACCGGGGCGACAGTTCATCTCGAACTTCTGGCAGAAGCTGATGGGTTTCCTGAACGTCAAGATCAACCTAGCGTCGGCGAGACACCCGCAGACGAACGGACAAGCGGAGCGAGTCAACGCCATCATGCAGCAGTACCTGCGATGCTACGCAAATCAGCAGCCGGCAACATGGGTGGACTACCTGCCGCTCGCTGAGTTCGCCTACAACAACACGAAGCACGTGTCCACGGGGGTGACACCGTTCTTCGCCAACAACGGGAGGCACCCCAGAACCTTCCCGGGACTGGAAAGAATGGGGGAGGGGGAGCCGCAGACAGCAGATGCATTCGCGTCGGAGTTGCAGGAGGTCCACGATCAGCTGCGGCGGCACCTGGAGCTGGCTAAACACGCATACAAGGTACAAGCGGACAAACACAGAAGGGTTGGCGAAGAGATCCATGTGGGAGACTGGGTCTGGTTAGCAGCCCACGCAGTGCCGGCCAGGTCGTTGGCGAAGAAGAAACTAGGGCATAAACAACTGGGGCCCTACCAAGTCGAAGAACAGGTCAACCCGGTGGCTTTCAGGCTGGCTCTTCCGGAGGGTTCCAGAATGCATCCGGTGTTCCACAGATCGGTGCTCACTCCATACAAGGCACCTCACAGGTTTCAGGAACCAGGAACGGCACCGGGTCCGCTCCGAGAGAGAACCGGGCAAGGGGAGTGGCACGGGAGGAGCGCATCAACGAAGCCACGGAGATTTTGGACTCCAGATGGGGGAAGAGGGGTAGAATACCTTCTCGCCAAGGAGGGCACCCCGGCCAGTGCCACCCGCTGGGTGCCGGGCTACGCTTCCGACGCACCTCTGCTCCACGAAGAGATTCAGGCCCTCTTCCCACATAGGCCAATGCCAGCAGACTTTTCGACGACTGGCTTTTCACGCCCACGCTTTCAGCCAGCACGTTCCGGGGGTTCGACTCGGACGAGGAACCGACACGAGACGCCCGTTCCCCGGAGGGGTCACCCTCGGGATCTGCTTCAGAACCCTCGTATTGGTGGGATGATCGACCAGAGGAGCAGTTCCGCAGAAGGTGGCTGGAGGGTCCAGGACGAGCAACGTCTCCAGAAGGTAACGAGGGAGAGACGGACATGGACGTTTCGGGGACGACCCGGGTTTCGAGCACGGCGGCACAGAGATGGAAGCGGAGGTGACCGTCGTCAACGAGAGCAGGGAGGAAGAACCGGAAGACTTCAGATGGCGGCCCGCCACGGGGAGCGAACTGTATCCGACATTCGTCCCCCTGACACGGCAGCACCCAGATCCCGCACCGGAAGGAGGGGAGGGGGGAAGAGGGGGCTTCGAGGGGGGGATGGATGTCAGGGGTTCAGGAGCAGAGGCAAGGGCAAGGGAGGAAACAGAGAGCGAGGGGAGGAGGCAGAAGAAAAGATGAGTGATGACGACGACCCGAGATCTCCGAGTCTTTCCAGTGAATCAGAAGATTCACAGAAAGGAGCACCAGTGGCCAGGGCAAGGGGGAGCCTAGGGGACGCCCCAGGAAGATAGAGCCAGAGGGGACTCAGAGGGGAGCAGTTGGAAATCGGGACCAGCGTCACCGCCAGAGAGCAGGGAAGAGGAAGGGAGCCAGGGATCAAGCGCTGGCAGCTCACAACAGGGGGGAGGGCACGAGTCAGGAGTGGCCACACCTCCATCGGGGAGCGAAGAAACGGTCAGACGGAAGGTGGAAGGTTGGGCGCGCGCGCAAGTTCAAATGCACAGGAAGGTGGCACAGTAGGCAGCCCGGAAAGGGAGCCAGGTCCTAAAGCCCGCCGAAAGGAGGGAGAAGAGTCAGGGGGGGGAACGTCAGCGTCAGAAGAATCCCGGAAAGAAGAGACCCCAGGGGGCAGAGGGACCCAGAGAAGAACAGTCAGGCGGAAAAGGTGGAGCAGGGCTAGGATATTAAGTTGGTGTACAAGGGGCGGAGACTCAGACGGAGCTTCGCCGATCTAACCCCTAGACGTAGAGCTGGGGCGCTGCGGCTTGAAAATGGAAACTGTACTTCAATAAAGACTTTTGTACATTACTGCCGGCTAGCGTTGGTCCTCTGTGAGCTGGGACCTGGAGCCAGCTCTGACACATAATAATATCATTGATTTATTAATCACCTTCAAAACAACAATCTCAAGTCAATGCATACTGAAGATAGTTAAAAGCGCAAAACAGCAATTGCTGTTATAGTTTTGTTTTGCTTTTGTTTTTATTATTCATTTCACGGTTTTATTTTGTACTTTTATGTTGTGAACCGCCCTGAGATCTTTGGATAAAGGGCAGTATACAAATTTTTAAAAATAAAACCATACAAAATAGACACTGATGGCAAAGAACTGAGATTGCAAAGAAATGCTGCACAATCAGACTAACCCTCAAGAAATTGTCTTTGTTTGATAGAGTCCGTTTAGTTGAGGACCAGTCCTTAGAAGTCACTACAGCCCTATTTTGGAACATGTCGTATGGAAGGAATTTTACATTAATAATGTTTTCTGCTGTCACAAGGCCCCTGGTGACTAAATCGATTTTCTCAAGAATGTTTACTTTCCTTTGTACATACGTTGGGAGGCCTCTGTAAGAGGGAAGGATTGAGAAGACACGTTTATGATTGTTTAAGGTTAAGTTCCACTGTGCCGTTTTGTCGTGAGCCTTTTTAGTTAGGTTAGAATGAACAAGATTTCCTTGAGACATCTTGAGAAGAGTTGGTTGCTTGGGAACCGAGATTTCCTTTAGTTTTCCCGTAACCCCGCTGGAGGGTGACGTATGCTCTGCTGTGGCTTGGGGCTTGTCCTCAGGATGCTTTATTGAAGGACCTGAGTTTGTGGTTTTCTTTTGTGTTGTAGAAACCGAGTTCTTTATCGTTGGATTCTCCAACAGCTTAAAGAGCTTTTGGAAATTCATTTTTTTAGTCCGACAGAGCGGCTTTCCCTTTTGGCTTCCCAGTTTGATATTTTTAGGCTTTTTCTTTTTTTTGCATTGAGTTTTTTCTCTTGGGAGCAGGGACCCTCCCTCCTCCTGGGCTGGTTGGATTCTGTTTGGGTTTTTTGTAATCAAGGCCCAGTTGGGTTTCATTTCCATTGGTCATATTATTAGTTGTTATGTGAAGGAAGGAGGCTTCTTGTCTCTTAATTAATTCAGTTAGGGTGGTAAGCAGGCACAAACTTTCCGAAAGGAAATTTTTAATTGGCTCCAGTTCTTTACTTAATTGTATAGAATAGTTTTTGAGCAGCTCATCCCTGACAGGTAAAAAATGTCATCGTCCGGGTGCTGTAACCTTGGACTGTTTAGTTGTTTGTCTGTCTCAGCCAACTCAACTGAGGGGGAGCACCTTAATTTCTCTCCTGATAGTGAGGGTAAGGAAGTCCCGTTTATCCTGGTTTCTGTGTTTTTCAGGAATAGTTCCTGTTCCAAATATATTTCAGGGCCCTCTTTGGCTTTTCTGGCTTGTTTTAATTCGGTTGCTAGATCTGTCCCTTCCCTTCTGTCGTTCGTTTTTGCCTCCCTCCCAGTCCAGGTTGTTTGCTTCGTTTGCCTTAGGCTGAAAGTAGGGTGAAATTTTGACCTGCTTTTTCTTTGGGGGAGTTATAGTGGATTGTGTGGGGGAAATTCCCAGTTCTTTGTAGCACTGTCTTGTGAGTACCATGCTTGGACTCAGAAATAATTGAAGCTGCTTTTTCTGGCCCACGATTTTGAGGGCTTTGCTTGGGAGGAGTTCTAGTTGTTTTAAATAGTTTCAAAAGGAGGGGGAGATTAGATTATCAGCCCAGCAGCTCCCGAAGTTTTTTCTAACAGGAGTTGGCGCTTATTTTCAAGGGTTGAGCATTTTAATCGGAGTAATTTGATAAATAGAGCTCCTACTCACTCAGCAGAGACTCAGTGGAGACTTGACCCGGTGCCATCTTCTGGCAAAGACCCATTTATCCCTCTCCCTCTGTGAAAGCCTGTTGGAACAAAATTGTTAATTGTTTCCGAAAAGTGCAGATAGTGGCCACCTGCCATGCTTTGACAGGAATGCTGTTCCACAACCCATTGCATGTCCCACCAACCCCAGCCACCATGACCAATGATCAGGGATGTTGGGGTAGATTCTTAAATATATCTCGAAGGCTGCTGCAGTAGATAGGACCCAAGTCCAAATTATGAGAAAGGGGATTTTGACTGAACATTAGGAAGAACACCACACATAGGAGTATTGGAAGCCGCCTTAAACCAAGTGAGACCATTGGTCCATCAAGCCCAGTATTGTCTACACCATGTGTAGGCAAACTAAGGCCCAGGGGCCGGATCGGGCCCAATCGCCTTCTAAATCTGGCCTGCGGACGGTCCAGGAATCAGCGTGTTTTTACATGAATAGAATGTGTACTTTTATTTAAAATGCATCTCTGGGTTATTTGTGGGGCATAGGAATTCATTCATTATTTTTTTCAAAATATATTCCGGCCTCCCACAAGGTCTGAGGGACAGTGGACCGGCCCCCTACTGAAATAGTTTGCTGACCCCTGGTCTACACTGACGGGCAGCAGCTCTCCAGTATTCAGGCAGGAGCCTCTGCTAGCCCTGCCTGGACATGCTGGTATGCTTTCAAACTGTTGGGTTGGCAGGAGCTGGGACAAAACAACGGGAGCTCACCCTGTCATGCGGATTTGAACCACCGACCATCTGCTTGCAAGACCACCTATCAGGAATGTTGTAATGGTAGGGTTTTTCATGCATTGATGGGTTGGATTAAATGATATTTTGAGATCTATTATTCTTATTCCAGATCTCTTATTCTTATTCATCATGGCATCAGCAAGGCATTTGACAAGGTGCCCCATGATATTCTTGTAAAGAAGCTGGTAAAATGTGGTCCTGACTATGCTACCACTCAGTGGATTTGTAACTGGCTGACTGACCGAACCCAAAGGGTGCTCATCAATGGTTCCTCTTCATCCTGGAGAAGAGTGACTAGTGGGGTGCCACAGAGTTCTGTCTTGGGCCCGGTCTTATTCAACATCTTTATCAACGACTTGGATGATGGACTCAAGGGCATCCTGATCAAATTTGCAGATGACACCAAACTGGGAGGGGTGGCTAACACCCCAGAGGACAGGATCACACTTCAAAACGACCTTGACAGATTAGAGAACTGGGCCAAAACAAACAAGATGAATTTTAACAGGGAGAAATGTAAAGTATTGCACTTGGGCAAAAAAATGAGAGGCACAAATACAAGATGGGGACACCTGGCTTGAGAGCAGTACATGTGAAAAGGATCTAGGAGTCTTGGTTGACCACAAACTTGACATGAGCCAACAGTGTGACGCGGCAGCTAAAAAGCCAATGCAATTCTGGGCCGCATCAATAGGAGTATAGCATCTAGATCAAGGGAAGTAATAGTGCCACTGTATTCTGCTCTGGTCGGACCTCACCTGGAGTACTGTGTCCAGTTCTGGGCACCACAGTTCAAGAAGGACACTGACAAACTGGAACGTGTCCAGAGGAGGGCAACCAAAATGGTCAAAGGCCTGGAAACGATGCCTTATGAGGAACGGCTAAGGGAGCTGGGCATGTTTAGCCTGGAGAAGAGGAGGTTAAGGGGTGATATGATAGCCACGTTCAAATATATAAAAGGATGTCACATAGAGGAGGGAGAAAGGTTGTTTTCTGCTGCTCCAGAGAAGCGGACACGGAGCAATGGATGCAAACTACAAGAAAGAAGATTCCACCTAAACATTAGGAAGAACTTCCTGACAGTAAGAGCTGTTCGACAGTTCACACACAAGGAGTGTGGTGGAGTCTCCTTCTTTGGAGGTCTTTAAGCAGAGGCTTGACAACCATATGTCAGGAGTGCTCTGATGGTGTTTCCTGCTTGGCAGGGGGTTGGACTCGATGGCCCTTGTGGTCTCTTCCAACTCTATGATTCTATGACCATCCACATGTAGCTTTTTAAACTGGCAGAAAAAGTGAGGGTTGAGTGTGTCACTATAGTCTGTGTCTTGGCTCTGTGACCTCGATTTGTGGATGATGGCTGTGGCTGACTGATGCAGTAATTGAAGCCCCAAGCTTTAGTGGCTGAGTACTGAGTCTTGGCCCAGAAAATGAGATCATATGTGTGTTCTGTTGTTGTACCTTGTTTGAACAAATGGCCCTTTGGCCCTTTCATGCAGCACACAATTAAACTACGGCACTCTCCCACAGGAGGCAGTGATGGCCACCAATGTAGATGGCTTTAAAAAAGAGTTGAACAAATTAATGGAGGAAATTCATGGAGCCATGATGGCTATGCTCTGTCTCCACAGTTGGGGCAGTAACGCTTCTGAATGCCAAGTGCTGGAAGTCACAGGAGGGGAAAGGGCTCTTGTTCTCGAACCCGGATTGCAGGTTTCCCACAAGCATCTGGTTGGCCACTGTGAGATCAGGGTGCTGGAACAGATGGGCTGTTGGCCCAATCTATTATTTATCATTATTATTATTTAGTAAATATCTATCTATTGCCCTTCATCTGAAAATCACAGGGCGTTTTACAACATAATCCCCACTCCGCCATGAAGCTCACTGGGCGACCTTGGCCCAGTCACCATCTCTTAGCCTAACCTAATTCACACGGTTGTTGTGAGCACAAAATGGGGAGGAGGAGAACCATGTACACCACTTTGAGATCCATGGAAGATAAAGGTGGTATATAAATGTAACTCCTCAAATATCTTTGTGTCCCCATCCTGCAGCAGTCTCTCTTAACATTAGATCTGTAATCTTATATGGTAAAGGTAAAAGCTAAAGGACCACTGGACGGTTAAGTCCAGTCAAATTGGACTATGGGGTATGACGCTAATCTCGCTTCAGGCTGAGGGAGCTGATGTTTGTCATGTGGCCAGCATGGCTAAACCGCTTCTGGCACAACGGAACACTGTGAAAGAAGCCAGAGCACAGAAATGCTGTTTAGCTTCCTGCTGCAGCAGTACCTATTTATCTACTCGTGCTGGTATGCTTTCAAACTGCTAGATTGGCAGGAGCTGGGACAAAACAATGGGAGCTCACCCTATCATGCGGATTTGAACCACTGACCTTCTGATTGGCAAGTCCAAGAGGCTTGGTGGTTTAGACCACAGCGCCACCTGTGGCCCCTAATCTGCTATGGAGGATTAGGGGGCCCCCTACTATTTGCTCAATGTGCACTTTTGACTGAGGTCAAGCAAACAGGGCCATTTATGCCATTGCAGTTAAAATAATAATCATAATAAGTTGGTTAAAATCACCATAAGCAACTTGTGGGACGCATGAAGAGGAGGAAATGCCAGCAGCACTGTCTTTAAAGTGCAATCTACAGGAAATAATAGACCAAAAGGATAATCCTAAAGGCTCTGGTAGGAAATAAATGGCACTGTGTTGTTGACGGGAAAAGATCTTGGCAAAACTGTTGTGACTGTTCCTGTGGCTTAGAAAGGAATTTCCTACTGACTGGACTAACCATTAAATATGTCTCTGCTTCTAGGAGGAGTTCGGTGAAGCTTTCCCAGAGAAAATGTCAACTTTGGCCATGGAAGCGCAGGGTCTTGACGAGAGAGGAAGTTTTTTTAAGGTAACTGAAAAGTTGTTACTTTATTTTGAGTAGGGAGACATTTTTTTCTTTGACATGTAAGGTACTTATCTGTTAACTGCTAATTCCTTTCCATCCTCATTATTTAGACAAAGCTACAGTAAGAAAACCTGGCTTTTGAACCATTGGAATTTTTATTTCTGCAGTTCTAGACTTTTGTAATCTTAACAGAATAGAATAAACAATGCTATGTGCTGTATTTGAATCTGATGCTGTGGCCATTTGATAAGAGATCCAGCTATGTGCTCATTTGTAAACATGCTGCTATTTTCAATTTAGCTAGAATCTAGATATTCCAGTGTCTGTTAAATAATTCTGTGATTTTTATATAGGCAAATACACACTGGTCTCAGCAACTATTAGTTTAGAATGCAGGCATGTACACACGGAAGCTGAAGTTTAAAGCTCAAGGATGATTAATAGATTGCTGGAGAGCTTTCAGTTTCTGCTGAAAACTTCCTTGATTTCGGGCATTTGTCATTTTACTTTGAGACTGTATGTGAACAGCCAGCAGTGGCATGATTTATTCTAAGGAAGATGACTTCAACAGTTTACCACTTAAAATAATGAAACTGGAAACTTTTGCTTATGGTCCGGTCCTTCAAATGCACTTCAGCTATGGAATCGTTCCGTAGAAATTGAAGCCAGTTTCTGTGCTTGGCAAGTGGGGCTGATCTGTCCAGACATTCAGGGGTGGGAGTGAGGGTGTGGGTGGAAGCAGACTGTAAAACAATGATGTTTCCAGGCTATATCGGGGCCTGCTTCCTGTCATTGTCCCACTCTCAACAGGGGCATAAAATGGGCAAGCTGTACTGTAGGGATGCTCTGTTTCAGTAGAGATGTCATGGAGCAGAATATCATAAGAGTATGTGGTAGCACCCCCACCCCCACCCCATCCACCCAGGGGGAAAAAGAAAATCCCACTGGAAAGATTCTTTGTGTTGCTTGTGAAAACTGCTATTGCATCCAAGGGTCCCACTGTTGTTGTTAATATTTATAATTATAAAGTATCATGAATGTGCACATTACAGAGGAACAAAAAGCCAGGAACTCAGCTAGATAGGTAAAGAAAAAGCATTTTTTATATAATACTGTGACACCAGATGGCGCTGTGGCGTCCTGTCTTTCCCTACCGGATTTCCTGGTATGAGTTTACAATGTGTTTAACAGAATCGCTTCTTTGACATGTCTAGATCCAGCCCAGGTCTTTGTCCTGCAGAGCCTGAGATTTTAAACTGATGCTTAAACAGCCACAGATCATCAGTAATCTCTTGAAAGTTTGTTTAGAACCCTTACCTAAAGGGAGCTTCTCACTGTACTTGACCAATACATTTAATGCCTGCATACTCTTCTTATGGGTGGCGCTGGGACGCGGGTGGCGCTGTGGGTAAAACCTCAGCACCTAGGACTTGCTGATCGCATGGTCGGCGGTTCGAATCCCCGCGGCGGGGTGAGCTCCCGTTGTTCGGTCCCAGCTCCTGCCCACCTAGCAGTTCAAAAGCACCCTTAAGTGCAAGTAGATAAATAGGTACCGCTTTATAGCGGGAAGGTAAACGGCGTTTCCGTGTGCTGCGCTGGTACTGGCTCACCAGTGCAGCTTCGTCACGCTGGCCACGTGACCCGGAAGTGTCTGCGGACAGCGCTGGCTCCCGGCCTCTTGAGTGAGATGAGCGCACAACCCTAGAGTCGGTCACGACTGGCCCGTATGGGCAGGGGTACCTTTACCTTTACCTTTTACTCTTCTTACACCAGGATTTTCTGCAGCATGTAAAAAGCATTTACACATCTTTAAACACCCATGCGCACATGTCTGAGGACCAAACCAGATGTGATATCATTCACATAATTAGCAATGGCTTGAATAGTTGTTGTTTTTAGCAAAACTCAGAGACACAGGGGTCCCAAGCTGGATCAGAACCTTTCTGGGTGGGTGGGGATGCTTTATCCCTTTGCCCTGCGCTGTAGTCCCAATCTGGATTTGGCCACCTGCACCTGCTGTTTGCATTGGGGGGGAGAGCTCCTATTGGTGCCAATGGAAGCTTTTCTCTTGCAGCAAGTAGCAGGTGTGGAGGACTTGATCCAGACTGCAGCAGGAGACAAAAGGATTAAAGCCTTTCTCCCCACCAAAGTTCTGATTTGTATCCCTCCATGATTGCTATTTACTCATTTAAAACAAACAAACAAACAAACAAACAAACTCTCCAGTGCAATTGCTTACTGCATGGATGGTGTCATTTGAGTTTGACCATGAGAATTTGGATCGGTCTAAGATCCACAAAAGTCACGCGCAAAGGTGTATGTCACCCAGACTTCTGTATTTGCCACAGGAAACACTGAGGGAAGACTGTTGAATATGGGGGGGGGGGGGGGTTACGTATATAAAGTGTAGAGCTGCTCCAGTTTTGAAACCTGTTTACACAGCAGAGTGTACTTTGACAATGCTGTATTAGCTCTTCTTCAGATTTTAATGAGGTGTCTATTCTTTACTGTCTTGATGCTTGTAGTAACTAGCTCTCAGATCTACTACACATTCTACTTCACATTTGTCCTATTAAAAACAGCATAAAACACTTAGTTACAGCAATTAATGTTTAATTATTTTTAAATTATTGTTTCCAATGTTTTTAGCTGTTCTTACTTTATCTGTAAGTCGCCTTGAGTCTCTTTCAGGGAAAATGGCAGGGTATAAATAAATACAAAATAAATGTATAATATATTACAGCAAGTTACCACGGGTTCTGAAAAACCCTGCTTATAGCCCTCTTGCTGTAAATTTATTCAATTCATTACTCTTCCCCAGCTGCCTATTTTCTTGCAAGAATTTAGTCCATCTAGTATGCATGCGAGACAGAATGTTAGGAATAAATTCCTGATTTACAGCTCAAAGCACTGACTGGATATTGCAAAATTAAAACTACCGTATTTTTCGCTCTATAGGACACACCTTGTTTTAGAGGGGGAGAACAAGAAAAAAAATTCTCCCCCTCTCTGCGCAGCGCCCCTTCAGCAAAGTGGCAGGAGAAACGGAGCCCCTTCCATTTCTCTTGCAGCTTCGCTGAAGGGGCGCTGCGCAGAGAGGGGGAGAATTTTTTTTCTTGTTCTCCCCCTCTAAAACAAGGTGCGTTCAGTGCGTTCAAGGTGCTGTTCAGTCGCCTTCAGTGAAGGCAACCCGAAGCCTCCAGAGGGCAGCTAACTTGAAATTTTTTTGAAATTTTTAATCATATTAATTCTTTTAATCACTTTTTTAAAAAATTCAATTTTGTAACTTAAATTTAAAATTTAAAGTAAGTCCATACCATATTAAAGCCCATGAAGTTCTGAAGAGATTGGTGTTTTTAGTTTTGATGTATCTCAATCCTGGGCTGAGCTTTTAAGGTTTTTGTGTAGTCTGGTAAGGCCAAATTTGTAATTTTTTAAACAAAATTCAAACCCTCTTAACTCACAAATGGGATGAGATAAAAAATTAAAAATTTAGATTTAAACTTAGTTTTGATCATTTAACAAGTATGCAAAATATTAAGAAAATTGAATGGCACGAGGTAAAAAAGTTGGATCACTTGATATGGAATGATTTTGCTGATCTCATTCTGTAACATCAGTCTAATTTTTGAACTTTGTTTGTTCTCACCCCCTTCTTTGTCTAACACCTTGCCCCATGCTTCTGTGACTTTTGGGTTGGTCCCAATAAAGGTATCACCCAGTTGTGAGTCTTTCCTGTCATTGCCTTAACAATTTACTGTTGTTTTTTTTTCAAACATTGCAAATTGTGGACAAAATGGATTGCTTCAAGAAGTGGCAGAGAGACATCTCTAGATTTGTCTGGCAAGAAGCCCAGAATAAAATTTAAGATATTAACTGATGCAAAGGAAAGGGGTGGATTTGCCCTGCCAGACTTTAAACTTTACTATGAATCAGCAGCTTTTTGCTGGTTGAAAGAATGGCTGCTTCTTGAAAACACTGACATTTTGGACCTAGACGGTTTTAATAATGTATTTGGATGGCATGCATATCTGTGGTATGATAAGGTCAAAGCGCACAAAGCATTTAAAAATCATATTGTCAGGAAAGCATTGTTTAATGTTTGGATAAGATACAAGGATTTATTGGAAAACAAAACCCCAAGGTGGCTGTCACCGATGGAAGCGAAAGCTCTGAAAAGGCTCAATATGGAGGCCAAATGGCCGAAATATTGGGAAATTTTGGAAGAAGATGGGGATAGACTGAAATTACAGAGTTTTGAGAAATTAAAAAACAAAGTGCGAGACTGGCTTCATTATTACCAGATAATGGAGGCATATAATTTGGACAAGAAAATTGGTTTCCAGGTGGAAAAATCAAAATTAGAAACAGAACTGTTAGAACCCAAAACTAAGATTTTGTCAAAGATGTATAACTTGCTGTTGAAATGGAATACTCAGGATGAAACGGTGAAATCTGCTATGATCAAATGGGCACAAGATGTTGGACATAACATAATGATGGCTGACTGGGAACAGTTATGGACCACAGGTATGAAGTTTACGGCATGTAATGCCTTAAGAGAGAATATTATGAAAATGATATACAGGTGGTACATGACACCAGTCAAGCTTGCAAAAATTTATCATTTGCCCGATAACAAATGTTGGAAATGTAAAGAAACTGAAGGTACATTCTTTCACCTTTGGTGGACGTGCCCAAGGATTAAGGCTTTCTGAGAGATGATATATAATGAATTGAAAAAGGTATTTAAATATACCTTCTTGAAGAAACCAGAGGCCTTTCTCCTGGGCATAGTCGGTCAATTGGTGCCAAAGAAGGACAGAACTTTTTTATGTATGCCACAACAGCAGCAAGAATACTCATTGCAAAGTATTGGAAGACACAAGATCTACCCACTCTGGAAGAATGGCAGATGAAGGTGATGGACTATATGGAATTGGCGGAGATGACTGGCAGAATCCGAGACCAGGGAGAAGAGTCGGTGGAAGAAGATTGGAAGAAATTTAAGGACTGTCTACAGAAATATTGTAAAATTAATGAATGTTAGAATGATGTTGGATAGAAATTAAGTGGTTTTCAGCTGTAATACTATAAGGGAATATGAAAAATGGATTATTAATAGGTAAAAATTTAACGTTACAATATTTTAAGATTAAAGATTAGGATAAACAAAGAGGGTAAGGATTTGCTGAACCAACAAACTGAACTGGAATACAAAAAAGGGCGGCGTGAGGAGGTCCGGGAAATAAGCTAATGAAAAATAAGTAATGGAAAGATTGAGTTGTTTTTTGCCATTTTTATTTTTGTACTTTTTTCTTCTTTTGTTTTTGTTTCGTAACATTTTGAAAATCTTAATAAATATCTTTTAAAAAAAAAATTAAAAAATTTTTGCCACAGAGCATTTGAAGCTACCCATATTTAGATTCACCTTGAATCAGTTCTGGTGTTTTCAGCTTGACTGCTCACTGTGAAAAGAAAAAGGGGGAAGCCATTATTATTTGGATAAATGGAAATACAGTCATACCTCGGGTTGAATGCGCTTCGGGTTGAGCGTGTTCGAGTTGCGCTCCGCGGCAACCCAGAAGTAACGGAGTGCATTTGCCGCATGCACAGATGCTCAAAATGACGTCACGCACATGGGCAGAAGCGGCGAAAAGCAACGCGCGTGTGCGCAGACGTGCCATTTCTAGTTACATTTGCTTCTAGATGCGAACGGGGCTCCAGAACAGATCCCGTTCATATCCAGAGGTACCACTGTACAGTATGCTTTGTAACGTCGTAGGAGAACAATGTGTGGTTCCACTCTTAATGACTGTATTTGCAGTGGAATGTTTTGTATGTGCTACCGCAGAGCAAACTTTTTCAGCAAACTTTTTGTTAGCAAACTTTTTCAGCATGGGGCCGGTCCACTGTCCCTCAGACCTTGTAAGGGGCCGAACTATATTTTGGGGGGGAAATGAATGAATTCCTATGCCCCACAAATAACCCAGAGATGCATTTTAAATAAAAGCACACATTCTACTCATGTAAAAACACACTGATTCCCGGATCGTCCCTGGGCCGTATTGAGAAGGCGATTGGGCCAGATCTGGCCCCCGGGCCTTAGTTTGCCTACCCATGGCTAGGGCTTGCCGATCGGAAGGTCGGCAGTTCAAATCCCTGTGACGGGGTGAGCTCCCGTTGCTCAGTCCCAGCTCCTGCCAACGTAGCAGTTCAAAAGCACGCCAGTGCAAGTAAATAAATAGGTAGTGCTGCAGTGGGAAGGTAAGCGGTGTTTCCATGCACTGCTCTGGTTTCACCAGAAGCGGCTTAGTCATGCTGGCCACATGACCCGGAAAAACTGTCTGCGGACAAACACCGGCTCCCTCGGCCTTTAAAGCGAGATGAGCACCGCAACCCGAGTCGTTTGCAACTGAACTTAACTGTCAGGGGTCCTTTACCTTTACCTTTTTACTGGAAAGAGGTGTGTCAGATGCCTGCATAGTGGACTTCTGATTGGTGGTGAATGCACAAGCAGAGGAGATAGAAGTAAAATATTAAAGTTATGTTTTATATAGCGTTCATTTCTGCACTGCTGTGTGAAGATGGAGTTTGCTCAGAATGAAATACTGCTTGTATCATCCATGCTTAGAGCTTGTGGTGTGGATCCCTCTGGTGGACAGAACTGTGAAAGATACACTCTTTAAAGAGCCCAAGATTCCATCATACCCAAACAAAAGCCAGATTGTATGTGGCTGGCTGCTCAATTCTCAGTTGCTCCCATTGAAAGATACAGGCTTTGCCTCACACTCAGCAATCTGCAATGTGGAGTATAGCGACAGCAACACTGTCCATCACCCCCCAGACACTTGCAGGGGGCAAGTTATTCTATTCCAGCAGTATAAGTACACCCTGAGTACTTTTAGCTGAGTGATTACCATTCACTGCTGTGGTAAAAATAAAATAAATTACTGCACTGGGGGCAACTTCACAGTGGGAGTAAATTATCTCTGTCTGGTGGGCTGCCTGGCTCCGTTTACTGTGAATCTATGGGGACCCCTGTGCACCCCAGGGGTTTCTGTAACATAATATATTTCACCTCCCACATGAACCTGTGTTCTGACTATGATAACAACAGACATTTTGAGGCCTGTATAGCTAAATTGTTGCCTTTATCAATTGGTGATGCTAAATTGCAGCACAGTGTGCTTTTGTGTCCAGCAGGGGTCACATGAGCACTAGAAGCTCCAGCAGAACAACAGTAGCCCAGGCCACAGCTTCACAGATGTGGTGAGCAGGCATTGTCTTCAGGGTTCCTTGCCTGTGCAAGTTGTGCCTTGCTAGGTTAGACTGATACCTACTTTCTAAGAGTCTCAGAAGACACTAGAAATGGACCCGGGGTTTGTGTCCTACCTTCCATAACACCCCAACCATCCTCATTCCTTCTGTAATGGTTTGAAGTCTTTGACAGAAATCCCTCAGAAGTGAAATTGTGCCCTTGAGCACCATCCCATATTCACCAAATGTGCCATTGTGAACAAACCTGTTCAGCTTTCAAAGGAACCAGGGTAGCAGAAGTGGTGTAATAGAGCAGAAGGATTGCTGTATTGTGAAAGTACTAATGGAGAGGATATTAAGGGTTTTCTCAACAAAATAACATATAATCCAGGCTTTATTATTAGTGTTCTGTGTAAATTGCTACTATATTATTACTACTATATTTTGTCAAAATCTTCTGCTTCTGCTTCAGAATACCGTTTAATTCCTGCATGTGCTTAAGAGGTATCAACGGTCAAATGAATTGCCAGGATTTTTAGTAAAAGAGAATTATGTTTTTGTTTAATACATGGATCTCTTGTATTTTAACCAATGTAGCATTGAGAATATAGACACTGGAACATTATAGTGGGGAATTACGGTAATTTTTCCTAGGGGTGGACCAGCAGATTTCAAGTCTGTTAAATGTTGCAAATTACTTTGTATTTTTTTATATAAAAAACCAGGGGATGCCACCCCTGCTCGTGTTACTTGCCAACCATTCACAGCTTGTCTATATATTTCCATCTTTGTTTTATTCAAACTTCTGCTGTTGTTTGAAACCACAATTTTAAAACCTGCCTTCTCTTTTGTTCCCCCGCCCTGACCGTGCAGACTACAAATTCTCCAGTGAGGGCTACGTGACAACAGCCTGACATTTTTGTGTATATAGGGATAAATACCTTTGTTTACAGTAGAGGTAGGGAACCTGTGGCCTTCTAGGTGTTGGTGGACTATAGTATTTGACCCTGCTAAGAGAAAGAGTGTACGATAGGAGTGCCTGGCATGCTCTGGTCCATGGGGTCACGAAGAGTCGGACATGACTAAACAACAACAAAGAGAAAGAGAAACATGGATAGAAAAGTACCCTTTGGTTACCATCAACCAAGACCTCAAATAAACTTTAAAATAAAGGCGAATTCATTCCTTACTCATGCTTAGGGCCTTGCTGCGTTGACAGGGGAGCAGGCCTGTGCTTTTAGCCTTGTCCCTGACATTGTTGTGCCTTTCTGCGACAGCTGTGTGTTAGGCACGGTTGTCTGCAGTGAAATTCCAATGTGCACACGCCTGCTTGTGTTGTTGAGGCTCCTGCAGCTGGAACACCTGCACAATTCTGCAGTGGTGTCCTGATAGTTCATAGCTGCCACTTAAGCAGCAGCTCATGCACTGGAATTTCACTTCACACAGTTGAACACAGTATGTGGTTGTTACAGAAAAGGAGCACCAGTGTTGGTGGCACAGCTTAAAAGCTCTCCATCAACACAGTGAGGCCTACACAAAAGCAATTTATAAATGGGGCTTAGCTGGTCCCCCTTTGATTTTTGGTAATAGTTTTCCAAAAATGTTAACAATAAAACCTAGCCAGAAGTAAAACAGCTACAGGCAGGCTTCATGGAATCGAACTTGAAAGACGATAAATTACAGATATCAGTGTAACAATTACTTGATATTTATAGGGTGGAGCAGCACTTCAGATACTTTCCATCTGTACTTTCCATACATTTTCTAAAAACAGATAACAAGTGGCAAAGGAAGGGTCTGGCCTGGTTTGGTTCTTAGAAACTCTGTTCTATTTATTGATGCAACTCATTTCACTAGATGTTCCTAGCTGGGACTGAACAGTGGAATCAGTTTGGCCTTTCCAGTGTGAGGCAACCTCTGTTCTGGCAGGAAATCAGATACTGTTTTTTCCGGCAAAACAAATAACTTTGCTTCAGTAGTATTTCACATTAATTTGGTAGAATGTCGAAAGAGCTGTCTTTCCCCTTCATATGGAGGGTGTAGCAAACTCCCTTCCCATCTCACATAAGTGAATAATTAAGGGAGCCATCCTATACTCAGGAAGCTGGCACAAAGCAAGTGGCTTTAAGCGAAGCCACTGCAAAGTTGCACAAGATCCAAACTCTATTCAGCAGTTGGGCTACTGGTAGCTAAGCCAGACAAAGCCTGGCAGAGGGAAAACAAGCCTTTAAAATAGTGTTTGATTTACATCACCCTTTTTTGCTAGCTTAACTTCATATGCTCAAGCTGAGCAGGCTAGGATCCAGCCTAAGCACGCATACCCCCCCTCCTGCTGGTCCTCCCCCCAGAATGCCCCCTTTTAAGGACTTAAACCAGCTTGGGCTCAGCTCAGCCAACTGGAGAGTCATTGGTGTCCCTCGAGCCGAGCTGAGGATTGCTACTTCCACTGGCGTGAGCTGGCTGTGCTGGAAGCCTCCTCACTCAGCCGGAGATTCTCTGGATCCTGCCTTCTCATCCCAGCAGATCTTGCTATAGGATTTCTCCCTATGTGCCCAGCTTAACATTTCTTATAAGGATGATTGAGGAAATGCTTTTTCGTAGCTTTTATGATATTTTGTTGGGGTTTTGTGTAAGTCTCTTAATGGATTATTTTTTGCTGGAGAGGCCTCATATAAATCTTTTAAATAAATGTTACCACCTGTTGTTAATGTATTTAGTTTTGTATTCCTGGGTTGTAATCTGACCCATTCTATAAGCCTCCACGAGGCTTATCCTGGTCTCTTTTCCTTCAGGAAAGGGAAGTCAAAATGGAAAGGAGCAAAACAGGTTGTAATCTTGAGTGACCCATTTTGCCTACTATTTTATTGCCACACCTCTTCCACTTGTTTGACGTCATACTGTTTTTGCCCTTTCTCTAGCTGATTGACACAATCGCTTCAGAAATCGGAGAACTGAAACAAGAAATGGTGCAAACAGATCTGGTGCTAGAAGATGGACCCACCAGTTTACAAAGGTTAGTAGCATTATATGGCAAGCATTTGGTGTGGTTGTGCTACAGAGGTCAAGAAGGTGATGTCTTCCACCATGCTGATTAGTTTTTAGTACTACAACTATGAAATACTACTTGGTACTTTGGCTAAGGTTAAAGCAGTTTTCCATTGACAGTGACTGGTGATCAAAACTGTTGTGTGTTCATTCTTTTTATTTGCTCTTGTAGTAATTTAGTGGTTACTGGGACATAGTTGTTCAACTTAAAACTAATAGCATGTAGAGTCTTTAAGAACTGAATGTAGAAATGAATGTAGCTTTCAGGTTTAGCTACTGAGAGATTTCAGCCAAAATTACAAAAGTGCATGCACTTTTTATTTCATGAATATATTGAGGGCAGTGAAGGTTTAGACAGGAAATAATTGTTCTGTATGTAGAATTTATGCTACCTTTTAAACCAGATCTGAGATACTATTTGTGTTTAAACTACTGTTAATTTCAGTAAGAACTGAGATTCTCATAATTTACAAACTAGTTTGAAAAATTTCAGATGGGAATAGTGCCCTTTCTGTTTTTCTGCATAACTGCTGATGCTCTGGTATATCTTTGAATGAAGTCCTGCTGCTGACCAGTAAACTGAAAGATCGTGGGTCAAGCTGAAGTTCATTTTGGATGAGAATGCCAGCCTGGCATGTGCAATGGAAGCCTGGCTAGATGAGGTGTGGGAAATTAATCGCTTTCCAGCTTTGCCCGGCAGACTTCCTAACAGAGTAGCCAATTAGCCCTGGGGAAACAGCAGCAGAAGTGCAATCACCCGTTCATAAAACTAAGTACTGGCCAGGCCTGGTCCCTCCATGAGGCAGGTGGAGGCAGCCTCCTCAGGCGGAGGCAGGCGCGCTAGCTTGGCCCTGTGACCATGGGTGCTGGGCCCGTGCATGCTGCAGAGGCTGTGCACGCGGCGTCAGCACATCGTGAGGCGTGTGCATCAGCACACCCAGCAGTGTGCACGAGTGACATCAGCACGCCCCATGGCGTCACTCGTGCACGCCGCCAGGCAGGCTGATGTCGCACGTGCATGCCCGGCTGCCCGCTACTGCAATTTGCCTGGCCCCTTCATGGAAAATGTTGTGGGCCCCAGGGAGCCAGTGCTAATGGGTGGAGGAATACAAGGAACACTTCCGCGAGAGCTCATGCGCCACCGCCATAGAAGTGAAGAGAAGCCAGAAGTCACAGCTGCACAACTCCTGTGAGAGGGGCTTCAGCGGGGGTGGCACACAGCATGAGCACAGGGTGACACCTTCCCATTTCACCTCAGGCAGCAAAAGAGGATGGGCTGCCCAGTCTTTGGCAGCTGCTGAGTTTTGAGTGTGACACTCCAAGATGCTGGTGTGCCATCTACCTTGCGGCTCCATCATCTTCCTTCCAGGCTTGTTGAGGTGGTCTTAGGGCGAAGTTAAACTTATTATCCTAGGCCAGTGTTTTTAACCCTTGACCAACTACATGCTTTCTCTGGCTCCCCTGTGGAAGCCACTTACACTAGGGTTCTGTTGCAGTAAGTGAGGATTTCCTCGTTCTGCTTCTGCCCCACCCCTTTTCGGTGCCATTTTTGGCACATGTGTAAGTGGGAGCACATTTGACAACAGGAACCCAAGCAATGCACCTGCTCTTCAGGGCTGAGCCCCAGGGCTGAGGTGACACAGGGCTGCTCCTCAGGGCTGCTCTTCCCAGACTTAGTGTGCACATGATGAGAGGCATGGAGAGGGCAAAACAAGGTTAAGATCAGAAGCAGAAATATTTTGTTATTGTGGAGAAGGAAAGCGTGAAACACACAGCACAGGAAACACATGCAAACATGGTCCTTTCCTGCAACACAGAAGACACTCCTCACTTTGAGGGTGAATTTTTAAATTCCCTAGTTTTGGGGCTGAAACTGCCTTGGTCATCTTGTTTTCTGACATACGCTGGGAATAGACAGCAGGATTGTGTCATTTTTGCTCTGTTGGACCTCTCAGTAGCTTTTAATACCATCAGCCATGATTTCCTCCTGGACCACCCAGCTGAGTTGGACCTAAGTAATCTTACCTGAAGGGCAGGTTTCTGCAGGTGATGCTGGGGAGTTCTACTTTGCTGTTGTTCATTCTTTCAGCATCCATATAAAACAACTAGGAGATGCTGTCTGTAGTGCATTAATGTACAAAGAAAACCCAGCATTTTCCATTCTACTCCATGCAGGCAGTAGAAACCTTTGATCAGTGTATGGAGGCTGCGAAGGGCTGGCAGGTGGCCAACGAACTGAGACTTAATTCAAGGCAAGATAGAGGAGGTAGAGTTGAACACTTGGAAAGCTGTTGTGAGCTGGGACATTGTTTCTTCTGGATGGGGTGGTACTCCTTCTGAATGGTGTGGTGTGTACTTTGTACCTTGCCCTTTGCATGTCAAGGTAGTGTCCATGGCCAACATTTGTGCTTTTTGACTGGTGCACCAACTATGACTCATCTTAGAGAAAGCAGATCTGGTCGTAGTATGTTTGCACCGCATACAGGTTGACTATTACCATGTGCTGTACTTGGGGCTGCCTGGGAAGGCAGTTTGGAAACTACAGCTGGTGAAAAATGCTACTGCCAGGGTAATGTCGGTTACTTGGAATAAATAAATCCTTTTCTTTTGGAGGTGGACTAGCTCCTTGTTTGTTTCCAGGCTCAGTTCAGACTGCTGGTTCTGACCTTTAATGTCCTGAACAGTGTTGATCCATGGTATCTAAAGCATCACTTACCTCTATATAAAACTGACAAATAGAAGGGGAAGAAATGGAGGCAGTGAGAGATTTTACTTTCTTGGGCTCCATGATCACTGCAGATGATGACAGCAGTCACAAAATTAAAAGATGCCTGCTTCTTGGGAGAAAAGCAATGACAAACCTAGACAGCATCCTAAAAAGCAGAGACATCACCTTGCCAACAAAGGTCTGTATACTTAAAGCTATGGTTTTCCCAGTAGTGATGTATGGAAGTGAGAGATGGACCATAAAGAAGGCTGATTGCCAAAGAATTGATGCTTTTGAATTATGGTGCTGGAGGAGACTCTTGAGAGTCCCATGGACTGCAAGAAGATCAAACCTCTTCATTCTTAGGGAAATCAGCCCTGAGTGCTCACTGGAAGGACAGATCGTGAAGCTGAGGCTCCAAGACTTTGGCCACCTCTTGAGAAGGGAAGACTCCCTGGAAAAGACCCTGATGTTGGGAAAGATGGAGGGCACAAGGAGAAGGGGATGACAGAGGACGAGATGGTTGGACAGTGTTCTCGAAGCTACCAGCATGAGTTTGACCAAACTGTGGGAGGCAGTGGAAGACAGGCGTGCTCTGGTCCATGGGGTCATGAAGAGTCGGACACGACTAAACGACTAAACAACAACAATATAAAACTTTGTTTTCCAGTTGAGAACTTCATGGAGGCTGTATTTCTCATATCATCATTGCCAGAAGTTAGGTTGGGAAGGGCTCTGTGCAGCAGAGGTGGGACAACAGATGCCTGTGCCTATATCTGCCTTTGACTGAACTTAACCATCCAGGGGTTCTTTACCTTTACCTTCACCTTACAGCCCATTGGTACAGTTGGGAGCTCTTCCACTGTGCTGACCTGGTGTGCATTACTGAGACATGGATGGCAAAGATGGGTGGGTCACATCTTACCCAGGTCTGTCATACAGGGTGCTTGGTGCAGCACCAATCCAGGCTAGAGGACCAGGGAGGTGGGGCTGTCGTAGTTCACTGTAGTTTGTTCTTACTTAATGGGAAATGTGCTTTAGAGTGGGACTAGAAAACCTGTATCTGAAGTTGGGTCTTAGAGACAGATTAGGGCTGCTGTTGGTGTGCTGTCCACCCAGTGGCCCAACTGAGCTGGTCACAGTGGTCTTGGAGGCATCCCAGACAAGAATTATGGGTGACCAACTTGGGATTTCATGGCCTCCATGGCACCCATGGGACTGTCTCAGTTTGTCATAGGCCTGACATACAGAGCTGGCCTATCCTTGACTTTGTCTTTGCTCCAAGTAGGGAGAGGGATGTTTTGAAAACAGGAAATTGTGATTGAATGTTAATTGACATGATTTAATTGATGGTATTGTGCTACAGCTAGTTCTGCTATAATTGTGACCTCATCTTTTACTAGAATGTCATTGTGACAAGTGCCTGCAAAGGTTGTTAAGTGTTGAGTAAATGTCCCTACTCAACTTTTTCCATCATATGGTGCACATTTGACAGCTAGTTTGCAAAGTACAGATACAAGTGTCTGCATTCCCCAATTGAACAGCAGTGGCAGAGGAGAGAACTGTTGGGCATTGTGTACTCACTGAGGGTAATTTCATGCTCATCCACCTCATTGTGTAAGTCGCTTCCATGTGTCTGGGTCCTGCTGGTGGCATATGTATTGAGCATGAGATTTGGCCACAGGTGGAAATATGGTAGCTTCTCATAGCAGCAAAAGGAACCATACCATGTCATTGTTCCTCCTGTGAACTAGTGTTGCAGTGGACCCAACTGCACAGATGCAGCTCCCACACTGCAGTGGTAATGAGTAAATCAGTGTGGAGAGGAAGTACAGCTTTGCTGTCTCTTCTCTTGAAACCAAACAGGAAGAACAGGAATGGAAGAGAAGAGCCTTGGTACTGCCTCCTCTTCCCACTGACAAGTCTGTACGAGGAGTTATGAATCATCATTCTGCTCAAGAGGGTGGCGCTATGTGAGTGGTGGATGAACTGATGATGCTCGAGCACCAGCTTCTGCCCCTGTAATACTTTTCTTATTACAAAATACTCTTACTTTCGCTGGAATGTAAATGCCCCCCTTCAATGAAGCATAGATCAGCTGTGTAATTGACGTGTTTGTGTACCTGCTCCATGGTAAGTCACCTGCAATGAGTCTTATGGTTCCAAGTGCTCTGTTCTTGTGCTGGTGCAGTGCTATACAATTCTTCATTGTGAAGTCATTTAATGAGTCCATTGTGACTGGCAGAACTGGAAGATACATTAGAGAGAGAAATATCTTTAGCCTGGGATCTTGAGGAAGCTTGTCAACATGTCTCTAAAGTTCCCAGGCTGCTTGTCCCAGAGTCTAGTTTCTGCGTCGCTAGATCACTTCTGTAATAGTCACTTCTGATGTGAGTTGCAGGATGCTTTTCCGAGACAGTAAAAGACAACTGCAATCATACATTCTAAAATAGGCTTGTGACGGAGGGAAGAAAGTTGGACCTTCATTGTAGTGCAGGTGTTAAAGTATGGAATGGAGGCATAAGGTCTTGTGTTCCTCAAAAAAAAAAGGTAAAATCCTGAAAGTTGTACTGGAAGCTGCATAGAGCATATACATTTGCTGGACATTGTTTCATTTATATATCAATGTCCAGCAAAATAACAGCTTATAATACAAATGTGTGGCTAACTTTTTGAAAATGGGGTAAATAGTCTATCATTTTATGGTAGAACAATAATTATATAATGTTTCAGAGTGCTCATAGTGCTTCATGTATATTAAATCAGAAATCTTTACAACATCTCTGTAAGGTAAACAAGTATAATTATCTCCATACCACAGAAGTGGGGGCTTGAGTAGAATAAGAGCCTGCTGAAGGCCACACGGAGGTGAGATATGAATTAGGGACCTCCTGTACACAGATTGCATTACATACCACTTGTTTGGTTGCCGCTCATCTTATGGTATTATCTAGGGTTGCCATATTTCAAACCAGGACACCCCAAAAGTGGTTTTTTTAGGAAACCACCCAAATTCCCCCTGGACGTCAATTCCGCCTTTGAAATCCCAGTAATGTCCATATGTATGGCAGCCCTATATTAACATAATTTATGGTATTTCCTAACCTTGCCTCTACACCCTGTGTCCAAGAACAGGCAACAACACTCCCTAGTAAAGCTCACAAACAGCTAACTGCAATAAGGATTGTCTCTTCCCATATGAACTGACCCAGACCCTTCCATTATCACCAGAGGCCCTTCGTGTGCCTCCTCCATGAGAGATCCAGAAGATGGCAACTTTAGAATGGGTGGCTCCCCATTTGTGGAATGCTCTATCCAGGAAGACGTGTCTGGTGCCATTATTATACAGGTGAAACTCGAAAAATTAGAATATCGTGGAAAAGTTTATTTATTTCAGTAATTCAGCTTAAAAGGTGAAACAAATATATGAAATACTCATGACATGCAAAGCGAGATATGTCAAGCCTTTATTTGTTATAATTGTGATGATTATGGCGTACAGTTGATGAAAACCCCAAATTAATAATCTCAGAAAATTTAGAATATTAGATGAAATCAGCATAACAAGAGCAATATTGGACTTCTGAGAAGTAGAAGCATGCATATGTACTCAGTACTTGGTTTGGGCCCCTTTTGCATCAATTACTGCCTCAGTGCAGCGTGGCATGGATGCTATCAGCCTGTGGCACTGCGGAGGTGTTATGGAAGACCAGGATGCTTCAATAGCAGCCTTCAGCTCTTCTGCATTGCTCAGTCTCATGTCTCTCATCTTTCTCTTGGCAATGCCCCATAGATTCTCTATGGGGTTCAGGTCAGGCAAGTTTGGGCGTTGAACCAGGTTTTGGTACTTTTGGCAGTGTGGGCAGGTGCCAAGTCCTGCTGGAAAATGAAGTCAGCATCCCCATAAAGCTCGTCTGCGGAAGGAAGCATGAAGTGCTCCAAAATCTCCCGGTAGACGGCTGCGTTGGCCCTGGACTTAATGAAGCACAGTGGACCAACACCAGCTGATGACATTGCTCCCCAAATCAACACAAACTGTGGAAACTTCACACTGCACTTCAAGCATCTGGCATTGTGTGCCTCCCCATTCTTCCTCCAGACTCTGGGTCCTTGGTTTCCAAATGAGATGCAGAAGTTGATCTCATCAAGAAAGAGGACTTGGGACCACTGAGCAACAGACCGGTTCTTTTTTTCTTTAGCCCAGGTAAGACGCTTCTGACGTCGTTTCTTGTTCAGGAGTGGCTTGACAAGGGGAATACATTTGAAGCCCATCTCCAGGATCCGTCTGTGTGTGGTGGTTCTTGATGCACTAACTCCAGCCTCAGTCCACTCCTTGTGAAAGTCTCCAACACGTTTGAATGGTCTTTTCCTGACAATCCACTCCAGGCTGCGGTCATCCCTGCTGTTGTGCACCTTTTTCTTCCACACTTTCCCTTCCACATAACTTTCCATTAATGTGCTTTGATACAAGCACTTTGAGAACATCCAACTTCTTCTGCAATTACCTTTTGAGGTTTTCCCTCCTTATGGAGGGTCTCAGTGATGGCTTTCTGCACAACTGTCAGGTCAGCAGCCTTCCCCATGATTGTGCTTCCTACTGGACCAGACTGAGAGACCATTTAAAGGCTCAGGAACCCATTGCAGGTGTTATGGATTAAATAGCTACTGCACCTTTTCACAATATTCTAATTTTCTGAGATTGTTAATTTGGGGTTTTCATCAGCTGTACGCCATAATCATCACAATTATAACAAATAAAGGCTTGACATATCTCTCTTTGCATGTCATGAGTCTATCTCATATATTTGTTTCACCTTTTAAGTTGAATTACTGAAATAAATGAACTTTTCCACGATATTCTAATTTTTTGGGTTTCACCTGTATATCTTTAGGCAACGGGGAAAAACATTCCTCTTCTCCCAGGCCTTTGGCTAATTAAACATTCTATGCCCTTTTAAAATGTGTGTGGGACAGTTACCGTTTTGGTTTGTTACTATAGTATGTATTTTGTGTTTCTGTATTGTAAACTGCTGTGTGATTCTTGGATGAAGGGCCTAAAAGCATTATTTGCTTTTTAGCATAATATTTGCTGAAGGTATTGATGTCTTCTTGAGGGATCTAAACTTAGGCTTTAATTTCCCCCACCCCTTATGTTGTTTACAGTCTAGAGAAAGACATGGATGACATGTGTCCGGATCAGAAGGATTTAAAAAACATCATACGAGATTCTGGATATGACAGCCTCCCCAATAAGCTCAGCATACTGGATAAACTTCTTCATACGCACCCTATCTGGTTACAGCTTGGCTTGAACGATGCTGAGGCAGTGGAAGTTCTGCAGTCCCAGCCTCCTGGAGTAAGAAATGCCTTTCATTTGACCTAAATACAAAATTAATGCTTATTTGCTGCACCCTTTCTTCACAGTTGTCCAGAATGGGCAACTCATGTGGTTGTAGTATTCAGACACATTGTGAATCTGCCTTATACCATGGCATACTGTTGGTTCAACTAGCCCAAATTATTTTGCCTACCACCCCCTTTTCAGAAAAACAATAACTCAGCACCCCTCACCCCAAAATCCACCTTCTTTAAGTGAACAAGTGAAGCCTGGGAAAGGGTCCCCCCAAGCCTTGGAAAACCCCTGGCCTCCAGCATGACTGCCGGATCCAGGGGAGGCGTCACTGTCCCGCAACGGTGCCCGACCTAGCAGTAAGCGTCATTACAGAACAGATGAAACATGTATGAATGGTTTTTCAAAACTTTCTTGTCTTTTCTTCTTTATGCTTCCACCACCCCCTTATTTTTATTCAACTCCCACCCAATTGCACATGAGGTTGCTACCACCCCCCGGGTTGTTCCAGCGCACCGCAGGCAGCAGTATCGCCCGCTTTGGCAAACACTGATCTAGGCCACTACTGGCAACTCTGACTGGCAACAGCTCTTGCAAGCAGGGATTCTTCCTTGTCCTTTGCCAAAGACCATTTTTGTTGGGGATCAATTCTGATCCTTCAGTCAGGAGTGTTCATGCTCTTCAATTGAGTTGACGACCTTCTCTGAAAGAGGTAAAGAGGTCATTTCTGGTTCTCAGCATGGGGTAGGTTGTGTTTGAACTTTCAACCCCAGCTGAGGGTAATTATTATAGCCATTCTGCTGTGCCATGGCTGCACGAGTCGTGAGCATCATTCACAGAGTGGACAATCAGACACTGAATAGGTTACCTTATGAAATGTTAGACTCTATTCTGTGCCTAGGTATCCCAAGTTATTGGCCCCTCTGCTGGAACTGCTAAAGGAGGCCAGCCCAAATAGAAGTCTAGAATGATATTTCTTCAAAATGTGTTTTATTTTTATAGACCTTCCTTGTAAGGAAATCCACAAGAATGCAGAAGAAAGTCTTATCTCTACGTGTACCAAATGATTTTGGATTGTGTCTCAAAGAGTTTGCAATAAAAGAGAGCACATATAGTAAGTATTTAAAAACTTGTCTCTTCTTCCCTTGGCTGTGCTGTGATGAGTAGAAAAATTCCTGAGGTTAATTGACTGTGATTTCCCATGAATATTAGCTGAGTCAGTGACAAAGTGACAAAGATAATGAGGCTTCATCGCCTTAAATTAAGGTGCTTGTTTATAGACCAGGTTGACAGATACCTGTCTTGGGTTCACCTGTTTAAATTTTAGCATCTGCATGTTTCTATACCCTTTTGCTATACACACTTGCACTCATATAATTAGAATCTTTTAAAGCATTTTAGAAGTGTGTTTGGCAGGAGGGGGGAGAGAATAGTTCCCTTTCTATAAGAATTTATGCCTGCCACTTACAAACATTAAATAATTAATCAAAGTGTTCAGAAAGGGTGGTGTCACCGTTATCTTGGAGCACTGCTAAATTTGAAATTGTTCCTTTGGGAGAACTGTGATGCTCTAGAACAGGTTGAAAACCACTATCCTGTCATGTTGTATGTGAACAGTCTTGCCACAATGAATGGCAAAACCTAAAGGACTTATTATTCAGGGGTGTAAAACAGTTGTCAGACCTCACCTGGAGTACTGTGTCCAGTTCTGGGCACCACAGTTCAAGAAGGACACTGACAAACTGGAACGTGTCCAGAGGAGGGCAACCAAAATGGTCAAAGGCCTGGAAACGATGCCTTATGAGGAACGGCTAAGGGAGCTGGGCATGTCTAGCCTGGAGAAGAGGAGGTTAAGGGGTGATATGATAGCCATGTTCAAATATATAAAAGGATGTCACATAGAGGAGGGAGAAAGGTTGTTTCCTGCTGCTCCAGAGAAGCGGACACGGAGCAATGGATCCAAACTACAAGAAAGAAGATTCCACCTAAACATTAGGAAGAACTTCCTGACAGTAAGAGCTGTTGGACAGTGGAATTTGCTGCCAAGGAGTGTGGTGGAGTCTCCTTCTTTGGAGGTCTTTAAGCAGAGGCTTGACAACCATATGTCAGGAGTGCTCTGATGGTGTTTCCTGCTTGGCAGGGGGTTGGACTCGATGGCCCTTGTGGTCTCTTCCAACTCTATGATTCTATGCTGAACAAGATCTTCGGCAGCTAGATGCACACCTCTCTTACACAAGCTGGCCAGAGCAATGACAGTGGGCAAGTGCACATTTGGGTGCATTTCTCTTTGAAAATAATGGGCGGCACCTGCTTTTGGACGCACATTCAGATATGCTCCCAGATTACACCTATAGATGGCGAAAGCATGAGTTTCCAAGGCACTGCAAAGTTTCTGTAGATGTGCAAAGTTTTGTGGGTATCTGCTAAAACCACAGGAGCAGGCAGTGCAGAAAAGGAAAGTCTGCATATATAAAGGGACTGGTTTAATGCCTAATTATAATGGTTGCAGTGGTGGATGTACAGCTAATGGGAGTCATTGGCTATGAGCTGTGCTTGTGCATTTAAGATTTATTAATAGGAACATTTTCAATTTTTATATATATATTGCCTTTCATTTATCTATCTTTTCAATATGTTAAAATTATTTGACTTCTAAAAAACTATTAGACAATAATAGCCTGATTTATATGAAAGAAATCTTGATGCATGGTTGTGATGCTGAATGGTTTGTGGAATTTGTGAATTAAAGGGCAAGTTATTTCAGCAAAATAAATAGTCTTTACTAAGATATGATGCAGCTGCAAAATGTGGCAGCGGCTGTTGGCGTGTTGTGCAATGCAGGTTTTGTGACTCATTTAACTAACTGTTTAGACAAATGCTGAGAACTTTAAAAACAAAACAGCAACAACTAGTCCTTTTGCTACAGAATTTTGACTGAGGTATTTCAGATGGTCGGCTGCATGTGTGGCTTTTGTTACAAATGTAGTCTGTGTGCTGTAGATTCAGTACTACGTAGAAACGTTCATTTCCCAGAACATGTATTGAGTTTGTTTTCTTCTGCTTTGCAGCCTTTTCATTGGAAGGCTCTGGAATAAGTTTTGCTGATTTGTTCAGGCTCATAGCGTTCTACTGTATTAGCAGGTAAGGATGAATTTTCTTAGACTAGCCTTACAATGAGATTGTTGTTGCCCTTTAATATTTTTCTCAAGAAAAGTTTGAAGAATCTTTGGAGAGCCTACCCAGCAGCTGTGAGAAGGGGAGGGGAAAACATCTGGCTCTTGTTGGCTGGTGTCCAACTGCCATTCTGCTTTCTCTCTTCCCAAAACAGACCCCATCGTTGGTGATTCCACCTCGTCATTTTTGAAGTGAATGTATTGAATGCTGAATTGACCTCTGTGCTTCTTCCGTCCACTATCCCTTTTGCAGGGGTGGCCAGTCCCGTTTCGCCCCCACTGCGCCCCACCCATCCCACTTTCGCCGCACGCCAGAATGCTCCCCATTCTCAGCATGCCTGCTCGCCCAGGGGTGAGGAAGAGGAGCGGCAGTGCTGCGTGCCAGAACACCGCCCCCCTCCCACGCCTTGCTGAACTCCGTGAGAGAGGGCAGCGTTCTGCAAGGCAGGGGTAGTGGTGAGACTGATAAGACACCAGCTCTTGCACTTCCATCGCCTGAGGCGGGTGCTTCACCCTGCCTCATCGGTGGGCTGCCCCTCACTTTCATGTCATTTCTATTAGATTTTAAACAATCTAATAAATAGAAAGGTCCTATTTATTTTATTCTTTTGCAGTTTATATATAATTATCGACTTTACAAGGACTTAATTGTGCACACACCCAAACCCCACTTAATTTTTTCAATGTCTACTTGAGTAGAAAGTTGAGAAAATTCTGAAGATAAGGAGCATCTAAACCGTCCCCCTCCCCAGTGATGGGGTGTAAATGAATTGGTTTCACATTCTTGCCTCCCCTTATCACTAGTGACAAAATCCTACTGCAAAAAATCTCATTGAAGATCACCGTCTTCATCGTGAAGCAGTGTGGACTGCCCTAGCACAATTATTATAGGGCCTCAGATTTGGACAGGGGCTCACCTTGGATCGACAGAAGCTGTTCAGTCAAAGTTCCTAAGGCAATTTTTTTCTGTCCCATCCTGTGTTCCAAATGCTTCTTTGCTCCTGGAGGCTAATCTTCCCTCTGTTGAATTACAGATTTGGCATAGGACATTTAATTATTGGCTTTGGCTTAATTTAACCCCCACCAGTCTTCCATCCCTAGTATTGCAAGACCGTCATGAGAGCACTTGGACTAAAATCATCATCCAAAAGCTTTATTCCTCTGGTTTATCACCACAACAGTTATTAACATTGGGCTTCTGCAAGGCAAAGGATTTAATAAGCCAATGCCTATATGACACTGAAGGACAGAATAATCAGCCACCATAAGGAAATTTTGTCCGTGGTGTGATTATTTCCCACCTAGTCTTCTGGACACATTGGCACCCTACTTGCAAAATTCAACAGTTCCAAGATTGAACATGCTGCCTTCAGCTGTTCTTGAGGATCGATTTCAAAAAAATTGTTGAGCTTTTTTGGGGGAGAATTCTCTTTTTACCCACTCACCCCAATGCCGCAGCAAAAAAATAAACGGCCGCCTTATGCTCGCAATCTCTGCCGTGCAGCACTGAGCTTCATGCCAGGGAACGACACCACAACGCTGCAAAAGTGTCAAAATGCACAAAGGAGGTGCCAGAACCCATTTCCGGTGAGTTCCGGCAAAAAAAAAAAAGGCTTGAGTGTCAGACTTTTTAACCAAAAAAAGAGGTGCTGATACTCACCATGAAGTTGTTACAGTAAGTGCCAAACTTCTTAACAACAACCACAACAACAGAGGTGCCGGTACCCTCTGGGGGGAAAGCACTGGATGGCAGTCTACTAAAGGAAATCTACTTGTCTGGGATCACTGCATGTATAATAAAGAGAGACCCTAAAGTATAAAGCTAGCTAACACTACAATTTTTTATCTCCAAATCAGGGATGTCTTGCCGTTCACCTTGAAGTTGCCTCATGCTATTGCAACAGCAGCAACAGAGGCAGATCTTGAACAGGTGGCTCAGCTAGGACTGAGTAAGTATGTCTGTTGATTTAAGTGAATTTTGCTCCACCAAGCAGAGAGTGTTCAAAAGCAAAAGTAGATTCTTTTCAGCAGTCTTCTGTAACATTCCATCAACATGAAGACAACCAGTTACTGCATAGGTTTGCAAGCTGGGACAGCTTTAAAGGGACATTGGCAGTGCTCTTGGTTGGAAGTCTGGTGACTATTCCTCAAGAGGTTGGGTTTTGCCCAAGATCCTCCAGATGCTAACCTATATCCTTTGACCACTATGCTGCTCTTTCCTAGCAATAAGTGGACCTCAAGCCAGCATGCAGCGAGTAATAAATTTCTTTTCCCCTGGCTGATATTCTGAGCTCTAGCATGCCACTATTTGGTTTGGTTTGTTTCTCATGTGGTGCCTGACCTTCCTCCAAGGGAGGCTGTCCCTGTCTGTCTCACCTTCCGTCTCCCCATGACTCAAAATTATCATAGAAGGCTCCCTCAAGAAATAGCTCTAGTCTGCACAGGAGCCAGCTCCACAGACTTATTTTTATGTTTCATTCCTGTTGAGTTACTAAACAAACACTGCAAATGGGGAAGGAAATCCCCTTTGGAAAGCAGACTTTTAAAAAGAGGGTGATATGAGAGAGAGAAAAGTAAGACAAGAGGAATTGGGGAAATTAGGGAGGATATGATTATGAGTGATTTATTTAATTTTATTAAGCGGTTTCTATGCTGCGTTATATCAGAAATGGTCACAGGATGGTTAACAAAAAATAGTTAATATAAAAAATAATACATAATAAATAAACAAAATGTTAAAATAGTTCTAATATGTAGCACAATTAAAAACATAATAAAAATGAAAGGCTGGGGGAAGCATTGGGTTTTTACCCAACAATGAAAAGTTGGGGTGAGACACACCTCAGTGTGGAGGTCATTCTACAGAAACAAAGTGATTATGTTTAAATTTATATGATGTGAAAAATATTTAAGCGTAAAGAAATACATTCCATTGATGATTGATAGAGGAGACTTAGTCATGATCATTACTTCTCTCTGTTTTTAGGTGAAAAGTGGAATTTGTTGTTTGCTGGAAAGCTGAGATTAAATCCCTGCCTTCCACTAACAAGAATTTGGCTATAAAAACATGTAGACCAGAACACCCATAAATGGGAGTAAACACAATTCCAAATGTACAGACAGGGTGCCACCTAGATGATTACATGATATGCCATAGTATTAGTGACACACACAAGTTATAGATGTACTTACTCATGTAGGATGAGGGATGACAAGACCTACCTGATGCTGGAGCCTTAACTTGGCCATTCTGCCACAGAGCGATTGCCCCTTCCCAAAGAGAGATTATAATTTTCCAAAGAGGTTCATAACTCTGATGCAAATATTGTATAGCTCCCAGGATTTTAGTACTTAAGTACCCAGTACTTGAGTAAGTTACAACACCTAGGAATGTGTTCTGTTTATGTAACTAAGACATGTGGTTTCATTCAGCATATGTACACTTTTAATGCCTTTTTCATATATCTTGGCTCACTCACATGTGTACCTTCGCAATGCAATTTGAGGATATGATTGGTCCAGGCTGAGGAACTGATAAGAAAAGAGCCTTCATTCCGTTTCTTTCCAGTTATGTGTGGAGCCCTTTCAAAAGAGTCTTCCATATAAAGGGTCAAAATCCCTCTGGGGCAAGATGGATTTCCAAAGCAACTTTGATGGAAAAGTTGTATGACTTGACTTGTAACAATAAATTTCTTTTGAGATTAGTGGCCAGACTGAGGTGGGACTGCAGAATTTATGGTTTGGCGCTCTTGCGGGTTCCCCTCCCCCCACAAAAATGGGTAAAATCAGCCCTGTAGCAAGATCTGAATAGAAGTGCAACATGGCCGGGGGGGGGGGGCAATTTAACCCTTCCCTAGCTGTGCTGTTTTTGCAATTTGAATGTGCACCTTAGCACACCCCAAGATGTTGTTCGCCCTGTGAGACACCAACATATCACAGGTGCCAAGCCAGTTTCTGTATGTTTCCCCCCCTGAGGCAGACATCTTTGGGAAGAAAGAAGTAATTCAGATTAGAAAATGGCATTGAGCTTCCTTCACCAAGGCCAGACCTCTTGTCTGATTGGGGGGGGGGGGGCTGTTGTGGCTGCTTTTACTTTTGACAGGGGGAATCTATGGGAGAGCTAATTGCAGATCCTTTAACATCCCACCTTATTTGCTCTTTATGGACAGACAGATCAAAAGAAAGTTTGGGAATTTAACCCACAGCATAATTTAAAGCCACAATCTCAATTCATATTAAGGAAGCAAATCAGTTGGTGTAAACTGACAAACCATAGGAACAGCTGTTTTTTGCTTCTTGAGGCCCCGGCATCTAGAAATGAAAGCAGACATGCCGCTCTAAGCCAGGGGCTGCCTGCTCATTTGGAGTGATGTCTGAATTAATTCACCAACAGAGGAGAAGGTCTGTGTAGAAGGCTGCTTCTTAGTAGTGCTGCCATCACTGGTATAAGCGAAGATAACCTGCCATGTTATATTCAAGCCCAAGAACTTAGGGGTGTTTCTTCAGAAGCCCCCCTCCCCCCATATACTTTAAGAAACTTAGTTTTTGGAAACATAGGCGAAGTCAGGTAGTGAACTTTGGCAGCAGCTTTGGGCCAAAGAGGTAAACTGATCAAGGAACTCGCAGAAAGTTATTTTGCAGAGACTCTGCTCAAGTGGCTTGTACAGGAGAGCTGCCAGGCTTGTACAGGAGAGCTGCCAGGTCAGCTGTGCTGTGTGTGGCACATGTGTGTTGCAGAGGGGAAGAAGAAGGTGCCGTTTGGATTTCCCACCTCAGTGCCCCAAATGTCTTGGGTCTGCCCTTTACAGAAAGTCAAAGAACTATTTGCTTGAGCACAAATGTTGTTGAGCAGAGTGTTCTGATCACTTGCTATATAATATTGGCATTCTTACACTAACCAAATAATTACTTTCAGATTTTTGGAGTTCTCCAGCTAACAACAGACTGCAAAATCCTTCCCTCGTCCAGAAGCCTCTGCCTTCAGAGAGCGTATATAAAGGCTCCCAGCAGCTCTGCCTCATAAATGGAGTTCATTCTATAAGAACCAGAACGCCTTCGGAGCTGGAATGCAGCCAGACCAATGGAGCCTTGTGTTTTATTAATCCTCTCTTCTTGAAAGTGCATAGCCAGGATGTCAGTGGAAATTTGAAAAGACAGTGCCCAAGAACTCAAGATGTGAACTGCCCAGAGAGGGCTCGCTCCCCTCCACCTCGGCCACCCCCACCTTCTATTCATAGCCTTGTTGCAAGCCCTCAGCTGTCCAGGAATATAAACCAGGCAAGTCTGCCAGAAACTGCCGACCACAACAAAAACTGGAACTTGGATTTGCTGCAGAAGACGCCTGCTCCTGTCCCACCTCCTCGCCTGAAGAAGAAGGCGCTCTCTTTAGAAGCAGAGAGCAGTGCAAAAAGCTCAGCTGTAATTAGACCGAGCCATAACTCAGTGCATGGCTCAGAAGCTGCTCACATTCCAGGTGGAGCCCCGCCTCAGCAGAACTTTGCAGAGAGCAAAAAGAGCTTAGCTGCACACTCTGAGTCACAAGTACAGTGGAATGGAGGCAGGCAGAGACTAAGCGACATGAGCCTCTCCACATCCTCCTCTGACTCGCTTGACTTTGATCGGAGCATGCCGCTCTTTCCTTACGATGGGGATACTAACAGCAGCCTGGAAGAGTATGAGGGGGAAAGCGACCAGGAGAGCATGGCACCACCCTTGAAGCCTAAAAAAAAAAGGACTAGCTCCTTTGTGCTTCCCAAAATTGTTAAATCCCAGCTGCGGAAAGTGAGCGGAGTTTTCAGCTCCTTCATGACCCCAGAGAAGAGGATGATCAAGAAAATAGCAGAGATGTCTCGAGATAAGCGCACCTATTTTGGGTGCCTGGTTCAGGATTACGTAAGCTTCCTGCAGGAGAACAAGGAGTGCCATGTTTCCAGCACAGACATGCTTCAGACTATTCGGCAGTTTATGACCCAAGTCAAGAGCTACTTGTCTCAGAGCTCTGAACTGGATCCTCCAATTGAGTCCCTGATTCCAGAAGACCAAATAGGTAAGCAAGTGTCTGGTCTGTTTGCCTCTCCTCACCTGTCAAAAGTGAAAACATGCTGTCCTTGTAGCTGCAGTTTCCATACTTGTTGGAAAGGTCCAGGTCTTCTGTTAATGGTCAGAGTTCCAGTTGCTTCTCCTAGTTAAAATCCCGTATACTTCAAAACAAAACAAAGCCTACAGGAGGAAAGTTTGCATGAAACCAGTGCTTTTTTTCTGGGGGTACTCAAGTGAACCAGTTAGAGGGCCTTCTCAGTAGTGGTGCCCTCTCTGTGGAATGCCTTGCTTCAGGTGTCAAGGATATAAAGAACTACACAACTTCTAGAAGACATCTGAAGGCAGCCCTTTATCGGGAAGTTTTTAATGTTTGGTGTTTTATTATGTTTTTATATAAGCTGTAAGTCACCCAGAGTGGCTGAGGAAACACAGCCAGATGGGTGGGGTATAAATAATAAAATTATTGTTATTATTATTATTATGCACCACCCCCCAAAGAAAAGCACTGGTTAAAAATGTGACACTTACTGTCACAACTTCATGGCAAGCCCCAGCACCTTTTCTTCTAGAAGAAAAGCACTTCATGAAATACATGATTTATTCCATACAACACCATCACAAGGTAGCCTAAGTAAAAGTCAGGACCCTGCCCCAAGAGACTTGCAATCTAGACTTGGCGAGGGGACAGAGGGAAAAATAGAGCATTGCATTTGCATATGCTTTTTTCCAGAAATACAATATACTCGAAGCTGACGTTTGATCTTAAAGGATTAAAGACCGCAGTCCTGTGCACACTTACCTGGAAGCAAGCCCCACTGAACCCAGCAGGATTTATCTCCAAGTGAACACAGGATTGTGCTGCACAGTTGCAACCCTATGTAAACATGTGTGAGATGAGGTTGCATGGCTTACTAACAGTCACTTTAAATCAAGCATCTTCTAAACACAGATATTTAATATCTTTCCGTTTTCCATGTAGCATCTTATGTTCTTGCTTTTGTACTGCAGGACAGCAACACATTATTATTATTATTTATTTATTACACATTATTTTTATTTATTTATTTAAAATATTTCTTAACCACCACCATTTACTTACATACTGCCCATCCAACTGTTTTTCTATTTAATTTTTTTCAGCAGTGCACAGAAATCAACAAGTCAGTAAAAGCAGCAGAACAATAAATAATTAAGATCTTCTAGAAAGACTTAAAGCAGAGGGAAATTTAAGCAATACCATAAAATTTCAAAGCGTAAGCTATTTATTCACCAAAGTATTTAATGGTTTTAATTTTGTCTACTGAATGGTAAAAAGGTTTGGGCCTCTTTTACTTGGGGGGGAATGGCATTCTACAGATTGGGTGCCATCACTGGAAAAAAGGCTCTCCCCTCACTTTCTTCTTGTCAAGGGCACCTGGAGCTCAGTTCCAGAACTTAAACGGGACAATTTCTTATGCAAGTCTAAGATTCATACGGAAGAGAGAAGGTTTCCTCAGATCCTGTTTGCTCTGTGTTGCATATATAAGCATTTTAGAAAGACAGAGGGGATGTATTATGAAAATGCAGGTTAGTTCCTCAAGATATTGTTTCTGCCCATCTTTATGTGCCTTCGGTGTTATAGGTATTTAAACAACCAAAACAAGAACACTGAAAGCTATTTTCCTGATGTACCTCCCTCAGGCAAAATACTTTCCATGTGAGCTCATTTCATCGAATTGCTTTCCTCCCCATTGACTTGGTGTTCTCATATGTTGTTGGGTATCCAGCATAGGAATTTGTATTCAGTGCTAGCTGATAACCATTCCCAAAGAAAGTAGTTAAGTGTTTTTGTACTGAAACTTTGGCATGCCCTGAATCGAGTAGCTATTTCCATAAGTATGACTCATTGTAGATCCAGTGTAAAGGGGATATGTTGCCAATGAAACAACATCCTGTGATTATTTTTTCTCCCGAAACTCAAGATAGTCTAGTGGCTTTATATGATACTAATGCTGTATATCAAAGATTTTGCAGTGCTCTAAAACTTTTAACCTTGCTTTTTAGCAGCATGCTCTTTTTACAATTCACAAAGAAATAGCAGTTTTTTCTTGTGTTTGTTTGGACTTTTGCTGCTTCCCGCAAGGGTGTGGTTTAAACTATGTTGGTTTTGGTGGATTGTTAAAAAGGACAACTTTTTCATATGCTAATGACTATGTATGTGGAGGATCATTGTGCTTTAGCTTGGGTGAGTTTAGTTGAGCAACTGAGGGCCTGTGAGCAATCTCTCATTATGCAGAGCGGCAAGTTTTGGAGCAGTTTTGCTGCCTTCACCAGTCTTCAGATTTGCAAGTAACCACAACAGAGCAGATGCATCAGATCTTGCTGATTTAAGCACAGAGCTTATGTGGCGGATGGATTGAGTCATTCCAAACAGACAATAGAACAAACACCAGGCTAATACATTTTAGGCCTCAATTTATTTCACCATTTCAATCTTACCTTGGGCACAAAAATAAAAGTCAAAGCTAGAAAAACAGTTGCATTCATTTATTTACAGGTTAAACTGTGGTATATCATTTTCTTAGTTGTTCCAACTTTGCTTCTGCTGTTGTGATGCCTTCAGTACTAAGCTTGCTTCAAATAACCTCAAGATACCTGTTCCCTAGTAATGTAGGAAAAGATTTTAGGGTGAGACAAAATCGAAAGGTTTTAACTAGATGTCTGTTGTTTAATGTTTGGACAAAGAATGAAGAGCCTAATAGTAATAATACTTTAATACTTAAGATAGCTTGTTTTTTTTAGTGTACCATCTACTTCACATAAACTTTAGTTTCACATCCAGTCCCAGTAATGGCCAACCAGGTGACCCTGTGAAGCCCACAAACTGGACTTGAAAGCAGCCAGCCACTCTTGCCATTTACTATCTACAGCAGTTGCTGTACACATACTTGGGAACTTGGGAACCTCATGCAACGTCATAGCCCTTGATAGGCCCATCAGTTTGTCTGATGTCAAGTCACACTAACCAGTTGCCATTATGGTGCAGCAAATTCCTTTAAAATTACTTATGAAGAATGCAAATAAGTCTCTACTGAGCAATAAATTTCTTTGGGACCCCTCTTCCCAAATTCCTATGTTATATTGTAGGAAGGGCACTCTTGAACAGGGGTGGTGAACCTATGGTCCTTTGGATGTTGCTGAACTCCAACTCAGGCTAGTGAGTGTGGCTAATAGTCAGGTCCTCCATGCTTGAAAAGGTCTTTTTGAACATGTTGCTCTTACCCTCATATCTTCAGATCTAGAATTGTTGGGTTCATAGCCAACTTGAGATGTCCCTACTCTAAGCCCCTATACTGCACCAGTCATTATTTTTCAGACAATATCTGGAAAGCCAGAAGTTTTTGCATAATTCCACTGTGCACATCCATCCAGGTGTGGTTATGGATCGAATGTCAATTTCACTCCTCCATTCTGACATTTCCCACTAGCTACTCCATGCTCCTGCCAACCTAGCAGTTCGAAAGCATGTCAAAGTGCAAGTAGATAAATAGGTACCACTCCAGTGGGAAGGTAAACGGCGTTTCCGTGCGCTGCTCTGGTTCGCCAGAAGCGGCTTAGTCATGCTGGCCACATGACCCGGAAGCTGTACGCCGGCTCCCTTGGCCAATAAAGCAAGATGAGCGCTGCAACCCCAGAGTCAGCCATGACTGGACCTAACGGTCAGGGGTCCCTTTACCTTTACCTTACTCCAGCTTGCACTGCTCCTGTGCCTAATCCACACACAAATGGCGGGAGTTGCAGTGGAAGCCTGCTTTCAGCCTGGAATGAAACTTTTCAGGGAATGCAAGGTGCTAATGTGAGCATGTGTCCTCATTCCAGCAGCCATTTAATGCTGGTGTTGGAGGCCTGCTTTGTGCAGATATGGCTGGTGATTTTGGCTGTGCTGCTTTTGTTGATAGTGTGAAGAGTAAGCCCTTAATTGTTTCTTTGCCTTCTCCTGTGCCAAGTAAAGTGAGTGTATGATGACGTATTGTCATACTGTCTTTCAGCAAGGTTTGGTTGAAAACTTTTCTTTATTCTAAAGCCTTCCCGAATTAGGCCATTTTATTCCTGCAACTATTACTTATCATTAGTTTCCTGTTTTTAACAATGTTTTATCCTTTTTTGTTCTAGTTTTGTACACCGCTCAGGTATTTTTTGAATGTAGAGCAGTTTATACATTTGGAAATAAATAAATAAAACAAAACAGGATAATAATTCCTGGCTTCTTCAAATGTTAACAAACTAGTGTATTTGAAATTTGGTGCCCAGCAGAGTACCAGCTAAAATGGCAGAGTAGAAAAGTAGGTCAGCTTAAATTAAATGAATGTTTCAAGCAGAAATGGAGTTTCATATTGAATTATTTTACTGCAAATTGTTTTAGTAATACAGCTGTTTAAGATATAACCATTACTTTTAAAATGATGTTTTAACTGTCTAAAAACACTTCAGTCAGTTGCCAGCCCTTTCTTCACATATATACAGTCACCAAGAATCACTCCAGGAGACACAAATATTACATCAGAGCTGGCTTTGAGATGAGCCAGATGGTTTGATTTCCAAACAAAGACCAAAAAAATGTGTTTCAGCCTTTTATATTATTTTCAACAGCGCCATGTCTAGAGATGTAGCTTTTGCCTCTTTCTAATGGTACAAATCCATCAGAGAAATGAATAAACACCTTCGGTTGTCTGCAGCACCGCTACAGATTTCTAAGTGTGCAACAGAGCTTCCGCCTCATCTCCCCTGCAGGCTCTGCCTGCATCCTCAAATTCTGCTCCAGAGATTTGGGTGACCTTCGGAGCAGATTGCGGGGTGGGGAGGTGAGGAAGGAGAAACCTTGCTTTGCAAGTGGAATGCTGCCCATGCAGTTATGGATACAACCCCTTTTTTTATTAAACAAAGCTTGTATATCGCTTAATCAGGAAAAATTATAAGCTGATTAAATAGAACAGTATAAAATATTCTTAAGGAAATACCAGTGAAATCAAACTTTAAAAGCAAATAAAGATGTGAAATATGTATGAAATATAGCTAAACTGAACTATTTTGAAATTAATATACATAACTACATATCTGAGTATTATTATTCTTATTATTTGAGTTTATATACCGCCCTATACACGGAGGTCTTACTTAAACATAAAAAGTTTTCCTATTTCTCCCCATCACCACACCATAGTCTTTTATGAAATGTTCACCTCGGTTGCTTCAAAAATAAGTAACTCAACAGTGGATTGCGGTGAACTGACCTTCAGGGCAAGATGTTACTGCCTGGCATAGAGAGCTGCTAGCAGAGTACATTAATGTAGAGCCGGTCTGATAAAAGATTGTGTTATGAACAGCTCTTTACTCTGCTTTCAGGCTGTTTGCACATTATTTATTTTCTTCATTTACTATGAGGGACTTGGGAAGGACCATAGTTCAGAGAGAAAGCACATATCATGCATACAAATGGCTCTGGGCTCATTTTCCAAGGTAGGGCTGAAAGGGACCTCTGCCTGAAACCCAGTAGAGCCCCTGCAGTTGGGCTGGGTGATATCTGGCTTTCAACATTGTGATATATCACCAGCTGAATATCATGATATACAGTACTGATAAATCACGATGTCTGAAATAAGGAGGAAGTAAGGTGAGGAGGAAGAAGCAACTGAGATACAACTTCCAGGCCTACAGCTGAGCAAGCCTCCATGCTGGCTCACGTGAGCCACAGTGGTGGGGTGTGTGCTTCCTTAAACTTCAGCATCAGTTAGCTTCACAAAACCTTGCTTTCTTTTCTACTTTCAGGCACACGCATGCACACAAGAGAGAGAAGGGAGGAAAGAGCGCCTGCTCATTCAACCCAGGAAGACGCAGAAACTCCAGCTGACTTCCTGGTGTTTTCCAGTATCATTATTTTTGCATAGCGCGCGCACAAACACATGACTCACTAGATATTGCCAGCTCATTTATTTTGAGAGGGTTATCACGATATGGTCTTGAAACCAGTTTTGGACAATATATCAATATATCACCCAGACATACCTTGCAGCTGTTCTCCCAGTTCCTTCATCTAAATTAGGCTAACATTATTGCTGAAATATTTAGAAAGCGCAGAAGCACAAAATCCTCCAGCTTCTGAACCATTCACATGTTATCAGATCTCAATGTCTTCCCAAAGTGCACAATACACAGAGCCTCCAAGATTTCCTTGGGGTATTTTAAGGCTGCCTGACCTCATTTCCGTCTCAGTGGACCACAAGCCTCAGTCAGCTTAAATGAAGGCTACGCTTTTCCCTGACTTAATAGTTTGTTTTATGTGCAGGGATTTTAGTTTTTATTATTATTATTACTACTTTTCACAAGAAGGAGCAGTCAGATCATATCAGCTCCATCCACTGTCTGAAGCAATGCAACCAAGTACACATTTATCATCTCAGTGTGAATTAGCTGATGTGCGCACATACATATGTACACAACTAAAGCTTTGCATGCTTGAAGTTGAGGAGAGGGAGATGTCTTGTAGAATAAGTTGCTTTCCCAACTATTTTCACCCACTTCAGAGTTTGCATGTGCTACTCTGCAGACCACTTCAGATACCTGAAACTGTGTACTGGGATTTCTTGCAAGCGATCTTCATCCTGCTCACCTACTCCCTCCATTCTGCCCAAACTCTTGCCTCCATGCTGCCTGTGGCAGGCATACACTGCTGCTTCCCATCATACTTGCTCAGTGAACCAATAGGTGCAGTATGCATGTACCCAAGCAGTCGTGGGGATGCAATGCTTTCACTTCCTTTTGGTAACAGCACACCCTGCTCTATGGGGCCTGGTGACTTGGCAGCAATGCTAGTGGGTCCTCAGTGCTGCACAGTGCATGCATCACATTGCATGACAGATAAAAGAGCATGCCCCCTTTTGAAGAAAACAAAACTATCTGGTTGGCTTTCTAGCAAATAGCAGCTTTGTATGACGCGGGTGGCACTGTGGGTTAAACCACAGAGCCTAGGACTTGCCAATCAGAAGGTTGGCGGTTCGAATCCCCGCGACGGGGTGAGCTCCCGTTGCTCAGTCCCTGCTCCTGCCAACCTAGCAGTTCGAAAGCACCTCAGAGTGCAAGTAGATAAATAGGTACCTCTCCAGCGGGAAGGTAAACTGTGTTTCCATGTGCTGCTCTGGTTCGCCAGAAGCGGCTTAGTCATGCTGGCCACATGACCCGGAAGCTGTCTGTGGACAAACGCCAGCTCCCTCGGCCAATAAAGCGAGATGAGCGCCGCAACCCCAGAGTCGGCCACGACTGGACCTAATGGTCAGGGGTCCCTTTACCTTTATGTTGCAGCAGCGGTGTCCTTTTGAATTTTTGCACACCAGACAGTCCCTCATGTGGTATTATTGTCAGGTGGGTCTGGCTATAATAGCTTTTAGGAACCAACCTTCAATGGCTGTTGTTTACAGACTCTTGGATAGCTGCTTACCAGAGTGAGTAACAGCTTTCCCCAGTTAGGAAATTAATGGTGATTTCCACCATTGCTGGCATCTTCTTCTCCCACCCCAACAGGCGTCCTATGGCTGTTTCCATGCTGGGAGCTGACAGTATAACCAAGTGTGGAGTTGAAATAAAAGATAAAAGGCTAGGAGTAGCTAAGTCAGGTTTTGGGGGCAGGTGGGGGGCAGAACCTGTTTTCTGCATCTTTCTGGATATGTCTGCTTTAGGTATTGTGAAGATCAACTGCCCAAAGTTACTTTTCATCTATTTTCATTGCTGAGGTGAACTCAGGCTGGTCTATTTATATATTTTATAAATGTAGTGATATATTTCTGGCATGGCAGTCTATGAGAATTTATTCCTGGAAGAGCTAAAAGCACTCTGTTCTCATTGTATATTTGTGGAAGAAAACTTGACCTTCCCTCAATTGCTCTTTGTCAGTGACAATCTATACATGATTGCCTACCTGCTCCCTTTTGTTAAAGTGTGGCTTATACTAAGTTTCTTTATTAAAAAGGGTGTAACCTATCTTCATTTAGAGGCCTTCACGACACTAGCTGCTCCAGCCCCAACCCTGGCTTTGATTCCCACCCCTCAGTCGATACTATCCAGTGTTGTTAGGGGTCTGTTGCCTCCCCATCCTGAAACTGTTCCCTACAAAGGAGTTATGGCTTCTTCCTCACAGCCTACAGCATGCCCAATGAGGGCATGTAATTTGGCAGTTGACAATAATCTGTAAAAATGGCCAAAAATGAATGAAAACACCCATACTTTAGGCTTCCTTGGTCTTCTAAAATCATGGCTGCTGTTCCTAAAGAAGAACCATTAAGTAGAACTTAACTGGTTGGTTAAGAAGCACTTAGATAAGGTAATGGACTCTTGTCCAGTTAAGTCCAGTCCAAGGCCATTATGAGGTGCGGTGCTGATCTTGCTTTTCAGCTTAAGGGAGCTGGCCTTTGTCCACAGACAGCTTTCCGGGTCATGTGGCCAGCAGGACTAAACCACTTCAGGCGTAACGGGACACAGTGACAAGTGCCAGAGCACACAGAAACTCCATTTACTTTCCCACCACAGCAGTACCTATTTATCTGTTTGTATTGGTATGCTTTCAAACTGCTAGGTTGGCAGAAACTGGGATAGAGCAACAGGAGCTTACCCCGTTGTGTGGATTCAAGCTGCCAACCTTCTGATTGGCAAACCCAAGAAGCTCAGTGATTTAGACCAGTGGTTCCCAATTAGCTAATTACTGAGGACCCCTTGTTTTTCAAAGCCAAACCATGAACCCTCTAGTTTTGGAAATTTTGATAACTCTATGGTAGTTATCTGTGCAAAGCAAGTTTTTGAAGAAAATGTGGGGTGGCCCCTTAAAAGCAAAGGATTTTGGATATACCAAAAATAGAGCATAAAATCTGTGATATTGCCACAAATTGCCTATCCCCAGGCAGTAGGAAAAACTTGTCTCCATTGCTCCACTAAAACTGAAATGTTTTTTGTTCATTATTTTTTTAATTGATTAAATTTGTAAGTTGCAATCCAAAGTGACTTATAACCAAACAAACAAAAAGATCCCACTTACACACATTAAAACCAAGGCAGTGTGGAAGGGGGGAAATACATTAAAACATCCTATACAATAGGGGGGGAAACCAAGCAAGGTATAGTGCATTTGAATAAGGTTCCAGGTGGGAAAATCCACTGCGGCAGATGTTGACAATTGAGTGTCAAGAGTGTGTGTAGAATGCTTTAGTATTTTGTTTTTGATTTTGTACAGCACTGTGATTACGAAGACCCTGCATGGGTCATGCCAGACAAATCTCATTTCTTTTTTTGATAGAGTTACAAACTTGGTGGATCAGTGGACGTAGTGTATTTTTAAAAATAGTTTTTTTGATTTCCAATATGTAACAAAAAGAGAGAGAGAAAATAATAAAAACAAAATCCCAAAATAAAATATGAATCCTACAACAAATAATTAAATGGTTGTTCTGTGAGCACCAGATGAATCTCTTTTCGTTTTTCTTTTTGATAGAGTTGTAAGCTTGATGAATCAGATAAGTGCTATGGATGAAGTGCATCCAGATTTCAGTAAGGTTTTTGTCATAGTCCCCTATGATATTCTTGTGGAGAAGTTGGTAGAATGTGGACTGGACAAGGTAACTGTTAGGTAGATTTGTAGCCGTTTGCCTGATAGAATCCAAAGTGTGCTCACTAATAGATCCTCATCTTCTTGGACAAAAGTGACAAGTTAGGTGCCACAGGGTTCTGTCCTGGGCCTGTTATTGTTCAATGTCTATAAATGGTTTGGATGAAGGAATCAAGGGATGCTCAGCAAATTTGCAAATGATACAAAACTGGGAGGGGTAGCCAATGCCACTTGGCATTGACCTTAACATATTCGAGAACTGGGGCCAAACTAACAACATGAATTTCCCTTAGGCAGGAAGAACCAGATGCACAAATATAAGATGGGGGACACCTGGCTTGCCAGTAGAACATGTGTAAATGATCTAGGGGTCCTAGTAGACCACAAACTTCGTAAGAGTCAAGAATGTGATGCAGCTGCAAAATAAGCTAATGCTCTTCTAGGCTGCATCAACATCTGGTCTCTTGTCCTGCTCTATTGTGCATTGGCCACATCACACCTGGAGTCCTGTGTCCAGTTCTGGGTGACATAGTTTAAGAAGGATAATGACAAGCTAGAATGTGTGCAGATGAGGGTGGCCAAGATGATCCAGGGTCTGGAAACCAAGCCTTATAAGGAATGGTTGAGGTATCTGGGTATGTTTAGCCTGGTTAAGAGCAGACTGAGAGGAGATGGGATAGCCATCTTCCAATATCTAAAGGGCTGTCACATGGAAGATGAAGCAAACTTGTTTTCTGCTGCTGTGGACCTGAATCAGTGGATTTGACTAAACACCAGGAAGAACTTTCTGACAGTAAGAGCTTAGGAAACGGTGGGTTCTCCTTCCTTGGAGGTTTTTAAGCAGAGGTTGGATGGCCATCTGTCAGGGATGTTTTAGCTGATATTCCTGCGTTGCAGAAGGTTGGACTAGATGACCCTCAGAATCCCTCCCAGCTCTGTGAGTCTATAATGCAGGAGCCCCTTCAATGGTAGCAGATCATCCAAGTATTTTTTGTTTTAATAAAATAATGTCTTGCTTGAAAAGATTGCAAAAGACTGTTTCAGTACAGGATGCAGATGGACATTCCTGAAGTCACAAGGAAACTGCTCACCCTATCAAAGCACTTCCTCTTTCCACTTTCAAATGGCTAAGACAGCTTTAATTAAGTCGGTCAACATAATTACAAATTATCTATGACAACTATTCTCATCTGCCTCGTTAGTTTCTATCATAACACTGGAGAGAGGTATGTGGTGATTAAAAATACTTTGAGATTGTAAACGTCCTAAACATACTACTTGAGACTTCCCAGTAAACATAATGTTAGGAGTTTGTGGGTGCTGGAAACTTCTAAATTCCTGGAACCGGTAAATGTTAGAATTTACTAGAATTAAGTATTGGGCTGTTAAGTATTGGACTAGTTCTAAACTAGTCCTGGGATATACAGTGGTAACTCGGGTTAAGTACTTAATTTGTTCTGGAGGTCCGTTCTTAACCTGAAACTGTTCTTAACCTGAAGCACCACTTTAGCTAATGGGGCCTCCTGCCACCGTGCCGCCGGAGCACGATTTCTGTTCTCATCCTGAAGCAAAGTTCTTAACCCAAGGTACTATTTCTGGGTTAGCGGAGTCTGTAACTTGAAGCGCATGTAACCTGAAGCGTCTGTAACCCAAGGTACCACTGTAAGTGTTAAAAGCTAATTAAGCGAAGCTAGCTTCCTCTTGAGGTGTTAGGCCCTGGGTGATGGGCCATTAAAAAACCCCCAAAGGATTAAAGGGGCTTCGTTGTGAGACAACAAGTGGCTAGGGGCACCTGAGGGGAGAGTTAGTGATGTCATGGAGAAGAAAGGCAGCAAGCTGAAAAGGCCTCTAGTCACATGCAGAGGAAGTTTGTCACAGCTCAGAAGGAAACAGGAAGTTTTCTCCTGGGTGATACAAAGCATTCCCTAGCATGTCCACTCTAGGAATGTTGTACTTGACTGCTATGTGTTTCACATCCCACACATGGGGGGGGGGGTCACGCTGCATTGCTGGCGGCCTTTTCCCTTCCTCGCTCTCTCCCTTCCTGGCCTTGGGGGAGAGGATGGGGGACTATGCACAGGACGGGTGCCATTTTGCCATGCTCCTGGCACTGTTTGCCCTGCACTCCTGGCTGCATACCTTAAGGTCGTGAATATAAGCCACACTTTAACTTTTCTTGGTTGGAATTGGGGGGAAAGGTGAGGCTTATATTCAGGCCAATACGGTAGATTTGCCAACAAAATCATTGAAAGGTCTGTGGACAGATGTTTCTGTGTACTATTAGTTTTTGGGCGATTTTTCTCATACATGTGTTGAATTTTATAGCAAAGTAGCCACTATTTCTTACTTGTCTGACATTAACATCTTACTGCTCAGAAGTAATCAAGCACGATAAAAGAGAAAAGAAGGAAGGAGTAAGATCTAATAAGCCCACAGCTTTGCCAAAGATTATAATGGGACTGTTAAAAAAAATAAATCTCTTTCCAGTTCCCAGAACCATCAGTCCATACATTTACTTATTGCTTGTCCACACTTCCGGATGTCCCGAAGTGCCCCATGCTTAGAAAGCACGGCTCTGAGCAGTTTCCTGCTTGTCCTGTCTTTCTAGGCACAGGTCCAAGTGGTTTTGCATTTCCCCTGGAAAACGTGCTCTTTACCTCTAAGTCTGCCAGTTGTTCCAATTCAGCAGTAAACCACAGGTTTTCCCGGGGGAAGGTGGCAGAGCAAATGGACTTGTGGATGAGCCCTTAGTTAAAAATATTTATATGCTACCCAGTAACAAATGGGCATTGAGCTAAATAAAAAGGATGGCACAATGGGACGTCCCTCACCACACCCTGTGTGTGCCCCCGTCATCCCCAAATCTGCTCCAGAGGGCTGGGGGAGACTCTCAGAACAGATTTAGGAACTTCATGGGGGAAAGAAAGGGGGGAGGACGTTCAGTTGTGCAATGATGAAACCTGCTAAGCATCACCCGCTTAGTGCTGTGTTGTATACAGCCTGGGATAAGCAGTTGTCCCATCCATTTTGCTGCTATTTGCATTGCATGGATTGCACCAGGAGGCAGTTTTCCCCTTGTTAACAAAGAGACAGGAAAGCTGAGCCCTGGGTTTGGGAGAAGGTGTCAGGAATTTTGAAAGAATGTGGCCTAGAAGAAGCCAAGCTATGCACAACTGATAAAGGGCTGCCTTTGTGGTTATCTCTTAGGTGTGCAAACATTACTTCAAGGTTACAAATATTGACCCTGTATTGTGTATCGTAGGCTCATAAGCTGGGAAACAGTGTGACATTTAGTTCCCAGATTTTAGCTGCAAAGCAGCTTGTGTGGGGGGGTGGAAGGAGGATGAATTTTTAGAGCTAAAAGCTGGCTACAACAATTCCTTATGCAATTTTTTAAAGTGCAACTCTGTCACCCCTAATGCTTTTTACAGTGGTTGTTAGTGACTTCATAAGCCCATGTGTCATGTGTAAGTGCTTCCTGCTGCAGAATCACTTCCTCCATCCACACCAATGTGCTTCTTTAATCCCAAAGAGGTGTGTGTCATTTTACTAAGGAACTGATTCATAACAAATCCCTTTAGGCCTATGAGAGTTGTGCATCACTGCTCATGTGCCATCCTTCAGTTTTCAGATGGGGTAGTTTGTTTGAATTCTCAAGGAAAGTATGTATATCTTCATACTGATCCATAATTCGTATACAGTGGTGCCTCGGGTTAAGTACTTAATTTGTTCCGGAGGTCCGTTCTTAACCTGAAACTGTTCTTAACCTAAAGCACCACTTTAGCTAATGGGCCTCCTGCTGCTGTTCTCATCCTGAAGCAAAGTTCTTAACCTGAGGTACTATTTCTGGGTCAGCAGAGTCTGTAACCTGAAGCGTATGTAACCTGAGGTTCCACTGTATTTTACAAAAGTACATTTACCTCCTGTTTATTCCTCCATGTTTTGTTTTTATTTGTATGGTTAGAAGTTGCACTTTGGGTTTTTGAAAATGGATGTTATTCTGCGTCTGCAGTGGGTTGCATGGTCATTCCATTATATTGTCAGTTAATTAATGTTTATGATCATCTTTTCGTGGCTACATACACAGCCTATTACTGGGGATGGAGAGGGGACTAGGCACCTGCTATCAAATATATCTGTACTCAGCCCTGCACTTACTTTCCTTGATGTGATGATATAGGACTGCTCACGAGTCAGCTGGCTCAATGGAGATGTCAGTCTCCAACTTGGTGCCCAGAAATCTCCATGTACAGTAGTCACAACTGGATTTGCACCAGTAGCAAATTTGCACCTGGCACCCGCGGAATTTCTAACACGGGTGAGGAGATGGGCTGTTCACTATTTTCTGTAGAGTTAAGGGATTGCTGTTGAGTGTAGCATTGAGGCTGAATGTTCTTGGCTTTGGCCAAATCATTGGTCTCCTTCTGCTTCTGTGTCTGAGCTGCAGAACAAATGACAGGAAGAAAATGATCTCATAATGTTTCTATTTTACTGTATACATGGCCATTTAGTAAAATGATAGCAGTAGCAGTGGAAAGAAATGGTACGTATGGATGTTTAAGCATGACATCATACAACTTTTTTAAAAAGAAAAAGATGATGAAAGCACAGGCCAGCAAACCCTGACAAAGGTGCTGAGAACAAACACTTGACAATGGGGCCGCTGTACTTGAGAGACTTGTTGGCATCCATCTGTTCGAGAGACAATGGCGTGTGCCTCCAGCCATGAAGTCAAACTGCTGCATTAGTAGCACCAAAGTGACCTCTCTGGGGTGCAAGCCTGGGCCGTGTGTACGGAAGTCCTGGGCTGCCCAGATGACGCAAAGGTTGAGAAGGCTGTGCGGAGCCCCAACCCCCCACGACTTCGGCTCCACCAGGACTGGGATCGACCCGTCTGGTGACTGGTGCCAGGGAAGCAGGCCGGGGCCTGTCAGGGAGCCGCACAAAAGGTATCGCCCGGGAGAAGATGGGCCCTCCCCTGCCGGCAGAGGGGTGCCGCTGGTGACTGGAAATGGACACAGGATCCAAAAAATTATTTTCTAAATTAAAAAAAATATTTTAATACGTTTATTTTATTTTTTAAACGCTCAAGAATTAAAATGGCAGCACCCATAAAGGAGCCCTGAACCAACAAAGGCCACTTCCTGGGACTGCAGCTTCCACCCTAACTTCCTCCTCTTTTTATATTTTTTAAATTAAATAGAGGGGAAATGACGGGGTTTTTTTCTCCCCCCTGCCCTCGCATTATTATCGTCACATTTCCTCCCTCTCAAAACACTTTTTATATATACTTTTTATTTTTACACACACACACACAACTTTCAGATACCACCACCTCAACATTTCTTTCTTTCTTTCTTTCTTTCTTTCTTTCTTTCTTTCTTTCTTGAAATCCCTACTCTTTTTATCCCCCATCTCCTTCCTTTTCTCTTCTCTCTCCTTCCTGCCCTAATAATAATAATAATAATAATACCACGCAGCTTCATACATATATCTCGCCATCCACTTTCAATAGTAACTCCCACTTTTGTGCTCTGTGGCCTAAACCACAGAGGCTAGGGCTTGCCGATCAGAAGGTCGGTGGTTCAAGGCCCCACGACGAGGTGAGCTCCCATTGTTTGGTCCCTGCTCCTGCCCACCTAGAAGTTCGAAAGCACTTCAAAATGCAAGTAGATGAATAGGTATCGCTCTGGCAGGAAGGTAAATGGCGTTTCCGTGCACTGCTCTGGTTCACCAGAAGCGGCTTAGTCACGCTGGCCACATGACCCGGAAGCTGTATGCCGGCTCCCTCGGCCAGTAAAGCGAGATGAGCGCCGCAACCCCAGAGTCGGTCACGACTGGACCTAACGGTCAGGGGTCCCTTTACCTTACCTCATACTATAACTTGAATCACCACTGCAATTTTTTATCATTACTATTACTATTACTATTTTTTCCTTTATTTTCCCTTTTTATTTTACTCTACTGTTCCTTTTCTTTTTTTCTTTCCCCCTTTTTTTATTTGTTTTTTCAATACTACCCTGCCAGCCTTTAATTTTTAACTTTTTACTATGAAATCCTAACCCCACTTCCCACCCTGAACTGGACCCCACCTCCTCATTTGTGTGTATGAGTGTGTAGGTGTGTGTCCACAAACAACCCCCCCAGCACACACCCTCCCTCTGGCCCCACTCCATTGGTCTCTTGCATCTTTGCTTGTTAATCCCTTTATGTCAACTGTTTGTCTGTTCTGCTTGCCTTTCTGCCTGTCTGCTTGTCTGCTTCCCGCTTCGCCAACATCACTGAGGTGAGTACGGTGACCCTAGAGAAGTCCTTAAAATATAGCCCTGACATGACAAAAATAGCCGCCTAATCCAGACATTCTATAAAAGCCACCAGTCAACAATGCTGGTTCAACTCAGCAACTCAATACCCAGGAACCACCACTTCCAAAACTCCTAACCACAACACACCACTCCAAAAAGATACCACCACATCTCAAAACAAGGTCACCAGAGAGATTGAGATGGCACCAACCAGGGAGATGATGAACAGCACTGAGACCACAACATAGCCCCAGGATGACAACAACCCAACAACAAAATGAGGCCTGAGGGAAATGGAACTGAGACTAGCAGAACTATTGAAGAACACAGTGACTCCCCTGAAGAAAATAATCAGCAACCTGACCTCCAGAGTGGAAACCCTCACTAACGCCATCTCCAGTCTAGAAAGTAAGAACCAAATGCACAGAACACCACAGAAACGAGTGCTCATATGCCCAGGAAATGCTGGAGAGGACGCACCTCCACAGGCACATACCTCCACATGTGGTGAGAATGTCCCAAAATCCAACTCTTCTGGACATCAGTCATACAAGAAATATTCAAAATAACTAAGCAAGTATTAGAAGTCACCCCAGAACTGGCCCTACTGAACATCTTCCAAGATAATAATGCCCACTCACATTATAAAGAGCTCATAACCAACCTACTCTCAGCAGCCAGAAGCAGACACTGGAGAGACCTGTCAGGAGTAAGCTTGGACCAATGGTACCAAATAGTATGGGAAACAGCCTTAGTAGAAAAACTAACCAATAAACCGAAACTGACATGGGGACAAATAGAAGAAGATGCCTTCACCACGGTATGTCCCCTTTATCACATACATAGCCCAACAAGACAACAACAAAAATCTGCCAACAGCATACAAATCAATCTGGCTAACCAAAAACCCACCCTCTCACACACTCACATGCATAAACAAATCTCACTAAAGCCAACCAAGTACAGCCAACCACACCCTAGGGCGCCCCCAACCTCTCTCACCACCAAGGAAATACAACAAGCGAATAGAAAGAGAACCCACACAAGTGCCGCTGACACAAAACCCCACACATACACTAAGTAGAAGAATAGAAGCAGTGCCACCCGCACCCTCCCCACCCACCATTCCCCCTCCCCTTCCGTTCTCCTCTTTTCTTCCCAACCTAATACTGCATGCAACACAAATGAAACTGATCTTGAAACAATGTCTGTATTTTTGTAAACAAAGAAATCTTTAGTAAAAATATATTTTTTAAAAAAAGAAAGTGGAGAAGGTGGATAGAAAGAAGTTACTCTCCAGCTCTCACAGTACTCGAACCTGGGACCATTCAGTGGAGCTGAACATTGGATTCATGACTGACAAAACTAAGCCCTGAACTGCATCATGCCGCACATACTTAAACTATGGAATTGGCTCCCACAAGATGTAGGGATATCTGGAAATGTGCGTGGCCTTAAAAGAGGATTGGACAAGTTCACGGAGAGTAAGGCTATCAGTGGCTAATAGCTGCAATGGCTGAGCCCTGTCTCCATTGCTGGAAGCAGTGTGTCTCTGAAGGCTAGTTGCTGGGGAGCGTGCACTTTCACTTAGCTCCTGTTGTGGGGTTTCCAGAGGCAACTGGATAGCTATTATGGGGAAAGGATGCTAGACTTGATGGACCTTTGGGCTGCTCCAGCAGGGCTCTTTGTACATTCATACAAATAGGGACTGTATTTTGCACTGTTGACTTTATTTTATAGTTTTTCTTTTTAAAAAATTAGCATGAATAAAGATGATGTCTGAATTGTGGACTGTCTTTCTTCCTGTCAAGAATGCATCTAGAACTAGTTTTGACATTAAAAATGAACCTGGCAATTTAACGAAATGATTATTCTGGCCTCAGTAAATGGTTTCCATTCTTTCTCTCCCTCAAGAGAGCAAAAATCATGGCCAGTTCTTGGCCAGCTAATGAACCAAGTTTGCCTGTCTCTTTGCAGATGGGGTGTTGGAGAAGGCCATGTATAAGTGCATCCTGAAGCCCCTCAAGGGTCATGTCGAGGTGATGTTGAAAGAGTTCCATACAGCTGACGGCTCTTGGAAACAGCTGAAAGAGAACCTTCAACTTGTCCGACAACGGAATCCTCAGGAGCTTGGGGTGTTTGTACCAACACCAGACTTTGTAGATGTTGAAAAGATTAAAGTCAAGTTCATGACCATGCAGAAGATGTATTCTCCTGAAAAGAAAGTCATGCTGCTGCTACGAGTCTGCAAACTAATTTACACTGTGATGGAAAACAATTCAGGTAAATGCTGTCTCTTGACCAAAGATTTCTTTGCTGTTCAGGAAGCTTCTGGAGGAAGAGCCAATGTTTTATCTCACAACAGTTTCAAATCTCCCTTTTTCTTTATCTCACAGGTTTTGTAATTTGTAATCTGATAGTCTGCAGTTTGGTTCTAATTGTTTTCATACCTGCACTATTTCTAGCATGTTGCAGTGACTATTTGGTATAACAGGTATCTGGAATGAAGGCAGTGTCTGCTAAGAAGAGACTAAACTAAAAGGGGATTGATGGGCCCAGATATTGGAGCACGTATTCAAACACTATGTATGCATTGCTGTAGTGTGAGAAATGGCCTGTGACACTGGTGCCAGTTCATGCCTTTTTCTTAAAGTCTGATACAAAAAGGGCACAATTTAAATGGGCAAATACATGTGTGGTCCTGTCAATTATGAATGGTGCGCGCACACATGCAAATATCGCTTGCTTGAATTCCTGCACCCTCCGCATGCTTCCTGAAATTGGCCTGGAGGTTTCAGGAGAACAGCGCATGAGGTGGGTGGGATCTGGCAAGCTGGAGTGATGGTCCAGATAGAGGGGCTAGAAAAGTGTGAAATTGAATTCCACCCATTTTTGCATTGTGAAAAACATGGTGTTACATCACACTTGTTTTAGAAGCTTAGTCTGAATAATTTGAAAATGGTCTGAGCCTTGAAAAAATCTATGCCCAAAGACTAGTGCAGGCTTTTCCCAATCCAGGGTGCTGCAAGGTATACAAGGTGTGGCTAATCCTTTTAGGTGGAACAGAAGTGTTGCTGCAAGTAGGAGCACAGTCCCAGCCACCCAGGGGTAGGTAGCATAGAATTGTACTCACCTGGAGCAAGCTAGCTCCTCACATAAGTTTTCAGTAAACCATGAAGCTGGTCAAGAGCCCCACAAGAACATCTCACTGCTGAGCTAACATTGACATTGCTTAAACCAGACATTGCTTAAACCAGAAGGCAGTTGCTTAGCACAAATCCCAAGCTTTAACTGAGTTGTACGCAGGTGGCGCTGTGGGTTAAACCACAGAGCCTAGGACTTGCTGATCGGAAGGTCGGCGGTTCGAATCCCCGCGACGGGGTGAGCTCCCGTTGTTTGGTCCCTGCTCCTGCCCACCTAGCACGTCAAAGTGCAAGCAGATAAATACGTACTGCTCCGGCGGGAAGGTTAACGACGTTTCCATGCGCTGCTCTGGTTCGCCAGAATGCTGGCCACATGACCCAGAAGCTGTACGCCGGCTCCCTCAGCCTATAAAGTGAGATGAGCGCATAACCCCAGAGTCGTCCGCGACTGGACCTTACGGTCAGGGGTACCTTTACCTTTACCTTACTTCAGTACAGTATTTAACTTTGCTGCAGCCAGTTGCCATCCTTTACTCTGCTTATCCGGTCCTGTGATGGCATATAAAGTATATGAATATGTGTGCCTGTCCTAGAATCATCTTCTCTTTAATTTTACACCAATGGTAAAAGGTAAAGGATCCCTGGACGGCTAAGTCCAGTCAAAGGCGACTATGGGCTGTGGCACTCATCTCACTTTCAGGCCGAGGGAGCCGGCGTTTGTCCACAGACAGCTTTCCAGGGCAACGGAACACCGTGATGGAAGCCAGAGCACACGGAAACGCCATTTACCAACGGATCCTGTGATAATAGCATATATGTTTGAGTAAAATTCGCTTGGCATGAATCTAAAATGATTCAGCTGAATGGGAACAGCAGTGCAGAAGACTGCCTTTAAACATGGAAAGAGGCAGACAAAACTGGCAGAGGGTTGTGATTAATGCCTATATTTTCTTTCCCCACTCTTCCTTACCTTTCGTCAAGGGAGGATGTATGGAGCTGATGACTTTTTGCCAGTGCTGACCTACGTTGTGGCTCAGTGTGACATGCTGGAGTTAGATGCTGAAATTGAGTACATGATGGAGCTGCTGGACCCCTCCTTGCTACACGGAGAAGGTAAATGGCCTTGAAGCTCTGAGATGACTCTTTTGCCAGGAATTTGTTTATTTGTAGCCTGCCTGAATAGACAGCCTTTAAAAGAATCCTGAAAGCCTCTAACTTGTTGCCACAGCTTATCAAGTAATGCCTACAAACAAAACATAAAGATAACCCCAACCAATGAAGATAAAAAGCCTTGTGTTCCTACCCGCATAGAGAGAGGGTATTTTTAATTAAAAATAATATGCTTTTCTTTGTGATTCTGGAAGGAGGAAACTGTCGTTTGGCCTAGCAACTTGGACGGTAGTGATTTACAGTAAACTCTTAACCGTGTCTTCGCAGAAGCCCTATTGAATTCAATGGGGCATACTCCCAGGTCAGTGAGGTTAGGGTTGCAGCCTTAGTTCAGTTTGGAATGATAGATCAGACCAGACATCTTCTGGCAGGGTCTGAAATGATATGTGACAATTTCTCTCTTCAATTCTCTCTTTCTCCAGTATGGAAAACTTTCTTTTAACTTACTGAGAATTTTGAATTATGGAAGCTTATAAGTTAGCTTTCCTAAACCTCAGGAATAACTTGTATTTCAGAGCAGGCTTTCTTCAGAGGCCAGGATATTACCACAAGTCTTCTTTCAGATTCATATTGGCATTTAGTAGCATTATCATGGTCATCCTGCCTCCTGCATGACAGTTCATTGAAAAAGAAAAACATTTCCTTGTTCAGTTGGTAGAGCATGAGATTCAGCAATCCTTACCAAAGCCCTGTATAGCAAGCAGATAGGTAAAGGTAAAGGACCCCTGGACGGTTAAGTCCAGTCAAAGGTGGCTATGAGGTATGGCACTCATCTTGCTTCAGGCTGAGGGAGCCGGCGTTTCTCCACAGACAACTTTCTGGGTCATGTGGCCAGCATGACTAAACTGCTTCTGGTGTAGCGGGACACCGTGACAGAAACCAGAGCGCATGGAAATGCCATTTACCTTCCTGCCACAGTGGTACCTATTTATCTACTTGCGCGGGTGTGCTTTCGAACTTCTAGGTTGGCAGGAGCTGGGACAGAGCAACAGGAGCTCACCCGTTACAGGGATTCAAACCACTGACCTTCTGATTGGCAAGCCCAAGAGGCCCGGAGGTTTAGACCAAAGCCCTGTATAGCAAGTAGATATTCATCTTACCAAAAGGGGAAAGCACTGAGGATGTGAGTGAGTTGATAACAGAGGCAGGATTTTAATTGAGGATTCTTTCATAGCGAAATCACTTTATTTGTTATTTGTGCAGGGGTTGCGTTCCTGGCCCACTCATGTGTTAGTGGAGTGCGTGTAAGGCCCCCCCCCCCCCGATTCCACCCCCTTTTCTGGCCACTTCTGGGTTGCGGCAATGCGTGCGTCACAATCGTGTATGCATTGAACAAATGTAAAATGGTCTTTGCCTCTACTCGAAACCCTTTGAGGAACACTTCATTATTATTTTTTAACACACAGGCTAGTCATTTTTGTCAAAAAGGCATGGAGTGGAGAAGCCACACAGATGTATCAGCAACTCTCCAGTTCATACTCAGGCAACCAAAAATATACTCTTTCTGCCATGCAAAAAGAATGGGAGAAGAATATGTGAATCAGTTTTATTACTAGAAATTCCTCTTGACTTTTATTTAGGTTGCTTGAGAACAAGGGGCTTGTTATTAAGGTGGCATTTGCAAAAAAAACCAACAAAAAACAAACCAACAATGATTTAGCTCTTAAAATATGGCCTGGAATACGTCTCCTGCTTGTGGCTCTGAATCTTTTCCTGCCTCTGCAGTTGTTTGGCTCCTTCTAAGCCTGGAGTAGGGAGGGATTCCAGAGGCCCCTTCCCTCCTGGGCAGCTGAGAGCAAAAGAATGCTGAAGCTGTTGAATCGGGCAAGGAACTTCTGTTTCCAACAGCAAAACAAAAACAAGCAGGCCAAGCTTCTGGCCAAGCAGCTGGATGTTGATACTTCCTTGGCCTCCAAACTGCATCAGATTTCTGTGTGTTGCTATTTGCAACAAATTGCATTTGTCTTTCCCAGAAATCCAATGGTGGGCGGGGGCATGAACAGAATTCCATCTAATGGGGAAGAGCATTTGAGTACAGCCGGAATGAGAACTGCAACAAACACCAGAGTCTGCTTTAAGTAATCTTCCTGATGTTTGTGCTATACTTGCCACAGTGTGTGGTGTCAAGAAACCAGGAGAACAAAGCAACTCAGAGGGTTGGATCCAGACTCTAGTGCTTTGGAACAAAGTTGGAAACCCACTGGCATGGCTGTGGTTTCAAAGGCACACCTCAGAAGGATGGCAGACCCCCAATTTGTAGTAGTAGCAGCAGTAGCACAGTATTTATTAAATTTGGATACCACTCTTCAAGAGGAGACTGAGAAGAGATAGGATAGCCATCTTCAAATATCTCAAGGGCTGCCACATGGAAGATGGAGCAAGCTTGTTTACTCCTGCTCCACAGGGTAGGACCCAAACCAATGGCTTCAGGTTACAAGAAAGGAGATTCCAACTAAACATCAGAAAAAACTTTCTGACGGTAAGAGCTGTTCCGACAGTGGAACAGACTCCCTTGGGAGGTGATGAACTCTCCTTCATTGGAGGTGTTTAAGCAGAGGTTGGATGTCCATCTGTCAGGGATGCTTTAGCTGAGATTCCTGCATTCTGCATTGCAGAGGGGGGTCGGTGTCCGTTCCAAGTCTACTATTCTATGATCTGTAGATTTCAGGGTGGTTCACAGTATAAAAATACAAAATAAAAGCACAAAATACATAATAAAAACAAGAACAAGAACGAACTACTAGCACATTGATAGCTAACCTGTTGCTATCCAGATGCACACTTCCCATCTGCGGGCAGGGGCTGGTGGAAATTGGAGTCCAACATGTGGAGGTTGCACTTTCATTTAATGCAAGACAGCAGATCACTCTTGTCTGTCTTGGAAAATTACAGACATACTGAGTTTTACACTGATTATATATATAAATAATCATAGAATCATAGAATCATAGAGTTGGAAGAGACCACAAGGGCCATCGAGTCCAACCCCCTGCCAAGCAGGAACACCATCAGAGCACTCCTGACATATGGTTGTCAAGCCTCTGCTTAAAGACCTCCAAAGAAGGAGACTCCACCACACTCCTTGGCAGCAAATTCCACTGTCGAACAGCTCTTACTGTCAGGAAGTTCTTCCTAATGTTTAGGTGGAATCTTCTTTCTTGTAGTTTGGATCCATTGCTCCGTGTCCGCTTCTCTGGAGCAGCAGAAAACAACCTTTCTCCCTCCTCTATGTGACATCCTTTTATATATTTGAACATGGCTATCATATCACCCCTTAACCTCCTCTTCTCCAGGCTAAACATGCCCAGCTCCCTTAGCCGTTCCTCATAAGGCATCGTTTCCAGGCCTTTGACCATTTTGGTTGCCCTCCTCTGGACACGTTCCAGTTTGTCAATGTCCTTCTTGAACTGTGGTGCCCAGAACTGGACACAGTACTCCAGGTGAGGTCTGACCAGAGCAGAATACAGTGGCACTATTACTTCCCTTGATCTAGATGCTATACTCCTATTGATGCAGCCCAGAATTGCATTGGCTTTTTAGCTGCCGCGTCACACTGTTGGCTCATGTCAAGTTTGTGGTCAACCAAGACTCCTAGATCCTTTTCACATGTACTGCTCTCAAGCCAGGTGTCCCCCATCTTGTATTTGTGCCTCTCATTTTTTTGCCCAAGTGCAATACTTTACATTTCTCCCTGTTAAAATTCATCTTGTTTGTTTTGGCCCAGTTCTCTAATCTGTCAAGGTCGTTTTGAAGTGTGATCCTGTCCTCTGGGGTGTTAGCCACCCCTCCCAATTTGGTGTCATCTGCAAATTTGATCAGGATGCCCTTGAGTCCATCATCCAAGTCGTTGATAAAGATGTTGAATAAGACCGGGCCCAAGACAGAACCCTGTGGCACCCCACTAGTCACTCTTCTCCAGGATGAAGAGGAACCATTGATGAGCACCCTTTGGGTTCGGTCAGTCAGCCAGTTACAAATCCACTGAGTGGTAGCATAGTCAAGACCGCATTTTACCAGCTTCTTTACAAGAATATCATGAGGCACCTTGTCAAATGCCTTGCTGAAATCAAGGTAGGCTACATCCACTGCGTTCCCTTCATCTACCAGGCTTGTAATTCTGTCAAAAACGAGATCAGGTTAGTCTGACATGACTTATTTTTCAGAAATCCATGCTGACTGTTGGTGATCACAGCATTCCTTTCTAGGTGCTCACAGACTGTTTGCTTAATGATCTGCTCCAGAATCTTCCCTGGTATTGATGTCAGACTGACTGGGCGGTAATTATTTGGGTCCTCTCTTTTCCCCTTTTTGAAAATAGGGACAACATTTGCCCTCCTCCAGTCTGTTGGTAATCAAGCTGTTGGTAATTATCTCTGGAACACTCTTCTCCTGATTCCTTCACAGGTGGCTACTACTTGACAAGTGCATATGGAGCACTTTCTTTGATAAAGAATTTTCAAGAAGAACAAGCAGCTCGGCTGCTGTGCTCGGAAGCCCGGAATACCCTTCGACAGTGGCATAAGCGTAGGACAACAAATAGAACGATTCCATCTGTGGATGATTTTCAGGTACAGTTAATGACTTTTCCATATGATGACTTTTCTACTGTGGGCAGAGTATAAGTGTGATATGACAGACAGCATGGTAGTTGTAGATTGTCCTTGGTGATGTTAGTTCTGGTTCCCCCTCATTTGTGAAGCTCAGGGCAAAACTAGTTCTGACAGGGCTGCCATTCATGTCCCCACTCCATTCACTGGTAAAGCCAGGGATGGGGTGAAATTAGAATAAAATATGCACGGAAGACTGGTGTCCTGTCCTGCCATACAAACCCTGATGCCTTTGTTCCCCTCCATCTTTTTTTCTCCTTTTTTTAAGCTTCAGTGTTGGAATTGAGCCAAGGAAGAAATAGACAACTGTGGGCAGTAAGATGTGCAGTGAGATATACATTGCCCCTCACCTGCATGATCCTCAGTCTTTGTTTATATGTCCAAGGGGCAGATATATAAAGAGAAACAGGTGTCTGTCACCATCTCATCTAATTTGGCCATGACGTTGGGGGGAAGGGATTCTTCTCCATGTTGCAATGCCTGGAAGCGCTTTAATAACACTGAAGGTGAAGTGACTGCAAAGTTTCATATTCTTCTTGGGGAGATCCTGGAGTGATTATGGGCAGCTGCTTCTTCCTTAAGACCTCCTTACAGGATTCCTGTTTGGTCAGAGCACCTAAACAAGATGGAAGTACAAATACTGTTAAAATTGTACTTTGATCTTGCATGGTCTGAGAAAATTACTTTTCATATCTAACTTGCAATTTTGGTGTAGGCTTGTTAACTTGGTAGTGATAATGGAATTGCAAATGAAGCTTAACTTCAGTTTATGTATCATCGGTGCTTTTTTTCCTAGAAAAATAGGTGCTGGTACTCAGCGTGAAGTTGTTAAAGTAAGGCTGGATCTAGACACATCCAAGAAGCGATTCAGTTAAACGCACCGTAAACTTCATACAGGGAAATTCCATTGGTGAAAGACAGGGCTCCACTGGGCCATCTGGTGTCAGTGTTGTAACGCATTCTTTCTTTACGAATGTCGCTGAGTCCTAGGTGCCAGTACTGCATACCCCTGAGTACCCCCTGAAGAAGAAGAAGAAAGCACTGTGTATCATGATAGTTCAGCACTGATACTTTTTGGAAAGCTAAAGCATGTTTCACTGTTTGAATTTTATGGTTAGCAAAAAACCTCCAAGATTTGGGTTGCCATACTTGCAAACATGTTAGAGAATAAATGTGGAGGATGTTTCTTCTCCTTAGAAACAAAAGTATTTGTTGGTGCATCCTGAATGTACATTTTGCCCTATATTTGACCGACTCCCTCCAATGACTCATTTCATTTCATGTCAGAACAAGCTGTGTTCCAACATGCACACTCTGCTCTTCTTTCTTCCCTTCCTTCCTCATTTCTATTTTCTCCCCTTCTCTCTCCCCTCCCTCCTTTTTTTCCTTCCTCAAATCTCCCCCTTTCATGTCTTCCCTTAGATTCTAGATGATGTCTGTTTCCGCTTATGGCCAGCATGTGTGCGTATGCTTTTTGTGTCTTTTTTTAAAAAGCATTCCTAATTATTTTACTGGAAGAAAGAAATGTTAACAGTGAAAAGCAATTATTCCCCACCTCCGCCTTCACTGTTGACTGTGCTTTACTTGTTTTATTCTGCTCTGGGTTTTGTTACATTTAAATTGGTTTTACTATCTCTTGCACTGTTTTATTTTGAGTTGATTGGAGGCCTTTCTTGGGCCAAAAAGTGGCATAGAAATGAATTTATGAAGAAGCAAATATACTGCTTCTGCAGTGGGCAAAATAAATAAAAAAGACCGGCATTCCCACTAAATGAAAATGCAAAAAAGGTGGGAATAACTAATAACAACTCACATGTTCACCAAAAGCTCCCACAGACCTTGCCTAGAATTAATGAAGCTTGAATTATTATCAAATTGGACTCAGGAAAAGAGACATGAATCATATTCCCAAATGAGCTTCCTGAAACCAGTTCCTTGCTTCAATATTAAAAAGCAAATGTCAGACACATGTGCTCCGTAGAACTGCAAAGTATGCTTTCCATCTGCAGAAGCCTGATTTGTGTGAATGGGGCTCGGCCCACTTTCTTCCCTGAGCTCTGCTGCATCTTGGGTTCGCCTCTTAGTTTCTTAGCATGACCACCGTTCCCCAGAGAAGGCTCAGTGGCGCTTTGCCACCGTCTGGCATATGCCCAGGTATCAGCTGAGGGAACTCCGTCTGGCCACAGATGATAGCTTTGCAGTTCACTTAGCTTGCTGTCAGGACACAATAAAGTGAGCTCAAAAGTACAACCCTCATGGCATGCTAATAATGAATTAGCAGAGGAAGCATTGGGGCTAGTAAGTAAGTCCTTTACTCACATGGGCAGGTTGAATAAAATCTCAGTCAAGGTCCTGTGAATAGACCCTGACACTACTTACTTACAGCAGGGGTTTTCAGTTTCTGCCTTCAGGGAACATTTACTGCATCAGTTTGCCTGCCATGGCACCCTTGTTACAGAATATGCATTCCATTTGAACAGAGCACTGGTCAGGCCTATGAGGCCTCAATATCTTATATCTGAATTGAGGGTGCTTGAGAACATTTTGCTTTGAGTAGACCTGTTGCAATTAATGGCTCTAATGTCAGGTTCATTAATTTCTGAGGATCTGCTCTGAGTAAAATTTAGTTGTATACCACCCTTAAAGTTTCCTGAAACACAGAGGACCTCTGATTAATAACAAGAGGAACAACTACGTATATTTCACATTGATTAGCCCAACAAACCAGGTGAAATCGTGTGGGGGTTTTTTTATTAGGTCTTGAATTTGAATATTTATTCTTCTCATGTATTTCCCCACTTCACAGAACTATTTGCGAGTTGCATTCCAGGAAGTAAACAGTGGCTGTACAGGGAAAACCTTGCTCGTGAGACCATATATTACCACAGAAGATGTGTGTCGGCTTTGTGCTGAGAAGTTTAAAGTGGACATTCCTGATGAGTATAGCCTGTTTCTTTTTATTGATGACACCTGGCAACAGCTGACAGAAGATACCTATCCCCAAAAAATCAAAGCTGAACTGCACAGCCGGCCACAGCCCCAGGTCTTTCATTTTGTTTATAAGCGCATCAACAGTGACAATTATGGTGCCATTTTTCAAAACGACAACAGCGACCACACATCATAAAGCTCATGTGTTTTATGGTTGGGTTTTAAGTTGCTGAAAGCACCCTTTGCTTGCTGACTTGAGTTCATTAGACACTGTCTGCAGGGCTCTAAACCAAATGTCTGATAAGAACATGAACAACAATCCCGGTCACTGACTAAATGTAATATATATACAGGGCCATTGTACAGCTGTAGAACAGAAGGGGGGCTGAACTTCATGGATCACTGATCTTCTCAAATATACTGCACATCACATCAGCACATCTGTATTGCATTTTACTCTCATCCTTAGTTCAAGCCCTAGTTTGCATTAACTTTACTGATGGCCAGATTATCTATAAGCTAGCTGGTGGGCTATCCATTTCACCAGTGTACATATATATGCAAAACTGTCCGATGCAGGGCATCAATAAACTCTCTTATATGGATGGTAGCAGCCTTCTCTAAAATAGTTATTTAATTATTATTATTTTACTGAAGGCAGCTTGTTTATATATATATATATATATCACAGAAATTTTAAAACAGTTGCAGGTAAACTGTCATGGTTGATCCTTAAAGTATTTTTTAAAACTATAAAATGTTCTATAATTCTGCATGTGATTTTTAACATTTAATATACAAAATAAATCTCTTGCTGGTTTTAGAGTATTACATTGAACACTCCTGTGAGATTTAGATGGTTTATTGCCTTTTCTTCCCTGATTTAAGTGTTTTTAAATCTATCAAACTCATTTTAAGGTTGATAAAATTCTGTAAGTAATTTGTATTTTTGACATTGGCTACCCAAAGCCTTTTACAAACCTGATGTATCACTTACTGAATTATTATTTATATACTGCAATCTTGAATGGACAGATAAAGTGGACAGAAGTATTTGAAAGAAGTGAATATAGAGACCAGGAAAGTGAGAAAACAGTGTGGCTGCTTTAGAAATGAGATGTTTTAGGGCATGTGTTTCAAATAACACAATTTAGTTACTTCATTGTTGTACAGAAAGTTAGCCAAAGAAAGATAGCTGAGAGCTCCATCACTCCTCTTCGTGGAAGAGTGACTGGACATTGTTGAAGGTAGATGTGAGGGACAGTCACTCAAAAGGGGGGGGGAGAGAGATTGTGAGGTTACCCCTAGTCTGCTGGTTCAGGCTTCTTGCAGAACATAAGTGAAGGAAGTTGGGGGGGGAGTTTCAAAGTTTGAAATATTGTACATATACAAATATTGATTTGTCATCTGTTATGTTAGAAACAGCAAGGAACTGAATTTACAGGTTAAACAGATTTATGCAGACTGAAACGAGCAACATCACATGCATTTTACTGTGGCTGAAAAAGTAAATGTTTTCCATAGGCATACAAATTGTAAGCTTCTTTCCATATTAGATAACTAAAACTGGGTTGTAATTTTGAATAAAAGTAATCGCTCCCTCCTAATCTTCTGTGCGACCCTAGAAGAAGCGGGAGATGAGAGATATTTCATGGGGTGGATTTTGCTGTCCCCTATACATCATGACTGAACAATTAAATTATCCAATAGATACAAAAATAAATCTGGACAATGTTGTAATAGTTTAATGTTGTAACAGAAATATTAAGACCTACACTGAGCACCAACCAATCCAAGTCATTGTGTAAGATGTGGTTGAAAATCTTGGATCATAAGTCCCTTACTGATCTTATCAAAAGCCAAGAATCTTGTCCATCTAGGATGGCTTCCAAACCATGTGAATGCACTCCAGTGTTGAGTTACTAATTGCTGTACCTTAATGCCTTAATGCTCTGGAGTTACCAAAAGAATATTGGTGTCTGGCTCTGCAAATGCGTTTTGTATGTAAATGTATGCATGTTGATTTGCCACTTACCTGCCACCTTGACATGTGTCTATGTTGTATTTCATTTTGTAAATGATAAAACAGTAGTTTTGCACATAATACATTGTAATACTTTACTATAATGAACATGTTTGTGTATATGTGAATAGTCTGTATTTAAGTACTCATCCATTTCTTGCACTTGTAAGACACAGCCATTTTCTAGTCTCCTGAAACTATTCTTTAGTCCAGCTCATGTGGTTTGCTGTACATTGGAGTCTTAGAGCTGGTTCACACACTCATATCTATCCCTTCATTTTTATCATTTACTAACTGCCAGTTGAATGTGTAAACTGACTGTACTGGAAAACATTGTATTTTTGAGGTGATATATGGCACTTTCTCCTGTTACAGATCTGTGATAACTTCTGCTGCAATAATGGCCATAGATCTGTGAACTAGCCCTGAGGACCAATTCACACATTATACTTTAAAAACATCTTGGGTGTATACCTATTTTAATGTGAAAAGGTTGGGTGGAAATTATTGCTATCATGTTTTGAGCTCTGGCTCTTGTTCCCCTGCGCCAATTGCTACTAGTAAACTTGTGCCAGCAACAGTCACTGTAGGGATCAGCAGAGCTCACACTGGCCAAAAGCACTCCGATATCTGGAGGATGAGGACATCTGGAACATCCTAAGGACATAGTGACAGCTCTGCCTTAGATGGAAAATGATTTGTGTTATTTGATCTTCTTTCATTTTATGCATATATCAGTGGTGTGCGGTCAGTGGACTAGGGGGACTAGGATAGTCCCCTAAATTTCCCCCTGGCATCTCTTTCCTAAAGCCTGGGAAGCTTCTGCTCAGCTTAGGGAGGGAGGTGCGATGCTCCGATGGGTCCAAAAGCCCTTCCACCACCTTCCCAAAGCCTGGGAAGCTTCTGCTGGCTTAAGGAGGAAGGCACAATGCTCACGCACGCAACATCAGGACATCACAATGTTGTGCCTGTTCCCAAGTACCCTTGCAAGCTGGCGCCTCTGGCCCTAACTGTTCCCCTGTGAAAAAAATCACCATACATCACTGGAATAAATGCTTAATTTCCCTGAAATTGGCACCATGGGAAGACTGAAACAAGTGCAGGAGATGACTCACAACTGGATACCATATGTGAAAAAAGTTCATGTTTCTGAAATGGTGAGTTGTAACTGAGGAGTTGGATGGAAGAAACCACACACTCAGGATTCTTTTAAGGTGGGTGCTTTGTACTCTGTTTTTCCTTCCAGAAACATTTTGGCATTGAATCATTTATTCCAGTATCTATAACAATCTCATGTGCTTTGCTATGCTCCTATACACACTTACAATTTGCTTCTTCTGTACTAAACAAAACTGAAATTTTCGCCACAATTCAGAACCAACACCTAATTATTTTCCATGTCATTTTACTTAAAAATAAATAAATCAGAAGATTAGGCATACCCTGCTGGTGGTTGCTGTGCTTAAAATATCATTGCCTCCAAATCAACTCCTATCTTTTCTCTTCTTAATGGACAACACTGATGCAGTGGAAAAAAGTTATTTAAACATAAGCTTATAATCCTTGCAATTCCTTTGAATTAGTAAGACATAAGGGTGTTGTTCATAGGCACTGGGTGCCAGGGGCCCTGGGGGCTCCAGTCCCCACAACTCCCCATGAAAGGGCTGGGCACCCACAAATATTTGCACCGGGGCTGCTCACGCCGCAGGGGGTGCCAATGTCAGGCGCCTGCAGCGTGCGTGGCCTTGGGCACCCGCAGTCCTGGGGCCAAACTGCTGGGCCTGGTGGTGGTGTTTTGGTTATTTAAATTTCTTACCTGCCCTTCACGCTAAAGTCTGAGGGCAAGTTGCAACAATTTAAAATACAGTTAAAAAACGAGAATGAAAAATACAGTCACTAAAACCAGGGTGGGTCCTGAAAATAAATATCTTCATCGTCAAAGGCCAGGGTAAAGAGCAATGCCTTATTGGTTAGAGTTATGCTCTTAGAGGTTAGGGACGCAGGTGGCGCTGTGGGTTAAACCACAGAGCCTAGGGCTTGCCGATCAGAAGGTTGGAGGTTCGAATCCCCGCAACGGGGTGAGCTCCCGTTGCTCGGTCCCTGCTCCTGCCAACCTAGCAGTTTGAAAGCACGCCAAAGTGCAAGTAGATAAATAGGTACTGCTCCGGCGGGAAGGTAAACGGTGTTTCCGTGCGCTGCTCTGGTTCGCCAGAAGCGGCTTAGTCATGCTGGCCACATGACCCGGAAGCTGTACACTGGCTCCCTCGGCCAATAAAGCGAGATGAGCGCCGCAACCCCAGAGTCAGCCACGACTGGACCTAATGGTCAGGGGTCCCTTTACCTTTACCTTTTATGCTCTTAGAGAAGCTATTCAGTGCCCTGATAGGTACCTGTAACCAAGAAAACTGCACACACTTTGGAATTAGTTCCACTGATAACGGCGGGACTTCTTCTAAGGAAGCTTCCATACATGGCTCAGTCGGTAAAACATGAGACTCTTAATCCCAGGGTTGTAGGTTCAAGCTCCACACTGGGCAAAGATTCCTGCATTGCAGGAGGTTGGTCTAGATGACCCTCGTGGTCCCTTCCAACTCTACAATTCTGTGATTCTGTAGGAGGGCTGACATACGTCATTTATGGAAAGAAAATCCACAATTTTGGGGGTATCCTGGTTTTTCCTTTTTGAAATATGGCAACCCACCTTGATTTCTAGCCTCGGACTGCAGGGCAGCCGCTGGGACCAGAGATGCGAGCTGAGCCCGAGAGAAGCTCCGGAGGCAGCAGTCTTGGAGGGAGACTAAGGGTCTAGGTTAAAGGCGGATCTACACGGATCCTCATGGATCCTCCACTTTTTAAAAAATAACTCCAACAAATTCAGTGTCAAATCACATCTGGAAGGCGCGCCTACAGACTAGACTATTAAAAACGTGGATCCAACACTTAGCCGCACTGCAGCACCACAAAAACATGGATCCTCATGAATTCATATGATTTTTATATTGAAACAAAATAAAAACACCATGATACTCTACACCACGTATTTGTCTGTAGGCAGAAACCAAAAAATCATGCACCCAGTTTTGTGGTACCGCAATGGTGCATCACATTCAGATCAAATATCATGGTCATGGGCACAGCCTGCACCACAAAAATCACGGATCCACGGCTTCATGGCAACTCCATGGCCCAAAAACGTGGTTCTGAAGCACAGATCCTCGTGGATCCTCACGCTTTTTGCATTGGGCCACCCCAAACTCACCATCAAATCACACATCATAGCCAGGGTCACACCCTGCACCACAAAAATCATGAGTTGTATGACAAAAATGCCCTTAGCATTAATCATATATGGTATTTCTCCAATAGCAAACTACCTAGAATTGAAAATGATATTTAGTACACTAACCTTTGTTTAACTCTTGATAAATGTCAGCTTGCTGAGTTATTTTGTACCATTGTGATTGTGATGTTGAGGCATCAGATCAAGGTCTGCATTTTAAAATGAGCTTAAAAAATATATTTGTAAATGTTTGTATCTCTCATGCCAGGCAGAAACCAGCTGGCTAAGTACTTTGGCAGATGTTTATCTTCCTAAACAGGGCCCCTCTGATCTATAGCAGTGCCTCAGGGTTGTAAAAGGAAATTACAGGCTGGGAGCAAAAGGTCACACTGACCATACAAATTACAGAATACAATCAAGCTGCAAAAACACAATTAAGAGTTGGTAAATAGTGAAATTTATTGTTTAACAGATAATACCATGTGCCTCCCATCAGACTCGAGCCACATCTTCCCAAGGTTAAAGGGCAAGAGCTAATAGAAACAGCAGCTGGCTTGAAAGGGGGGTGTAAATTTAAGGGGTTGCTTTTGGAAACTGTTTTACTAAGTTCCTTTGAAAAGGCCTTTCCTTCTAAAAATCTATCTATGTTATGTATGAAATATATTGGCTTAAATGTAATTATGCAAAGGATTTAGAAAGTAAGAAATGTTAGATTCTTATGTTAGATTCTTATTTCATTGATGGTGTGTGAGAAGGTGAACCCAAGATCTCTGTTTAAGATAAAAATTAAAACCATTAGCCATCTGTTTTGGAGTGAATAGGGCAATAGGGCAAAGATGATCTGATAATTAAGGTGCCTGGTCGAGGCAAATGTAAGATATATGGCTACTTGTCTGCCATTTATGGATAGAAGGAAATATAGCTCTTTGTCTCCCATAAAAGGTAATAGGAAATGGGTGTATCTTTTATGATTGGTTCTAGCAAACAGCCAATAGGAATTTCAACCAGGCTGATTGGACAGAGGCAGCCAAAGGAGGAGCAAGGGGGCTGGGCTGAGGAAATATAAGTGCTGGCCATCAGGGCTGGAGTGGGCAGAGCTTTGGTATCCATATACCACTGTGTCTCTCATTTATTTGTCTGACAAATAAATTATTATTTTAATTTCTCTATTGCTGCGTTGAATATTTCATTCCAGCTAAGCGTTAACCACAAGCAGGGTGCTACAATGTTATATTTGTGATGTTATATTTGCCAGCAGGCAGACCCAGCAATACAGAGTTTTGCTGATTAGCAAGAGATTTGGGGAAGTTGATCCGATGGTGACTTTGGGCTGATCTAGTGCAAAAATCATGAGGATCCGTGTTTTTTAACCATGGTTTTGTGACACTGCGGCCCCACGAAACAGTGGATGCATGATTTTTTTGATGCTGCCTACAGACCAAGACATGGTCTACAGTATCATGGCAGTTTTATGTAATTTGAATGGAAAAATCATATGAATTCATGAGGATCCGTTTAAAATCAGCTGGATCCGCCTTTTACCCGTTTCCGGAGAGGAAATGTTAATGTTAATGTATTTTAATGTTGCTCATCCTAAAAGGAGGAGGGCCACAAATATGTTTTAATATATGCAGGGCAGCAAAAATCCAAAATGCCCTCCCCAATTTCCCCCCGACAGAGACTCTTGGTGGCCCGCAGAAAAAAGAACATCGAAAAACATAGGAAAGAAACCAACATCTAAGAGCCGGAACTGCTGTCCTCGGCGGGGCGGGCAGACCTCGCTTTTTTTCTCTCTGCGGACCATTCTGACGCAAGGGGGCGTGGCTTCCGCCCCTCCGTTGGGCCTTCGCTTCTTTCTGGAAGGGTCGCCCTGGCAACCGGTGGACCGGAAGTGGCGTCGCCCTTGCCCGGCGCCGGCGAGAAGTGGTTCCGGGTCTTCGGCCGCCGCTCGCCGGGCGAGAAGATGACTTCGCTGCGCGCCTTCACCTGCAACGACCTCTTCCGCTTCAACAACATGTGAGCCGGAGGCCTCGGCCCCGCGGGGCGGGCGGGGGGGGAGGGGGCGGCGCGCGGCTCGGCCTTCTCCGCCCGCTCTCTGGCCTGGAGGCCCCTCGGTCGCCTGTCCTGGACCGCGAGGGCGCGCTTCCCCCCCGCCTCCCCCCCCCGGTCCTGCTGGCGAGGGAGGGTCGGAATTGCCGTCCGGCCAACAGCTGAGCCGGCCCGGCTCCGAGCACGTGCCGCCGCCTGAGAAAAGGGGAAACGGAATTTTGCCTAGGATTGCCAAGTGCTCAGCAGCGAGTCTTTAGCAGTTACCTGTACCTTTAAACATCAAATTGATGAGCAGAAATCAGACGAAGCTTGTGGCAGATAAAGATAAGCATTATCACCTGCTCATTTCTGTAACCCAAACTGTTGCTAAAGGCACAGCTACAGGGGTTATTTTAAAATTTGGCAATTTAGTTGGCACAAGGAAATAGCTCTCCTCTATTGAATATTTCCGGATCTCTTGGAATTAAAGGGATGTTAGAACTTGCCTCTTGCTCTTCTTTGGTTATACTTTATTCCCTGACCAACCGAGTTGTATACCCAGGGTAGATCACAAAATTAATAATTGTTCAAGAGGCAAATTGAGGTTTCAAAATTGGTGTGTGGGATGGAAGAGATTGAAAGGTTTGCCCCATACCCAGTTGTAACTGGCTCAAAGTTTCTCCCTAGTAATATTTTGGGTGTTTAATCAGTTCTTGTTTCCCACAGCAACTTGGATCCCCTCACAGAAACTGTATCCTTTTAAGCCTCAAGACCTCTGAATGCTAATGGCAGTACCTGTGAGCCTCTTCATACATTATACTACAGAAAACATATGTTTGTCCCTGAATATTTTTATCAGGGAGCCGCAGCTATTCCTGGTGTCTTGCAAGTGTACCTGCATGGCAGAAATGTTTGTTATTGCGTTCATTCTTTATTCTTCTATGGGCAGTCCATAAAAATGCAATATATGGGGCAGCCTTGAGAAGCTTGTAATATGGAAGTTAGTATGGATGCCAAACAGCAGTGTGTTGTATTTATTATTTAATTATTAAATTTCCATCTCACCATCCCTAAGGGGCCCAGGGCAGCAAACACCAAAATAATATATTATTTTATAATAATAAAATCATATTTTTAAAAATAAACAAAACTTATTTAAAACAGTTAAAAACACTTAAAACAGTCATATAACCCCACAACAAATAATATCTGGATCAAGTATCTTTTGACCATCAAATGCCTGATTAAACAGGAATGCTTTTCAGTTTCTTCTGAAAGTTAATAATATCAGCTTCCTACCCTCGGAAGTAATATTTTGAATGTATCACTTTGACTGTTCAAATTGTTTATACAATGTTTATTTGTAATCCATACAATAATATGGTAAATGTATGTGATGTTATCCCTATAATACAAATGAGCTGATGGCAAAATTGAACAAGACACTTTCTGATTCATAGCCCAGTGTTCTCCTCCAATATTATGTCCAAGCTAAAATCACTTCATGTAAGAGGTTCTGTATTTCCTTTTTTCTATATAGTGTCCTATGTCTCAAAGATTTAAAAAATGTCATAGTAATCAATACTTATTTAGAACTGGTACATTTCAAGTGGTCAGATAATATGTATCTTAGTAACCCATCCAATAGCCTGCAAGAAGATCAGTATAATTAGCCACTTCTTTGCTGTTGATGCAGCAGGGCTGATAAATAGTGGTATAGTCGAAGCTGAGGAGAGAGACGAACCAGAGAATTATCAGTTCTTACTCTTAATTGCTTTTCTTTCTAAAATGGGTCATTCCATATCAAGTGATGTCATGTATTTTGTTGTAATGTTCACAATATGTACTAACAAGAATTCTTTCAAAGCGTTAATTCTATCATGCAATAGCAAGCTATCACTTGGCTTTGGAACACATTTTTTAAAAGAAATGCCTGACCAGCTTTTCAGATACCTTTTAATTGAATAACTTTCTAAATAAATGCCTGAAGGAACTGATATTATAACTTGACGTCTTGTTTATTCTGTTATATCTTACTCCAAGAAGACCCATTTATCCTAAATAGAACCCAGTAAGGCAGACATGTATGTACAAATTTTTTAATGTGATCCCACTGAGATCCCAATATGAAATTTTGCAGGTAGCTCTTAGAAATATTAAATAATCAATACAAATGTTTTGGAATTTTTTAATCATATTAATTTTAATTTTTTTAATCACTTTTTAAATTTTGTTTTATTGCTATGGCTAGTGGCTGCTGCAAATAAACATTCTTCTGATTCTGATTTTACATTCTTGGTTTACCTGTATTGTATTGTTATTATTTATTTTTTACTCAGAAACAGACAGTAGTCTTAATTATTTTAGTATCTTACTGTGCAAAACCAGAACTGTTTGGAAAACAGTTACTTTGGGGGTGAGCAACTTAAGGTCCCCCAGATATTACAGAACTACAGCTTCTATAGTCCTTTACCCGTGACCATGCTGTCTGGGACTGATGGGAGTTGGAGTTCAGCAATAGACGGCGTGCTACAGATTGTCACCCCCCACTTGCTTACTGAGGTGATATTTTCTTAACATGCAATACTCCATAGTATGGAATTCCATTTTACTTGCAGTACTTGGCTCACTGGCCTGAGTATTTTATTGTTGCAGAAGCTCCTGGTGGAGAACTGATGGGCTACAGTAAGTAGGTTAATTTTCCTTGTTTCTGTGTGACCAATCTTTGACTAACCCTTTAATTATTTGGCAGTACCACTGCAACATTTACTCAGTTTTTAAGGGCTTTTTATCAACCATGAAGATGTCCCTGATAAATTGGGCAGAACCTTTTGTTAATAGTTTTAGTATGAGCATATAAAAACCGCATATGGAAAGTAACATCTTAAGGTAGGGGTTGGCAGCCCATCACCTGCAGGCATCCAGACGCCTGTAAGGATGAACCATAGCCCCTAGATTCACAGTCTTCATTTTATTTAAAGTAACTTTCTAGTTTTTATAATCTCCAGTATGAGGCAAAAGGTACACACGTTCTTTTTTTGTCCGTACCACCCTTACTGACACATCTCCCACCTTGCACCTTCTCCCCCCTAAAACATGCAAAAGCCCGTATGTGAGAGAAATGGTGCTACACACTTGGGAGCGGAGGAAAAGATGTATGTGTGTGTGTGTGTGTGAGAGAGAGAGAGAGAGAAGAAGAAGAAGATTGTATGCATATGTGATCTGTGAGGGAGAGAGAGGTATGTATAAATCTGTTTATGTGTGGTCAGAGAAAGAAATGGACTTGGGCAGAGAGAGAGAGGTGTGTGTGTGTGAAGTGTGTGTATGAGTGTGTGAGCAATGCATGTGTGTCTGATCAGTGAGTGTGTGTGTGAGAGTGTGGTGGGGCCACCTTGGATATTTTCCCTGGCTCAAGGGGATGCTCTCTGTTATTAGCTAGCAACAGCATCATTGTGTGTATGGGGCAAAAGCCAATATTTTGTGATCTTCATAGTCAGGACCAGCAGGATGTAGTGACTTTCCTTGGTAAGCCTGAAGTTGTCTGTGTGTGTGTGTGTGTGTGTTGGAAGCAGCAGTGATGGTTCTCTCTCTAACTGATATGTCATGCCTCCCATAGCAGCTATTTTGTGACTAGTACTTCCTCAAAATTTGAAATGTGCCCCCTGGTCCAAAAAGGCTGGCAGCTCCTGTCTTAAAGTATTTCCCCTTCTCTCACACATCCAAAATGAATGCTTCATCTGATGTGCATTTGGCTACAGCACATCCATATATGTATCTTCTAAACACAAAATGTGCTTCTTGCTTTAGTAATAGTTTTTACCATATGCAAATGTATCCCAATTTAATTGATACATAGTATGTCAAGGAATAAGCAACTGACTTTTAAAAGATATCTGAGGCATCCCTGTTTAGGGAAGTTGTTAATGTTTGATGTTTTATCATGTTTTTAGTATTCTGTTTGGAGCCACCCAGAGTGGCTGTGGCAACCCAGTCAGATGGGTGACATACAAATAAAATTATTATTATTATTATTATTATTATTATTATTATTACTATTACTATTTGGAAGTGAATACACTTGCAATTATAGCTTTTGTTGTTCTCCTACAGTTCCGCATCTATTAGTATCTTTCTCCCTGGAGTCCTAATCACAGACTTCACTTTGATGTTGTCTGTAGTCAAAGAGTTGCATACATTTTTAGTATTTCCTCGTAGTGATAGGAAGGTGTCAAGAAGAGTCTGCTAGGGTACTGACCTGAAAGACTGCTCTCTACCCACTAGAAACCCTCCTCAGGGTTTTAAAGCTCATTCACTTTAAAGCTGGTTTTAGGAGACATAAGAGTTAGAAACATTCTGTTTCTTTCTTGAAATTGAAGACTCTCTGAACATTTTGTTCAGTGCTTAATTTGCTGTGTGTGAGACATTCTGGAATCTGTATAGTCCTGATGTTCAACTTCTAGTTTGAGTCCTTTTTAATTGCCTGCATCTGTAGTAAAGCATTTTTTCTGGTTTTATGTCAAACACCATAAATCCAATAGCTAAGTTTCTGTGGGATGGCCATGGTCTAGTCCAAACAAACTAATCCATTTTATCCTGCTTTTCCTTTAGTCATGGGGAAAGCGGAAGGTTCAGTAGCCAGAGAAGAGTGGCACGGCCACGTTACTGCGCTCTCCGTTGCACCTGAATTTCGGCGGCTAGGTTTGGCTGCTAAGTTGATGGAACTGCTTGAAGAAATATCAGAAAGGTGAGGGATGCCTGCATGATAAACATATATTTTCCTCTCTTAGCGATGTATTGATCTGTTTGAATTCCTGTAGATTTATTGATGAGAACAGCTGAAGGCATCATAATTATATGGAGAATTATTTTGGGGACTCTAAGAAAACAACTCAATGAGAGCTTTATAAAGTCAGGAGTGCTTCATAAGGAAGTTTTATTTTAGGAGTGTTAGGGTGCTGCTCAGCTGACTGGTTAGGTTAGCCAGTGTCAAATAGAAGGCTAATAGCGCTTTTATCTAAGTTAGAATAGCCAACTCCCTTCGGCCCTTACCAGCAGTCATGCTGGCTGAGAGTGTAAGCTGCTCCCCTCCCACTTTGCTGCTTCAAAGGGAGCCCAGGAGGAGGGAATCCGCTGCAGCTTCCCCCACCTCCCGGAGAGCCTGCAGAAGCCGCCCGCTCTTTAAAGGGGCTGCGCGGCTTCTCCTGGCTTTCTGGGAGGTGGGAGATTCCCCACCTCCCAAAACCGACAGAAGCCGCCAGCTCTTAAGGGGCTGCGTGGCTTCTCCTGGTACTTCTGGGAGGTAGGAGAAGGACTATGCAGCCAGTCAGTCCTTCTCCTCCTGGGAAAGCCTGCAAGAGCGCACGAGCTTGTGTGCGGCTCTTGGGGGCTTTTCCCGCCTGCCTCCCCCTTGCATTCGCTCCATAGGACGCACACACATTTTCCCTTGCTTTTTAGGAGGGAAAAAGTGCGTCCTATAGAGCGAAAAATACGGTAAATAGGCATTTTGGGAGTGAAGGGCCTTGTTGACCTATAGGCCACATTAACCCTTTTGTGCAAAAGTGGTTGTGGCCAATTTTTACAAACTGATTGGGAAGGGGGTGCTTGGGGGGGGGCAGGAAATTTTTGGCATCATAGCAAGGGGCCAGTAAAAGAACAAAAAACTTTTTTTAAAGCAAATGGATAAATGGGAGAGGAGCCATATTCAGCATTACACAATTACAAAGGTTACATCTGCACAAGCATAGAAGCTTGCTAGAGGAAAAATCTCCCCTCTGCTCCCCCCCACGTGCTGTGCTAGGAGGGTTTTCCTGTCCCTCCCTAAACCAACTTGGGGGAGCACAGGGGGAGGAGAGCCTTGGCGCAGGGCTTCCGATGCCAGTGTTTGCCCTTCAAATTCATCTGTTATATAGCAGTCACTATATCAGCACTGTTTCCCCTACTTTAAGCTATGTGTTGCATCAAACTGAATTTCCTGCTTCTCTCCTCCACCAGTAAGTCCTCCAAATCTGCTCTAAAGGAAAAGGTAAAGGGACCCCTGACCATTTGGTCCAGTTGTGGCTGACTCTGGGCTAGCGGCGCTCATCTCGCTTTATTGGCCGAGGGAGCCGGCGTACAGCTTCCGGGTCATGTGGCCAGCAGGACTAAGCCGCTTCTGGTGAACCAGAGCAGCGCACGGAAACGCCGTTTACCTTCCCGCCAGAGCGGTACCTATTTATCTACTTGCACTTTGACGTGCTTTCAAACTGCTAGGTGGGCAGGAGCAGGGACCGAACAATGAGAGCTCACTGTCGCGGGGATTCGAACCACCAGTCTTCTGATCGGCAAGTCCTAGGCTCTGTGGTTTAACCCACAGCACCACCCACATCCCAAATCTGCTCTGGGTTCCCCCAAATCCTCTGGATCAGATTTGCAGGGGGTGGGACTATGCAAGGAGAGGATGGGGATGTTCACGGAAGTTGTTCCACATGTACAAAGATTTAATTTGATATATTCCTAGGTTTTCAAGACTTCATTTTATTTCCGTATTTTAATTGCAATTTACTAGTGTCCCATCGTGGTACAACACTGGCTGCATTTGGAAGCAGTTATAAGCTATGGTTGTTATTACAGAAATGAGCCTGCTTGAGACTAGACTCCTGTTTCTTCCTCCAGAGTAGCTGTGTTAGAACCTTTCTCTTCCATTATCAAACAAGTAGAATTCCACATTATTCCTGAATCCAGAACTCCTTGGCTCATCTTAATTATGGTATATTGAAATAAGCTAGCTTCATAAAGCAAATTCATACATAACTCTAAACTGATAAATCAGGACAGAAGAATGAAATAAGTACAAGGATGATGGTTTCCGAAGGTCATTTATTTAAAGGCAAACCATAGTTTGTTACAGCCAAACGAAGTCATGGAATCAAACTTTGGTTTGTGCCAATTCCAAACCATTGTTTTAACATCCAGACAAATAGGCAAAGCGAGAGCTGCTTGTTGGTTTCATTTTCCATTTGCTCCAAAGTATTCTAACTTGAAGGCTCAATGGCCTCTGGAGGCTGGAGCAGCAACCTGAACAGATTATCAAGACAAACATCATACTAAATCAGAAGTGCCCCTTATTCTGGTTTGCCAGTTCAGACAAACTAAATGTAAACATGGTTTGTCATGAGGCGTGGCCTATTTGTCAGCTTGCCTGACAAATTCCCACCCACCCCCATTGTTCACTGCTTAATTCTTATGTTTTTTTATGTAGATCCCTGTGTAGCCTCTTACAAACTATGCTGTTTTCTGTTAGTTATTTTGTCTTATTGTGTCATTTTCTTTTCTTAATGAAGAAAGGGCGGATTTTTTGTGGATCTCTTTGTAAGAGTATCAAATCAGGTTGCAGTGAACATGTACAAACAACTGGGCTACAGCGTGTACAGAACAGTGCTAGAATACTACTCTGCCAGCAACGGGGAGCCTGACGAAGATGCTTATGGTAAGTGTTGTGCAGAAAGAGACACTTTGGACAGTCCTTGTGATGTAATAAATTCCCATGCCGTTAAAATGAAAATGTGAAATTGCTTGGGATGGGCAAAGCTTTTTGCCCAAAGTGGGTGGAACAGGAGATGTGACTGTGAGCTGTGTGGGGCAGGGTGTATTCCAGGCATGCAGAAGGCCGCTCTCCACCCTTCACGGACTCATTCCAGCCAGGCAAAATCACTTGAGGGAGCTGTGAGCCAGAGGCAGAGGAGTTGGAGCTTAGACAGAGAGACCTGAGGGCTGGAGGTTCCCCACTCTTGATCTCGAGTAGAATGATAAGCCAGTGTAAGGGCACAACTGACCAACAAGAAGTACTCAGTCTTCTCCCACTGAAATAGACGGCCACTTGAAGTGTATTATGTTGTAAATATGTTATTAATCATTTTCCACAGATATGAGGAAAGCTCTGTCCAGAGATACAGAGAAGAAATCAATTATACCATTACCCCATCCTGTCAGACCAGAAGACATAGAATAAGCTTAAGCTGTGGATATTTAGACATGTTGAAAATAACATCTTTGAAAGCATTTTGGACCATCTATGGAAAATGGTGTTTAATTATGAATGTACTTGGAAACCGGAGAGCAACAAGGAAAGTGTGTGCAGACATGAAGGAAAAGCTTCATTTTTAGGCTACTGGGCTGATGCCCCCAAACCCCACACAGGTTTGCAGCTGCACTATTGGCCGCTTAGGGTTTAATCTTTTTTACAAAAATCATTAAATCCTTGGCTGTACAGAACTATTTCTAAAAATCTAGTAGATTAAAAATTTTAGGAGCCTGGAGCTCATTGGTGTCACTCATTCATGCTTTGAGCATTGGAGCCTTAAAGTATCTATTGGAAAAAAATAAAATCAACGGATTTAAAATGAATTCCTCTTGTACTTGATTCACTTTGGTAAATACAGGCAACTCACATTTTACACTTCTTTCACTTGCGCAACCACAGCTTTTTGTGGGGTGGGGGAAAATAAATAAGTGGAGAACAAAGAAAACGCACTCTAAATTTACCGTATTTTTCGCCCCATAGGGCACACCGGCCCATAGGACGCACCTAGTTTTTTGGGGGGGAAATAAAGAAAAAAAATTATTTCCCCCCCAGGTGTGGGGCTGGGGCGGGGGAAGCCCAAGCTTCCCCAGCCCCCAGAACAGGCTGCTATCCGCAAGCCGTGGGAGAGCTGCACGAAGTCGCGCAGCTCTCCCACGGCTAGCAGAGCGCTGCGCAAAGCCCAAAGCTTGGGGCGTGCTGAGCTCAGTGGCTCCAAGCTTCTGGGTGCCGGCAAGCTCTCCGCTAGCCGTGGGAGAGCTGCGTCTCCCACAGCTAGCGGATAGCTTCCTGAAGACTGGAGAGCAAGAGGAGTCGGTGCGCTTCAGCGAAAGCCTGCATTCGCCCCATAGGACGCACACACGTTTCCCCTTCATTTTTGGAGGGGAAAAAGTGCGTCCTATTGGGCGAAAAATACGGTATTTATTCCTCCCTCCAATGCACAGCTGCAATTGCGGGCTTGCTTTGGGAAGGCAGTACGATGGCTCTGGGAAGCAGCCTTCCACCTTGCTGAGCGGGGGAGGGGGGTTCAGTTCCAGGGATTCCTGCTTTATGCATCTATACATGGATGCTCCCCCCCCCCCCCGCAACCCTTACATAAGCCGAAAGTTTATTTAATCTGTTATTGATAGGCAGTTTGCCCTTTCCCTTTAATGAATTAAAAAGCATCATGAAAAGTTACCGTATTTTTCGCTCCATAAGACGCACCTGACCATAAGACGGACCTATTTTTTTAGAGGGGGAATGCAAGAAAAAAAATATTCTTTAAAGGGAGCGCTGAGCAGAGCCAGGCTCTGCTCAGCGCTCCCTTTCACAAGCTGCGCGGAGCGTGTGTGCGGCGCTTGCAGGCTTTTCCCCACGTAGCTCTTGGGGGCTTTTCCGGGAGGTTGGGGAAGGGACTGAGGGGCTAAGCCAGAAGCTAGAACAGCAAGAGGGAGCGCTGCACAACGATCCCTCTTGCTGTTCTGGCTTCTGGGATAGCTGCGCAGCCTGCATTCGCTCCATAAGACGCACATGCATTTCCCCTTACTTTTTAGGAGGGAAAAAGTGTGTCTTATAGAGCGAAAAATACGGTACGTTTTGCTAGTATGAATGCTGTTTGAGTTATTCAGACTATTATTCTTGCCAGTGGCTGCTTCGCAAAGTAGTAAGTAGAGTGGTGCTAATATGTCACCTTACTCAGATAGGGTTCTTATTATCAGGGCCTCTGGTTTGTAGGTAGGCTGCTTCTCTAGCCATAGTAATAGTAACATGCAAGTAAAGTGGCTATAATCAGCACTCCTTAGCCTTGTTTTAATAGAATTTTGTACTCGGGCAATCCCAGTCAAGAAAAACAACTCTGTAATGAGTAAGAAATAGCTTTGGCATAAGTTTTGTTGTTTTCTATATTGATCCTCATTTTGGTACCTAGTACACACAATACACAGATGTAAGAATAAATCTGCCATTACATAGAAGAGAACTAGATACAGTGGGTGGCTAATCAAAATGAACAGTATCCCCAGAACTCAATTAAACAAGCACTATGAAGGGTCTCCTAGAAGCCCATTTCTCACTTGGAAGCCATGCATACTTCAAAACAAACTTCCAAAATGTTGTATTTCGTAAGCCATTTGATAATAGGCTATAAAGATTTCACAGCCTGTAGGAGTGCTTAAATGGTCTATATCAGTGCCCATGGAATGGACCATGTATGCACCAGATTGAAGAAACATGAAATTAATAAAAATAAGTTGCAGTCATCTCACTTTGCAGTAGCAATTAAGGCTAGGCAATATCAGGTTTTCAACACCATCTCATTAGCTAACCATCATGATATACCAGTATAGCATGATGTGTGAAATAAGGAGGGGTGGCTGGGCTGTGGAGGGAGGGAGGCTTTTTGTTGCATGATCTCCATGCTCTGTCTTAAAGCTCTGGGTGGTCCTTTCCAGCAGCATGCACAACCAAGGCACCTGGGCTAGGGAGTGGAAAGAACGACCAGGAGAAGGAAGGAAGGATCGCACCACTGGGGCTGATAGTGCTCTTTGCTTCCCAGCAACACATCCTTGATCACTGTACCTGGGCTGGCAATGCTGGGCTGGCAGCGCTCGGCTGTCCTTCCTAGCAGGAGGAGCGACTAGGAGAAGGAAGGGGCAGGCAGGCAGGCAGGGCTCTTCCTTAAAGCATCAACACCATGGTTAAGGGGAGGTGCCAAAGCTGACTTCTCAAATTGCTCACAATTATACCACCCCCTGAAATTTTGAATGCTGTTCACAATGTATTGCTGGGTCAAATACAGTGGTACCTCGGGTTACAGACGCTTCAGGTTACAGATTCCACTAACCCAGAAATAGTACCTCGGGTTAAGAACTTTGCTTCAGGATGAGAACAGAAATCATGCAACAGCAGTGGGAGGCCCCATTAGCTAAATTGGTACCTTAGGTTAAGAACAGTTTCAGGTTAAGAACGGACCTCCAGAACAAATTAAATTCTTAATCCAAGGTACCACTGTATAATGAAACAGTTATCACGATGTGGTCTTCAAACAGGTTTTGAATGATGTATCATCATATCACACTGGCCTAGCAGTAATAGCTCATTTCTCAGGCCTGAAGCTCTCCGATCTATAGATTTTGTAATTGGGGCAATGGAAATCTTTTATAAAAGAATAAATTTCCATCTGTGAATAATGCTTCAGGGCTTTACTTCTAATTTCGTTTTCTGGTGCTGCCCATCTCTTTTCCCCACACATGGACACATAACATTACTACTACTAGATGAAGTGTTAATGGTTCTTTCTTGCATTTCAAAAATTGCCAGTGATATTTTTTGGAAATATTTATTGTATTCATTGGCAAAAGTTCTGTACAAAATCGAACAGGGAAAGCAAGTGTGGTATTAGGGACTGCTTTCATCCACATCCTTGTCTGGATCTCTCTCTGGATCATCATCTTGTTGCTGCTTCTTCCAGAGCTTAGCCATTGCAAGCAGTTTGAGGTTGGGCTGATTGGCAGCATCTTCTGGGAAGATGTAATCATAGTATTCTTCCCAGCCAGCATCAGACTAGAAGGAGAAAAGTTAACATAATTAGACACCCGAAACATTGTGCCTGCTTGCTTCTTTATCAGACATAAATTTTCCTGCTCTCACTAGTGTTTCCATGCAATAGTTGATGTTTCATAGACAGTTTAAAATAGCAGCATAATAGCACTTCATGCTGCGGATTAAGAGGCTGAATCTTTGAATGCCCCTCTTTCCAGAAAAAGCTGCCCATAGAAAACTAGTGCCAGGCTCCACCTGCCATGTGTTTTAGGAAACTTTTATATTATTACTTGTGTGAATACTTAGGTTTTGGTTTGAGTGGTTTTTAATTTTTATTGCATACCACTTCAAAAGCACTGCTATGAAGCAGTACACAAATTATGGCTGCTATACATGTGTACCTGATAGCAAGTCCTACTGAACAACAGAACTTATGAACAAAATTGAACAGTAAATCAATGAATTGTGTGTGCGCACAAACACTCCACACAGCCCACACTAGTATAGCTCACACAAACCTTCACTTGATTCTGCTGGTGTATAAATTGTTTCTTGAAAAGCCACCACCAAGCATGCAAAGCCAGGTCTCCAGCTTGTGCTCTTACCCCATCTTCAGCTTGAAGTTTCCTCCTCTTCTTGACTTTCTCTGGCATGAGTTTGTCTACCCTCTCTTTGCTGGATTCGGTTCCAAATTCCTCTTCAAAGTTTCTCCAGGATTCCAGAAGCATAAGCCTCTCCTCTTTTTCCTCACAATTTCTCATTGTTTTATTAGCCTCTTCATATACTTGCCGACACCGTGGTAAGCTGTCATCTTTCCCTGCTGAGAGTTCAAACTGAGCAAAACTGATCCACACCTACAGCAAAACCAAATAAGTCCATATTAGGGTATATGGCAAATCTTTACACAGGAAAACAGGCTGCCAAAGGGTTTAACACGAATCCATTGTTATATAATGCATATCAAGTGCTCTGCTCTGGAGCTGTATATGTTGCATGCAGCGCTCATAGCAATGAATATATTATAGATGTGAGAAAAGGTGCTTTGGATTTTTTATTGTTCTTATTAAAATGGAGCATTGAATTAAATTATTTTATTTTATTTCTAAGTGTATGACTTAGAAATCAGATTGCTCTCAAAAGCACACACAAAAATAACAGTTTTTAAAAAACTGGGTAAGGAAAGGTGAGGGAGAGAAAGTACCATCTGAACAGAAGAATTGTCATACATTTTGAATGGAGGAACAAGACATATATGGGATCTGCTAAACAAAGACTGTATTGCCCAGTAGCTTCAGAGGTGATTGTGAGTGGTGTCTGGACAAAGGTATGAAGATGTGGATTATGGAGCAGGTCTCTAATTTAGTCACTCCCTATACCAGAGGCATTAAAACTTAAAATGATGGATGGCTGAATTTCCCCTCACTAAACTCCGCATGACAAATGTCATGGATATGACAGGTTGTAGCTCCACCTTGTGGCCAAAGACAGGAAAGGCAGACTGTTTATTGGACCATCACTCCACCTGGAAAAAATGCAAGCTGTCCCTACACTGTTGGCAACATCTAACAGTGGTACCTCAGTTTATGAACTGAATCCGTTCCGGAAGTCCATTCTTAAACCGAAACCGTTCTTAAACCGAGGCGTGCTTTCCCTAATGAGACCTTCTGCCGCTGGTGCGCTTCCACCATTTGGATTCCGTTCTTAGACCAAGGTAAAGTTTGCTAACCGGAACACTACTTCCAGTTTTGCGAAGTTCGTATACCAAATAGTTCGTAAACAGGGCTGTTCTTAAACCAAGGCACCACATGATTTGCTTTTCAACACAGTGGTACCTCGGGTTACATACGCTTCAGGTTACAGACTCCGCTAACCCAGAAATAGTACCTCGGATTAAGAACTTTGCTTCAGGATGAGAACAGAAATTGGGCAGCGGCAGCACAGCGGCAGCGGGAGACCCCATTAGCTAAAGTGGCGCTTCAGGTTAAAAACAGTTTCAGGTTAAGAACAGACCACCAGAACGAATTAAGTTCTTGACCCAAGGTACCACTGTATGTAGTAGTAAGTTGGCTTCCTTGCTCTATTGGTTCCAAAGTCCTGAGAGATGGATCAGTTTGGGTATGATGTGGGCCATGCTGAATGCTGCTTAAGAGCTCGGCAAGTTCTCCTCGCCTATTTTGCCCCAGGCCTTAAAATTCTGTAGCAATTTTAAAGGCAACCCCATCGAAATAAACTCATTCATTTTCTAAGCAAACCAGAATTAAATTAACAGTTCTATCAAGGTAGCCTAAATTACAAGCTTGCTGACTTCTCCAGTGGGCTTACTTAAGCTTCAAAAAAACTGCACACAGCCTTTTGTACCGATGAACTACAGTGGAATCTAGTTCTGCCTAACCAAGTACATACCTTGACATGCTGCGTTCTCTGAAGCAATCGCCGATAAAGATTTCTTGTGTTCTCATATTCCTCTTGTTCAATTTCAAAGTCTATGTAAGATTTCCAAAGAACCTAGTCGGAAAGCAGACAGGCCAGTTATTAAGGTACAGCAAAGTGAACATTCCCACATAAATAGGTTGTCTGGGCAATCAGCTGCAGCAGACCATTGCACTTTGTATTCAAAATCCAAATCTGTTTATTACTCCCATATTAGCCGAGTTATAGTATATTCCCTCCAGAGAAAAGTATGTTGCAGAGCACGGCAAACTCCAGCACCCCTCTTACCTCTGGCATGTCTAATCGTGGCTGGCCAATAGCCAACTCATATATAGCTCTGGCCCTATCGACATCACCAAGAATGGTTTCTAACTCTGCAAACTTGATCCATGATGTGCAGTTTTCAGGGGCAAACTCTAGAAATTTCTCATACAGTTTCCGGCAACGATCAAACTCTCGTAGCTGCAACTCCAGTTCAATGTAGCCTTTAAACAGTTTGTTCTTTGGACATTTACCTATGGATGTTCCCTGTAAAGAGTAGAGTCACAAATTGCCCAAAGCCTGTTAGAGAAAGAGCACAAGATTCAAACATGCTTTTTTGAGGCACACCCAAAAGTACAGTGAGTGGGCTTCTAAGGTCTGATTCTCACTCCCAGTTTTGACATGCCCTGACAACTACAGCTATCATGGTTAGAATGTTATATTTTGGGCCTGTTCAATATACATTACAAAAGAAGGTCAGACCCACCAGTAAACATGTGCAGGAGGAAGAGACAAAACTTCTGGCACCTCAGAGAATCAAGTGGTCCAATGGCTAATGGTGGTATAAAGACACTTCCTTAAATGAAAGTCAATTACCCTGTGGTGCCCATAGTGTTGATCAGGTCCAGGGGGTTCCTTTTCCTTACCAGAACTTGGTTAAAGAAGCAAACTAGGGATGAAGCATTTCTATAGGCTAAATCAATTTGTCGGGAAGGAAGTGGCCTGACCCTCCCCTTCCAATTCAGCTTAGAAACCCCACTGGGTAGATTGGTTCATCCCTGGGGACAAATGCAAATGATCACTGGTAGAAGGTTATCTATGGCATTGGGAAATGCAGTGTTACACTTAACCCTCACTTCAACAGCTAACAACAAAATTCAAAAACTGCCCCTTGATAAAATATGGAAGGATCTTTAGCTGTACTGACTAACCATTTGAATCAGATACTTTCAGTAATTGTATAGCCCCATAATTATAGAATTACAGAGCTGGAGTAATACTGTTGCTTTTATATGAAACCAGATAGCAAGTTTTGTTAGCTGTAACTGTTGTTCAATATGCAAATACAAATCAGTAAACTTTTTTCTTTAAAAAATCATGACAAATCATGACAGATCAGCTGATCACCCTCATTGTATCACAAAGGAATTAACTTGGACAATCACTTTATTTTCCTTACCAATGCTCGCCTGGCAAACTGGAGATTCTTCTGTCTTATTTCAAATTGAGCATACAACAGCCATATTTTGGCAAATGTAAACTGAAAAGAGAAATAATATAGATTCTCTGAGAGCAATGCCTCCAATTCAACTAAAATAAAGTCTTCTTAAATATGCCAAAGCAGAAAACTTGTCCCAAAGAATGGTTATTAACAAGCACAAAGCATTTTCCCTGATAAAGAGTTTTTTTGAAACACATGGAGAGTGTCCAGTGCTTTCTTTTCCATTGAATATTTTGTTTCATAAGTTCAAGAGTAACAATTAATGAATGCCAGTTGCAAATAAATATTAGAAAAGCTTGACAGTTTCAAAATTCTTAATTAGTTTAATAAACAGAAGTAAATACATTGCCATATAATATCACTCTCTAGGGACATCAGAAAATGTTCTAATTTGCATAGGCAATTTTCCAATTCAAGTTTTCCCAGAGAACTCACGTCATTGTGTAGCTGTCTTTTTTGTCTCTGGCAAGCCTATGTTCACTTAGCTTCCTGCAAGTCCCATGGGGCAAAGCGTAACTTGTTTCTGAGAGGATGTGAACAGGTTTAGACTATGGGAGAAATCAACTGCAACCAGCTTTTATTGCTTCAGTGAACCATAGCTAAAACAGGGCCAATATTTCTAGACAGGGGGACTCTTGAACTTAGAACTGAGGTGAAAAATGACCTCCACTCACACACGTACACCCTTATGTACGAACCCCAGGCATACAACAGAATGTAGTACCTTTTTATGAGGAATGAGTTCAACACAAGCTTGATACACTTGTCTTGTCCGCTCTGGATCCTGAGAAAGAACACATTCTATGTCACATATTCAGAACAAATGCTTCTAAGCAATTATATTCAGAATGCCCCTTAGGAAAATTGTCTATCTTGTTGCCTCTGTTAGTTATACTACTTAAACCTGTACTCCTACTCTAGAAACCTAGACCTGCTTACAGCTCTCCACCATCAGCTTTCCCCCCTCTTCGCCTTCTCTTCCTGTCCCCAGTTCTCCTCATTCTCCCTTTTTGAACTCTAGGGGGTTCAAAATATAGCTGCTATACTACTAGTTACAACTAGATATTGGGCACATATCACACCAGTGGCTTGAAGTGTTTCAGTGTTTTCTGCTCCATTTCGGAGCACAATTCAGACTCCTTTAAAGCCCTATACAACCTGGGGCCCCCTTTTCTCAGGGACCATTTTCTTGTACACCAAACTGCCTATGCATTGAGATTGTTTAACAGAACCTCTGGAAGTAACCAGAGGGTGAAAGTAACGATAGGTGCTCCTTTCCCCTCTTGCACCATGGCAGTGGAACGCTTTTCCCAGAGAGGCTCACATGGTGCCCATGCTGTTATCCTTCTGGGCACTGGGTCGAAGCCTTTTTACTTCCAAGGCTTTTAAATAAATGATGCGTATTTTTATCTCTGTTTTAGTTTTTAAATGCTGCTTTTAATCACTGTTCTACTGTTTATGTTGTTCTGATAGTTACTGTTTTTTAATTGACAGGCAGAATAAATTGAAGGGCAGCAAATGGATTTTGCCCACTTGAATGAGTCATTATTTATACATATACATATATACACATACACACACACAAAAATTAATAATTTATTTAAAATAATTCCATAGGTAAACACAAGTCACATTTTGTTACTCAGAAAATCAAAGAAATTCAGGAGTTGTACCTTTGCCTCTAGCTCTTCATACAGTGCATAATTGATCCACAGATAGATATACCTCTTCCAGTGCCTCTTTTCTTGAATTGGAGGAACATTGGCAATGGCTCGTTCATAAACTTCACGTACAGCATCAGGATCTGCATCACTTTCCACAAGCCTCAGGTAATCAAACCATGCATCATAATTATGTGGATTAGCCTTTAAGAGAGAATAGAGAACTTCAGAAATACAAGTTCTTAGTAGTATTCTGGAGATGGCAGTTCAGGGAACTGTCATAAAAGTTTATGCTTCCATTTGCCCCCAGCAGTTGCTGCACTCACTTTCACTTCTTCTTCATATTGGAATCTTCTCTTGCTAACTATAATATCCTCGATTCCTCGTCGGTCCCCAAACTTCTTCTCAAAAATGGTGTAATTTTTGAAGAGCTCTTGAGCTTCATGCTTTGGGATTCTGTCCAGGGCGTATTTATAGATTACTCTCACCCTTTCAAACTGGAAAAAGCAACAGCTTAGAAAGCACGGAGAAATATGCTCTACATGAATGCGTAGTACCACTCTCTGGCACAAGCTTTTCAGTTAAAGGATAGGCAGATGATCTTGGGAAAGAACCCTGACTGAGACCCTGAAGAATAAACAGTACAGGACTAGATGAACCAACAATCTGACTCCATGTGCACTGACTCACAACTCAAATCCTCAGCCATTTCTCAGAGTAAAGTTCTACAAGGCAAGAGATACAACTATCAGCTTGAGCATATAACAAGGTTCTCATTTTACTCAAATATATATAAGCTAACATTTTCTTATAAAACCAAGAAGTCCAATATAAGTTCTATGTTGCACTGTGGTCTAGTTGCTAGAAACTGACAACAACAGAAACAAATAGACCCAGGTCACAATACTTAAGCAATTTATTTGGAAGTAATGTTCTACTGAAATAATGTTATTTCCATATTAAAATTGTGTAGAACAGTTGAAGGAGCTGGTGATGTTTAGCCTGAGAGGAGAGATGAAAGTCATCTTCAAATATCTCAAGGGCTGTCACATGGAAAATGGAGCAAGCTTGCTTTCTCCTGCTCCACAGGGTAGGAGCTGAACCAATGGCTTCAAGTTACAAGAAAAGAGATTCCGACTAAACATCAGGAAAACTTTCTGACAGTAAGAGCTGTTCTGACAGTGGAACAGACTCCCTTGGGAGGTTGTGGACTCTCCTGCCTTGGAGGTTTTAAGCAGAAGTTGGATGGCCATCTGTCATGGATGCTTTAGCTGAGATTCCTGCATTGCAGGGGGTTGGACTAGATGACCCTTGGGCCCCCTCCAACTCTACAGTTCTATGATTCTATAAATCATGCCCAATATGTAAAATTTTAACTTTTTTCCCCATTCCCACTTCCTCCCCCAACCCTCAAACTGCCTTGAAATATTGAGAAAGAAAATGAATGAAGGTGTTTGGGCTTCACTTGCTCACTAAGGTATACAATTCTTAAAGAATGTCCACAATTGATAGGTGGACTTTAGCACACACATGCAGACCTGATAAATAGGAACTCTGAAAGCAAGACACCTTCACCTTCTCAGGCAACTAACAAACCCATACAGAGCAAGCTGGAGAACAAGCACAGATGGATGGGAATCTGGCGGTGGGAAACACTGACTGGGAAAGGAAGGTTTTGCAGTATCAGTCAAAAACATACTTTTGATTGCAAAATGCAAGCTATATTTTCTAATAAGCAAAATGTTACCTCTTTCTGGTTCTCTTCAAATTTGGCAAAAGCTACATACAGATGCTCATTCATATGTTCTTCCCCAAAGAATTCCACTGCTCTCTCAAATACTTTCCTTGCATGGGCAAAATAACTATGTTTTTCTTCAAAACGGGCATACTTGATCCAGTTCTTAACATCGGGATGCACAATGACAAGTGGAAGATGTTAAGGAATTCAAAGTATGAAGAATTTCATTTTAACTTCTAACTTTTAAGAATAAAATGCCACAAATATATTATGCAAGGATAACAAAAGGATGGCGAAGTTTTATATTTCATGGGGAAACAGAATGATTTAGGATACAGATCTAAGATTTTGGGAAACTGGTAAATGCAGCAAGACTCAAATAATTTGTTGTTGTTTTTAAATCTCAATCAAGCTGGCAGCACTTTAGGGGCACCTTTATCCTATATAACCTCCAATAAACCTTTGTTCATGTGGGTCCTGATGTGAAAGCAAATCCCTTCCTTCCAATGTTGCATGCTTTTCACATGTTTAAGCATGTCTCCTGTTATGTTACTCTCAACCCAACAACATTCAAGATAAAAACTGGTTTCTTCAAAGCCTAATTCATACCAGGCAGAATTAGTGAAAGCATTGCGGTCACTGAGCATAACTGAATGCACAACATGTAGTCTCATCCAACAGGGAGCCAAGGTGCACCTATGTCTGCATAGGATCATGCTTTTGGAATGGCGTCTTTTGCTGCTAAGTTTCAGCAGCAGATGAAAAGGTGACACACAGGGCCTAATTGTCTCTGAAGTGATACACTTGTACCTGGCCTCTGAGGATTCAGATGGCAAGAGAATAATCACATGACTGAAGGCTCCTTCAAAGTAAAAACAATATTCCTCAACATAGGAAATTAGCTGTCAGGAAGACAGGTAAGTTAGTAGCCTTCTCCTTCAACTTCCAAATTCCTAGAATTTCTACATTCCGCAGATAACCAGGTTGGAAAGATCCTAAAGACAAAATGTGAACAAAGCAACAACAGAAAAGTAAAACCTTAGGCTGAAATAGAAGCAGCCTCAAAAGGATATATCTCTCATATATAGAGCGTGCTCTGTCCACCTCCTTGTACCTCAGCTCAAAGTTAATGTAAGAATGCCAGGATTGTTCTTCCGGCTGCCATTCCATCCAGCGCTCAAAGACCTGGCGGGCTCCAGCAACATTTCCCAGCATCTCTTCCATGTACGTATATTTGTACCTTTCCAAATAAAAGCAACGTAAGAAGCTTAACCCAGGCTAATCACTCTCCACACATAAGTCTATGTGCTAGTTAATATCTTTTTTTAAAATCACATGTGGTTCTTGAATACAGAGTGCTTGCACATTTGGTATCTAGCACACCCAAGTACAGATTCCTATTCTGGATCCTGGTCATCGCCCAGGGTAAGCAAATAGTTCACCAATAACTATGCAAGATGCAGTGACATCTCTTTTTTTCAGAAAACTACAATCTATAGAATACAATAAATACACTTTCCAATACAGTATTTATTTATTTTTATCAAATACTTTTCAGATGATCAGAAATGGATGCTTTGTCACCCATTTAGAGAGGAAGATATACTCTGGTTTACTGATTTGTCTGCCAAGCAGCAAGCCATACTTCGCTTACCAGAACTGGTTGACTCTTGGTAGAGTAGTAATAGCACGATCCCAGATGTTTCGGGCATGATTAACTTGGCGGTTCTTCATTTCCATCTCGGCATACTTCAGCCAAAGGGTGACATTTCGGTAGTCTACATCTAGAGCACGTTCGTAGATGGAACGAGCCCTGAGAGCAAAACATTGTTGAAATTAATACATGTGTGATTTATATTATAGAGAGCTGGGCACTGTAAGTTATTCATGCAGTTGGTGCTTGAAATGCAACTCTTAACAAAGTACCTTTGTACTTCCTTGAGGCTTTCCTCCCATTGTGCGTACTTGATCCAGTTACTGATAACTGTCCGGTTTTTTCTTATATTATCTTCAAAGGTCTAGGGAGAAAAGTAGAGTGTGTAACTGTATTGTGTAACCAAAAGGAGATTGGTAAGGAATTTGACTGTCTGAGTTCTGGTTTGTTTTTTTTTAATCATGGAGAAGTATTCAGTCATGTGATTTAGGTCCAGCATACCTTAAGGACTGCCTGATTCCTTATAACCCTGCCTTGATCACTGAGGTCTTCAGGAGAGTTTGTGATAGTGGGGTCCCATGGCTCAGATGAACAACTATGTATTCAGTATTGTGGGCCCAACTCTGTAGAATTTCTTCCCAGCTGAGATCAGACAGGCCCCCTCCCTGTCAAACTTTTGGCACCTTTATTTCAGCAGGCATTTAATTTTTTATGGCTTTACCATTTTATCTTTTTAACTTTACTGTACACTGCTTTGAGACTAAGGTGTTGAATGATATATGTTGTTGAAAGAATAATGACAAATACTGAAATGCCACTATTAAAGGATAATTTTATCAATCGATCCACTGATAGCACTTCTCAGAAGCAGCTATCTTAGAGAACACTACTTTTCTTATATATCATCATGTTCCCCAAAAAACCCAGCAAGTGACAACTGCATATGAAGATGTGTTCTTAATAGCTAGTGAAAGTCTGGAGTAGCTCTTCCACATGTATAGAACTCCTTCCTCTGGAGCGTCCCTAGAATGAAACCTTTTAGGAAGCAATGTATTGTATGGTTAGCATCAGGCAGCCAGACTTAAGCCACTGAGGGAAAGGGTTTTTTAAGGTTACAGTATGTTTCAACAAGTTATTACACGTCAAGAGATTCTGGGATACAAGTTCAAATAAATAAAACCAAATATTTAGCATTCGATAAGCATGATGTTTACTTGCCTTTCTTTTTCGAAGTTTATAATCATTTAGCTCCTCTTCATCTGTGATCTTCTGTTGAGGAGGTGGGGGAAGAAGCTCAAGCTCTCTTTCTTTAGCTTCTCTTAAAAGTTGCTCTGCTGTGATTTGTACCTCTGCTGGGGCTTTGTTTTTCACCTGGGGGACAAACAATTTCTTGCGATGACATATTTTAGCATTCTATGCATGGCGGTAACAAATGTAATTCCACAAGTGTTCACTCTCTCTATATATACATATATAATGTAAAAGTACCAGAAACCTTCTGTAATTCAGCACAACACTGCAACAGATATTCTTAATATTTTATTTTATTCTTAAAAGTTACCTAGAGGGTTTCTTGTGAAACAGAAATATATGTGCAAAGTCATTTTTAAAAAAATCAATAAAGTTTGCTCATGCAGTGTATGTGATGCTATGATAGAAATGTTGGCCATGACAAAATGCAATCTTTCAGGTCAATTTGCCTTTCAAAAATAAAAAATTAAGTCATTCACCAGAAGAGGAATTAACCCTTTCTTTACACTCACACAATCTAAATGATTCTATTTTGTTTGAAGTTTTGGTTGTTCCATTCTTATCAGAACACTTTTTGATTCCAAGATGTACTCTATTTATAGCATTTTTAGTTATTTGTAATTTGGGAATTACACAGTGAGCTTTTACAGACATTGTTTTTGCTGTCAGGAGCAATTTCTCATTAAAAAAAAGTATCCTAATAGATAACTGTACATTTTGCATGAATCATGATGATCATTAGGAAAGGTAGAATTAATCAGCATGCCCTCTACCAATGCCTGCCATTTAGATGGTGGCTGATTGCATGCAGTTTGACACAATGTTGCCAGATAGGGCAGGTGTTGCCTCTGAATTCAACAATAAAAGATAATGTCAATCTATAGTTTTACTGTGGTCACAATAAAATCCTTTTTGGTCAACTTGTTTTGTGCTGCTCAAGACAGCAAATGGTTGGGTCATCCAAAATTTGCTTAACAAAAGGGAGGTGGCTATACTTTATTTCAACTTCCCTTTCAGGGAGGGTGGCAAGATACAAATGACTCCCATTCGTTTTAACAGTTGTGAAGGAAAAGAAATTTCAGCAAGTGCAGCTTTTCTCACTTTCTGCACAACAAACTGTACCTGCTAAATTTTCTTCTTCTCTAAAAAAGTAAACAAAACTACTTTATAGCCCGCATCGACTCAGAACCAAATCCCACTACGTATAACCAAATGTGCATGGAATTTAAGCCTGGTCCTCAAAAGCAAGCCCCAGTCCAAATGTATTTTTGTGCTTTTATACTGTAAGCCATCCTGTGATGCTTGGATGAAGGGTGCCATATACATTTAATCAACAAAACAAAACAAAAACCCTCATTTAAGGTTTCAGTATGGTCAAACCTAGTAGTGTTGATTTACTTCTGAATAAGCATGGAACTCCATGGGAAAAGGTTGTATTTGTGTGGCTGAGCCAATAGGAGGTATCCCTCCTATTTTGCTGTCCCATTTTGCAAGTGCCAAAAATGAGGGTTGGGCATTTTGACTGCCTTCCAGAAGAGTGAAATTAAGGGGCACGAAATTCACTGGCGGCATCAGTAGCAGTGTTCTGCTGGTGGTCATCATCATCTGGGTTTTGTTTCCCCCCATGATCCTCCCTCTGACCAGACTGATGTCATGATGCAGATCAGTTTCATGAGGGAATCTGGGGGTGGGGGTTACAGCTCCCAGGCTTAGTTCTTAATTATCACTGCCTTATACTTGGGGGAACTTTGACCACATCCTCTCCTCTTACTTCAATGCACTAGGTCTGTACTGTGGAAACATTGCATGTCTACTCCGGTATTTCCTGTAGGGGGTCCCGGGTTCATGAAATGCCCCATCTTCTTCTGCATCAGGTTGCACCTGCCTTCCTAAGCATCTTAATTACTACTACTACTGTACTATCATACAACTACAGAGCTGTAAGGTTCCCGGAGGGTCACCTAATCCAGCCCCCTGCAATGCAGGAATCTCAAGCAAAGCATCCACGGGAGGCCAACCAGCGGGACCCATTATAGATACAGTTAACTGTCTAGAAATTGGTGCCTTTTTTAGAGTTTTATTTCCCACCTCCCTCCTTGTTCCTCGTGCGTTGCATTTTTATTAATTTGCCTGTTTGTTTGTTCATTAGAATGTAAGCCTGCGGGTTGGGAATGTCTTGTTTCGATGTCATGGAAGCCTTTTGGGCTGACGAGCGGGGTACAAATGCTCTAAATAAATAAGTAACGCGTTTCTTTGCACCCCGCCTTCCTCCTCCGGCTCCCGCCTCCCCCTCTTCGCTCCCTGCCATCTCTCTCGGCTTTCACCCGCCGCCGCCTTCCCGCCTGCTTCCTCCTCCCCGCCATTCAGCTTTGCTCGGGAAGCAAAGGCCTCGCGAGGCCCACGGAGGCCCAGGCCGCATCCCGCGCCCCACCTTCGCCACTTTAGGGATCCGCTGCTTCCCGGCCGCCGTAGACGCCATCTTCCCCTCCGTCTCGAGCGGCTCTCCGGCCCCGCCCCCTCCCCTTTGACCCCGTCAGCATCCCAGCATGCCGCGCGCGGCGGGAGGCCGGGCCTCTGCGTCGCCATAGCAACGGCCAAGCGCGTCCGAGCCGGTTGGCGAGCGGAGCTCGAGTCCCGGAAGAAAGCGGCGCGGAAGGAAGGTGAGTCCCCCCCCGGCTGTCCCCCAGCAGAGGCCAGAGGACCCTCGGGGATCCCCTCCAACTCCCCGCGGCACCTGCTCTGGTCCCGCCATTTGGGAGCCCTAAGACCGGCAGCGTGAGACGGGTTCCCGGGCAGGGCTCCTCCATCCCGACCCAGCCGGCGAGGGAGCCCGGCGTCGCGCTTGCAGGGGAGAGAAGCGTGACGGGCTGACACCCGAGGCGAACCCCGAACTTGCTGCGGGGCGGGAGGAAGGAAGAGCTGCGCCCGGAGAAGGGGGTCCGGGGGGACGAGGGAGTCCGAGGCCTGGGGGCTTCTCTGCGTCACGCCGAGCAGCAGGTGGAGACCCCGGGGGGGGGGCAGCCGTGGGCGAGGCGGGCCTGGGCGGGATCCTGCTGCCCCGGGAGGCAGGGGCCTCGCTTTGCTTCAGGAGTGGCTGGTCCGGACTAGCATCCAGGGCAGGAGGTGCTTTCGCGGCTACAGCTGCAAGGAGAGGGCGGAGTCTCTGGTTTCGTGTTTCTGTTAACCGGGAGGCTGGCGCTCTCTCTCAGAAGTAACTTGCTTCTCTGGGGTCAGAGAGAGAAGAGTTCTTGGACTATATTAAGAATAAGAAGTTAAAGGTAACTGAACAGCATTGCTAGTTGTTGGTTTGTATGTAAGAGCAATGTGTTGGTTTGTATTTATGACGTGTGCTTTTTTGAACCGAGTTAAAGACAATTTGCAGTAAAAGTTTGGAACTCTTTCTTAGTGTGGAGAACTTATCGATTCATACTCTGTCCAGGGTGCAGATCAGAGAACTCTCCTCACAATAACTCTACCATCTTTCTCTGTTACGTAAGGTCTATAGAACAGCCCAAGAACAGCAATGAGGTGGTAAAATTCAGTATTGCTTCAGCCTGCAGGTTGGAGATGCTCATGTCATGTAATGATCTCCACCTAGTAAGCTAGCACATCACCGGGAAAGGTTTATGTGCTTTTTATTGCAATTATTTGTATGTTTTTAATAGATTTTATATATGTATAGTTTTAATTCTATCAATGTTTAATTGTTTTTAATGATTTTTTCCCTACATTTTTAGTGGTTCTTTTTTTTTATCTGTGAACTACCTTGAGTCCTGTTTTGGGACAAAGGCAGGATATGTATGTATATATGTATAATTAATTAAGGTTTATAATTGTCCTGTCCTTGATGTGCCACTTACAATGTGTAGGGAACTTTTTGTGAGAGAGAGCATTTAATATGACTTCACTCTTGCAGATTGTAGTGACAGAATTGCACTTGTTAGTATAACCTTTCATGTTTTTTACTCCTTTTAACACTCAGTAACACTCCAAAAATTATCAACTTCCTTCTCTATACCTGAATGTACTCGAGGCATGCCATTTCTATGCACACTTCACTTTGAAATAATCTCCATTCAACACATTTAGGCCTACTCTCCCATCAGTTTGCGCAGACAGCTACTTCAGCTGCCATTCCTAGAGTTCTGTAGTGGTGCTAAGGACAGTAGCATAACCTTACAAAACTAGGGATTCTGGAGAAATTTGGTGGGATCCCTCTCCTGTCCTCTATTTCAGGTGAATTCACCTGATCCACACCACCTGGATAACAGACAGGTCAGACAAATTCTTCATGGGAATCTACACACACACACCCTGAAGTTCTGTGAGGTGCTCTGAGTGGAGTGCTCCCAAGACCATTTGTAGCTCTGTTTTCCACTCTTATCACAAGAACCTTGCTTCCTAGCTTCTCCAAGCAGCTATTACTAGGATTATAAAAAATGTAAATGGCAGACTACGTTGTGAAAATGTAAGCGGGGGATGGGGGGATCCAGAGGTTTGTGTGATTTTTTATTGTCACACATTTATGCAGAAATGGGATGGAAGGGAATGAGGGGCAAACCATGCAAAAGGGAAACCAAACAGAATTAGACTGATCTTTCAATCTCTGTACAAAACGGTAACTCCCATTATTTAAGTGCGACAGCTGACAAATACAAGAAGACTCTGTGGTGGTGTTGTAGACCTGCTTTGTGAAAGCAGAGCAGTTATAGAAATTCTGTAACATTTATTCAGATAAAGCATAAATCATAAATTTCCCAATCCTAACCAAATAAACGTCAGTCTACAATTCTAAGTGAGCTTATTTCATTGTAAGTGTAGGTTTAATTCAAATACATCAGACCTACTTTCAGGGAAATGTGGCTAGTATCTGGCTGTTGAAATCATTTTATGTTTAAAGTGTATGAATTCATTTTTGTGATTCTCAGTGATATGTTTTACTGTCAGTCATTTATTTGAAGAATAGGAAATATTTTCTTTTCTTTTTTGCTGCAGAATGCACAATGTCTTCACTGTCTCCTGCAACAGCATCATCTACCCCACCATCTTCTGTCATATTCAGTGCTAGAAGAACAGAATCCCATGATATTCCTAATATTGTCCAACACATGAAATACAATACAGAAAGATTATTTGGCAGAATTAATGTCATCTATCTTTTGTAAGTAGCAACATTGCAAACATTTATAGTGCATCTAATTTCCTGTTAGTTGTTTCATTAACAAAAGTTAAATGTTTGTTTTACAGAGAAAAAGCCAATCTTGCAGTGACTTTAGTTAATCAGAAGAATGTAACTGTTGCTCATGCTGTATTTCTGGACTATCCCAATTGGGATGTTGTTGATCAAGCCAATTGGGAACAGTACTTAGAACAAAATTATGTTCAAAACAAGTGTACGGTAAGGAACATTTTTCCCTTCAAAATGTTACTGATAAAGGTTTTACTTGTGTGTGGTCATTGCAGAGAATAGACAAGGCCCGCTTATACTGTGCACACTTGAGCACAGTAATTTTAATTGTCCTGTTCAAGAAGGTAAATGTGGAAATGTACATGACACTAAGCCAAACCACTGCTAAGCATTAATGAGCAAGTGTGCTGCTCCACAGAGTGAAAATGCAGGCATTTCCCTCCTTTCCTGCTCCTGCTATTGCCACAGTACGTGGAGCTAAGCCATGATTTGGCTTAGCATTATGTGTGAATCTCAGCTTGTGGTTTGTCTTGTTCCAAGCAAACCATAAGTAGTAAACACCAAATAAACTACAAGCCCAGATTCACATATAATGCTATGTGTCACTTCTAATATCATAACAGCAGCAGAACAGGGGGTGAGTGAGGCAGTCTGGTTTTTGATCTCTGTACCTGTACTGCTCATTTATGCTAAGCCATATTTTGGCTTAGTATTATGTGCAAACCAGGCTATTTTGCTTTAATTCATTGATTTAGTGCCTCTTTCCTGTGGAATACCTCCTTGAATATATTGGAGAATAGCCACACTCTTCATTGGAAAGATGTACTACAGTTTGAAGATAAGTGGAAATAAACGTTTTCTTGGTCATAAGCCAAAAGGGGTGGGATCTATAGAATCTAAGAAGAGGCTTATTTTACACTCCAATTCAAATCCTGTCTATCTATTCTACTGATCATGTCAAAACCATCCTCTGTGCATGCTGGGCTCTAAATGGTAAAATAATTTGGAAGACTCCCTGAAGTAAATAGAAAAAGTAGAGACTATCAAATGTAACTTTTCTTCATGCATTTTGTATATCTCCTTTAGCAGCTAATTTTCCCAAAGTGTTGGTAGAGAGGAAGGTATAGGATAAGAAGAGAAAAACAAGAAAAAGCCAAAATAGGCAGCACCTGTATAATCTCCACTCAGCTTTCTTTGTCTATTTGTGGGGAAGCCCCCACAATTCTGAACAGAGCTGAATTTACACACTGATGTTACACTCTTCACATGAAACTGCTATCTAGCTAGCATGTGCACCCTCAGGTTTTGCTGTCAGAAGCATATACATGTCTTCTAACATATATTCTCACTGACTCTATATATAGCCATCATAAGGCAAGCGGGTGGCGCTGTGGTCTAAACCACTGAGCCTCTTGGGCTTGCTGATTAGAAAGTTGGTGGTTCGAATCCCCATGATGGAGTGAACTCCCTTTGCTCTGTCCCAGCTTCTGCCAACCTAGCAGTTCAAAAGCACACCTGTGATGGCCTGGGAATCCGATTCAGAGGCTGAACCGGAGGAATCCCAGCCTGCACAGGAGTCCCCGCCTCCAGGGCCGGCTGAACTGGGGCAGGGCCTTGTTTCTGAAGCGCCTGCGCCTGTGCTGGATCCTCAGGAGCAGGCACCAGGTGAATCCACTCTGGCTCCGGAGGTGGTTGAGGACACAGTGCCTGCAGGTGCGCCTCTCCGAGCTCTGTCAGGGGAAGGTGAGTCTCCTCCTGGGTCCAGTAACCCTCCAGCCTCTCCTGAGCTGCAGAGGCTCAGGGCAGAGAGGCGGAGGGAACTGGTTTCTCCCAGGAGGAGTGCTCGCCTTAAGGCCAGGAGACGCGGGTCTCCTGGGGGCCGGAGCCGCCCCTGGCCTCAGAGAAGATAAAGGCCAGTCAGCTCGGTCCCAGGTTGCGGGAGCAACGTCGTTGAAGAGCTGTTTCGGCCAGCACCCAGTCCTGTTCCTCCAGAGTTCCTGTCCTTGCCCGGCTCCTTGCTTTGGACCCCGCTTCACCCGTGGAGGACTGTCTGACGACCCTCAACTCAGGTCCTGGACCTCGCCCTGGGACCAGCACAGTTTGCTCCTGCCACACCCGCACTCCCCCTTCGTTGGGGTGCATTCGGGAAGAGCCAGAGGCCATGGCTGACCAGGCAGCTGCGCTGGTGGCATTGGCCCAGGAGAACCAGGCCTTGACCCACACCGTTCAGCAGCTAAGCGATGTGGTTACGGCACTTCAGCAGAGGTTGGATGCCTTACCAGCTCCAGGGGCCGACGCCGCAGCTCTTGGCAAGTACCCAGTGGCCT